AGACTCACGATTGGCCTACAATGACAATATCACAATATATTATGTTCATTATTTTATTAGGTACAGCATATTGTCATAAATTACATTTACCTGTGTAAGCAATGTAAGTGTTGGTGTATAACAGATTTCCATAGATACAACAAAGTTTAGACTGTATCATAAATATCTAATTTATTTTACTAAAATTTTTTACTAGTTAAATGTTCGTGTTTACACGTTTAAATAAACACTTTTAACAGTTTATAACGTAAACTTATTCCCTCGTGACGTTGTAAAAAATGTTAAGCAGTATTTTGAGTCATTGAAAGTAAATTAAATATAATTTATTGTAAATTTTATAATATACACCTGCTGTTAAAAAAGAAATAAATACGCACAATTTCTATTTATTATAATGATTTTTAAGACTAATCGGTATTTAAATGCCTATTACGTCTTATAATATTATAAGCCCAGGTAATAATTGCATCATCATCCCTAAATTTATACTAATTTTAAAGCTGAAGAGTGTGTTTGTTTGTTTGATCGCGCTAATCACAGAAACTACTGATTCGATTTAAAAAATATTTTTGTATTGGTTAGATCATTTATCGAAGAAGACTATAGGCTATAAAACATCACACTCTGTCCAATAGAAGCGAAAAAACAGTGGGTAGTCTTTAAGACAGAAGATAACATCATCTTTAAGTACCGTTGCGTACGCTGCGAAAACGGTTCAAGATGCTGTAAAATATGTTTTAGAGAATGGTTCCTTTTTGCATGATCTAAAAAAAAATCCACGACAGTATATCTCTACCCTTTAGGATCAACTCGCAAGAACGACCCGACGCGCGTCGTCGGTATAGTCAACTTTGATGTCCAAAATCTAGGTCGCCAACACAGCTAATAATCAATAAAATCTTAGTAGTAATTTTTACAAACAGCGAATACACAAAAGCCATTTAGTTAAAAAATATAACCGTTTACTCAAAAACAAGAAGTGTTCTAAAGGATGAGGTTTAACAAACATACATGTTCTATGTAAAGCCAAATAAAGGCAACGGCATTTATTTGTCTTTCACATCCTCGGGTGATACGAGATTAAAATATTTAAAAAAATATGAAAATGGTAATTTGTAACTCTATAACCAAAAGCAGCCTTTCATAAATCTATCGATCGGAAGCAGAGCAATTACACGACAAGTCAGACAATTAAGCTATTATTGCTGTCCTGCATTCTTGAGCGCTAAACTGTCAAGGTGCTTCTACTGCCTGGTCACAAAGATCAGCGATGCGAACGAAAACGCGAAGAGCGAGGCGACCGGTCGCGCGATTTTGCGGTTCGCACCTTACTTATTTGCGCTTTCGTGTTCTGAACAGCGTGTAGATAGCACACTGCCATACAGTTTTTTGTTTTATATTTCAGTTAAGTCGTAAGTCGCATCGGCGATCGCAGCGGACTTTTCATCGCCAAGTCATTTTTTTTATTTGTGCAAACATCTAAGGAGCTGGTGTCAATTTTCGTATATGATTTTATCGTCGTTGACATCGAAAAAAAAGAAGCAAGCATTTCTGTTATTAATATGATATTAATATTACTTTTATACTTAGTTAAATCTATAACTCCCATTGAATATAATAGATGTAAATCACGTTAAAGTTTTTGCTAGCCAAAAACACAAGGCGCTATTTCCCTTTTAGTATTTCATAAATAATAATCATTATTGCAAGCTAACAATTTATATTTTGTGACATGAATCCTTAACTTGAAACAAAGGTAAGTCCAAATTAAAAAAAATCTTCATTTTAGCTAACACCAATGCTAACGATAATATTTTTATGTGGTCCAAGATTAAAAGAAAATACCAAGGTCCAGAGCACTTAGAGTTATATACTTTTGACAGGCCTCGTGGGCCCCATTTGGGATGATGTATGAATAGAGGGGCTAAAGTTCTAGCAATTTTTTTCCTGTGAAAGCTTTATGCAGTTGAGTAGTTTTTTTTTACATTCTCCCAGTCGCTTGTAAACTTTCTTAATATCTATAACTTATACTTTGTTTTATATATACCGTATTTAATATTTATTTTAGTACTGGTGATATATGAAAAAATATCATATAATATGTATGAGCTAGATTTATTGCAATTAATAATAATATCCATAATTGTAATTACAAACTCCATTTTTATTAATATAGTGCTTTAAACTCGAAAGACTTTGAATCCCAAAATTTGGGAGCATATTAAATAAAATTCTTAAATCACTAAGAGTCTTGACCTAAAACAATAACTGCACCATGCTTAGCAACACATCTGGTGCTAGTGATTGAATATCGCCTTGGATCTATATCATCTTGGTAGTAAATAGTGAACTTCAACAATATGTTAAATTTTTAAAAGGCTTATTTACAATGCTTCGTAACTATTTCTTTTATAAATTATTTATAATTTTTGAAGAAGTTGGCATCACTGGTTTAACTTTAAAAAATCTTTATTTATCAAAACAATCTGCAGAAACAACCCAATGTAACGTGATCTGTTTCCCTAAATAATTCAATTAGTGGGACTTTATTGGAAAGTCGATATCTCACAATTAGGAGCGCTAAATGAGAATTTACTCGAAATACAACATAAATGAGGACTGTTTATTTATTTTCGTTATTCAGTAATTGTTAAAACTCCTTGTGGAAATGAATATCAATTTCCACTGGATGCGAATAATATTACGTTTTTGAAAGGAATAAAGTCGCTTTTTCTGTCCCTATGTGACCTTAAATCTTAATGCGTTTTTTTAATAGACGTAGTAATTCAAGAGGAAGGTTTGTATATACAACGTTCGCAGTTTTTCTGTAGCGTAATTGGTATCAGCATTGCAACCGGAGCGGGTCGCTAGGATTTAATAAATAATAAATAATCAAGTCGACATCGAACACAAACCCAAAAGCGTAGTGCGGTAGCTTTACCGTTCGGTGATTGTTCATTGAATTTAATTAATCCGCCTCTGTAGCCAAATGGTTAAACGTATTGTCTAGCATGCGTTAAGCGCGAGAGGTCCCGGGTTCGAATACCAGGGACAACATAAAATTGCTTCGGTCTAGCTGGACACAGAAGTCTGATCAACTACTTGCCCGTTAAAAGAACGGATCAGTGAAACGGACACAGAAATGTGTTCGCCCCACGAGGGGGAAACGAGCTGTCACTTTTTTTATAATCTGTGTTCGTTTCATTTGGTTTCCGCTACTATCTATTCTATTAAGAAAGTCTATTAAGAAATACAAACTATTCTTTGCATCTTATTATCAGAGATAAACTAACATTTGTCTATGTTTTAAAACTAAAATAATTTATCAATAACGAAGACAATTGAATATCGCTGAAGTGGAATTTGTCTTATCATTTACTAGGCGAAATGTTTTCATATATTTTGCTATTAAAAAATCAGAAGGCATCTTTAATAATTAATGTGCCGCCAAGTCATATTTAAACGCAAACAAAGCAGCCAACGAAAGCTATGGGGGTTGTCTAGCAAGGTATTTGCCACGAAAATTCTAGTATGCATGTTACGTTTCTTTAATGTGCGAAAAATAAGCTATGCATAATGCGTAGTATACAGCAGTTAAGTAATTTTATTATCATCGAAAATAATTGTAACGATGATTTTGCAATAACACGTATTTTTCATTTATCACCATTACTCTGCAAAATATAATTCTTATCAGAGTGAACTTCGTTCGGACTTTACGACAGTCTTAAAAATACTGTTTAACAAATTCGCACTTTGGCCCCTGATTTGAGTTCCAAAAGCTACGACAAAAATTTTTTTTTGTTAAAATAAAGCAATTTCTTTAACATCAAACACATTTAATACTTAGTACATTTCATGGAAAGTCTATATATTGAACTTTTACATAATTTTCCTTTCTCGGTAAATCTTTTAAGATCTCTGTGATTCGATCATGGAATTTGCTCTTTTCTATAAAAAAGCTTGGTTTAAAAAAGTTTTGTTCTTTGCTATAACAATATATTATCTGTTAGTATGAAATATCTGCGTAAATGTGTGTAGCGTATAATTGTTAAACTCAATCGAAATGTGTAGATCTGTGATTGATTAAAGACCAAAGGTCGATTGCATCTCCATTAAATGTTAAAGGGCCGAGTGGTTTGTCTTCCGCCGTCATAAAATCAGGAATTTTTAAAATCAATACTATGTTATCTCAATCAGCATAGTCGTAAATATATGAATTATGTAATAACTACGTGTGATGTTAGTGTTTCATTGTTCTTTTAGTAATGTCTAGAAGGTTTTGTCAATAACGATTTTTAGTGTTTAGAGTCATCAGAATCTCTAATAGAAACATAATGAAATGTAAAGGAAAGGAATATTTTTATAGAACTTAGAAACATATGTACAAAAACGTCACATCACTAAACGTCGCATCACTAATCCACGTTGCGCTTACGTCTACAAACCGATTGTTGCATCTCCGCATAAATATAACTTAATTTTTGTTTCTTAAAAGTTAAAAAAAAAACAAGTATAGGCCAAAATAGGACGACAGAATATCCTAATTAGTTTTACTTCTGGGGCATATTCAACATCTATCTTCAAACAAACTGCTTGCTGGTCTGTCTTCTGTAATTGCATTTATTTCTCTATCTATGTGAAATAAAAATATTTTGATTATGTTGTAATCAATCTTGAATTGGATTATATCATCATTTAAAGAAATCCACCGAGTCATTAAATATTGTTTAACAGATGTGAATAGAGTAATTTTTCAAGCATATATCGTTTCATTGGTTTCGTTGAAATCTCTAGAGATTTGAAATGTTTAGTTTCTTTAGTGGTATAGAATTATATTAGAACACTTTATAAATTGGGAACCCTAAAAGAACCGATTAGCAACAGCTAATAACCATTTACCCAGCAAATTGTATAGGTCGTTAAAATGTTGTCTTAACGTATAAAAAATGCTTATTTATAAGGATAAAACGCCATAATTGTGTTCAGTACCGCGAAAAATGATTGCTTACTTTGTTATAGTTTTAATTTTATTAGGAATATATTATGTATACTTTAAACGTGAATTAGATTTTTGGAAAAATAAGAATGTCGTCAGTTCCCGAGCGATACCATTCTTTGGTAATTATACAGGTTATATTCTTCTTAAAAAGTGCATACATGAAGTAATTGAAGATCTGTGTAGGGCATTTCCTTCAGAACCGTACATAGGAGCGTTCTACGGCACAGAACCTACTTTAATCGTCAAAGATCCAGAATACATTAAACGCATTCTATCGAAAGATTTCTACTACTTTAACAGTCGTGAGGTAGCAGATTATAGTGAGAAGGAAGCAATCACGAAAACCCTCTTCTTTACACACGGGGACCGATGGAAAGTTTTACGACAAAACTTAACTCCGCTATTTTCTTCGGCAAAGATGAAAAAAATGTTTCATTTGATAGAAGACTGTAACAACTCCTTAAATGCCTTATTAGAGGATGTAGCTAAAAAAACAGAATTTGAAGTGCGTTCTCTGATGGCGAGGTATACCATAGATTGCATTGGATCATGCGCTTTTGGGGTTAACACGGAAGCTATGACCTCTGAGAATAATCCCTTCTGCGTTATTGGTGAAAGAATATTTGATGCTTCGAACTCGCGAGGTTTCAAAATGGTAGGACGAGCCATTTGGCCAGCGGTTTTCTATAAACTGGGTTTAAACTTGTTTCCTTTAGAGCTAACAGAATTTTTCAAGAATATGATCACTAAAGTATTTGAAGAGAGACAATACAGAAGTTCTGATAGACACGATTTCGTGGACCTCGTTCTGAATTTAAGACAGAGTAAACATTTGGTAGGAGATAGCATGAAGAACTTGAAAGGAGATGGAAAGAAGTCTGTTATAGAAGTTGATGATGATCTTCTAAGCGCGCAGTGCATGTTGTTTTTTGCAGCAGGGTTTGAAACATCTGCGACGACATTAGGCTTTCTGCTATACGAATTAGCAAAGAACCCAGAGAAACAGGAGCAAGCGATGAAGGAAGTCGACGAATATTTCAAAAATAATAAAAAGATCTCATACGAATGTGTCTTTGAAACGCCTTATTTAGATGCGTGTATTAACGAAACACTTCGGCTTTACCCAGTCCTTGGAGTACTGACACGGGAGGTGGTTGAAGATTATACACTGGGCGGGGTCTCTTTGGAGAGAGGTGTCCGTATTCACATACCGGTCCTTAATTTGCACAAAAATCCCCATTATTTCCCTAATCCTGAAGCTTTTCGACCAGAGAGATTCTTAGGAGTAGAAAAGGATAAGATAAAGCCCTTTACATACTTTCCTTTCGGAGAAGGTCCGAGGATATGTATTGGTAAGTATACTTACTTTATAATGTAGGTGGGACTGAATAATATAATAGCCTATAATCGTCACAGTATAGGTAGGCCCTACAATACTTACACATATAACAAAAAACATCTAAACTACAATTATGAAAACAGTTGTCGTCGAGGAAGCTATAAATAAATGAGAACGATAGATAATCTTTACTGTACAGACACCTTACAGCCTGAAAAGTATTGTCTACAAGATTTTATTTATATATTATTTCTTTACGTATTTTCCAGCAAGACGTGATAAAAGCTCCCACAAAAATTTAAAGTAGAACATAGTTTATATCTTACTATACCTTATAAAAAAAAGCCAGACAGTAATAATACTCATGGCATAAAATACAGTTTAAGGTCAATAATTAAACTAAAAACTATTATTATAGGTCGGTGTAGGTTATATAATATATTATATGTACGTGCATTATTTTTATATACAACATAGTTATATAAAAATAATCAACGATACGAAAATACGATGATCTCTTTTCACTAACTTATTTATGATTACCGATCACATACAAGAAAATTTATACGCCTTAACGAAAATCAAGTAAAACAATCAACTTCAGATGTTTTAGTACACCCATCCACTTAAGTTAGGATTATAGTTAAGGTAATTTAAAAAAATAACCAGTTTTATTTTAATTCAGGTATGAGATTCGCCAAGATGCAGATGACAGCAGGGCTGCTCACAATACTAAAAAAATGTCAAATTCAATTGGTTGAAAATACAGCTCGAAATATCACCTTCGAACCACGAGCGATGACACTACAACCAGCACATGGAATAAATCTCAAATTAGTTTTAAGAAAAAAATAGTCATTTTATGTGTATAACTCATCAAATATATCAAAAACAACGATTGTAAAGAGAAGCCGACAAAAACGAGTAATAAAATGAACTAAATGTTTTATTTACTCATACTAACAATAACTTTTTAATACTAGAAAATTATGATTATTATAACAAATCCTTTAGAGTTATTATAAGCACGGATTCCTGGCAGCAAGTCCGTTCATGAACACATAGAATAACATATATAAACAATATTAATCAAATCCCCCTCTTATCTCATGATGACGATATTAGTAAGTTTCATTACACGATATAGATATTATGAATATCCCTTGTATTTTTAATCATAAATATTAACCTCATCTGTTTGATAACAATGTCGTTCAGCAAAGTATATAAACAGGAGCCATAACAGCTTATTACAGTTAGTTAGAATGACACTCACAGCGATACTAGTTTCCGGTATTGCAGTGCTTTTGGCACTATTTTACTATTTATCAAAACATAAATTCGACTACTGGAAGGTACGTAATGTACCCTACCCAGAACCAATCCCACTGTTTGGAAACTACAAACAGTATATTTTATTAAAGAAGTTCATCACCGAAGTTGTTGACAAACTCTGCGAGAAGTTCCCAAAGGAACCGTATTTCGGTGCATTTCTCGGAACTGAACCCACACTTATCGTTCAGGACCCAGACTACATCAAGCTTATGTTAACGAAAGACTTTTATTACTTCAGCAGTCGAGAAATTGCAGAACACTCCCATCGCGAGATCCTCACTAGGAACATATTCTTCACAAGCGGTGACAGATGGAAGATTTTGAGGCAAAACGTAACACCTCTGTTCTCTTTAGCCAAGATGAAAAAGATGTTTTATTTAATTGACGATTGCACAAAGAGTTTTGAGAGAGTACTCGACGATATCACCAAGCAACCCAGCGTTGAAGTGAGAAATTTAATGTCTAGATATACCATTGACTGTATCGGATCTTGTGCTTTCGGTGTTAATGCAAAAGCTATGAACCTAGAAGATACAAACAACCCCTTCGTAAAGATTGGCCAAAAGATTTTTGAGAATACCAACTACAGAGGTTTTAAAGTTGTCAGTCGCGTTATATGGCCGTCGATATTCTATAACTTAGGTCTTAAAGCGTTCCCTTCCGAGATACCAGCATTTTTCGACAATTTATTGAAGAACGTATTCCAACAGCGACAATATACAAATTCGGGCAGGCATGATTTCGTTGACCTATTGTTGGATTTAAAAGCTAACAAGTTTATTACTGGAGATAGTATCAATAATTTGAAGGGAGAAGCGAAGAAGACGTCCATGGAAGTCGACGATGAGTTGCTATCAGCTCAATGTATGTTATTTTTTGCGGCCGGATTTGAAACATCGGCTACGACCCTAAGCTTTCTATTATTTGAACTGGCGAAACATCCAGAAATACAAAAGCGGGCATTAGAGGAGGTCGATAACTATTTTAAGAAACATGACAAATTGGCATACGAATGTGTGGCTGAAACTCCCTTTATAGATGCATGCATTAACGAAACACTACGCATTTATCCAGTTGTAGGCGTTCTAACACGAGAAGTTGTGGACGATTACAAACTCTCAAGTGGAGTTCTTCTGAACAAGGGTCTAAGGATACACATTCCGGTACATAAAATTCAAAATGATCCTGAATTTTTCCCGTATCCAGAGGAATTTCGACCAGAAAGATTTATGGGCGCTGAAAAAGAAAACATTCGTCCTTTCACTTATATGCCTTTTGGAGAAGGACCGAGGACGTGTATTGGTAAGTTTATTAGTTTACTTATCCATGTAATACCAAAATACAGGAAATCTTTTGAGTAGAAAATGTTACTTCAATATTATTAAGCTACTTTTTTTAAACACGCGTTGAAACAATGTCTGAACGTAAATATTGGTAAAATTTTTAATTAACTTTGAAGGTCAAAAAACATTTCTTTTGTCAGATTAACTAAGTTACATCAAATTTACGTATCTTGTATATTTATCGGATTATTAAAAACAGTTTGAAAAGAATTAATATACTAATATTGATCGATATGCCACGATAGGAAATGAATGATAGGCATTTAAATTTAATCACGATTTTCTTTTTATATTTGATATAGTCGTGATATATAATAATTTTTCTAGGAATGAGATTCGCTAAAATGCAAATAATAGCTGGTTTGCTGGCAATGCTGAAGAAGACACGAATCGAATTAGCTGATGACACAAAAATGGACGTGGAGTATGAACCAAGGGCCTTAACGACACAACCGAGCCATGGTATCAACCTAAAATTCATCCGAAGGGACGTGCAATGCTAGTCGGCATTCTTCTTTATTTTGAATAATATAATACCTGATTCTTATATATTTGTAAAGAAGGGTCTGTAAAAATATTAGGACACTAGTGATTTGCTGTTTGCGGCGGCTAAAATTAGATTAAAATGACGAGGCCAAAAAATATCTTACAAATGGAATATATATATTTCGGGTCTCTTAAATTATTATCGTACAGTTAACTATTGTAAAGCTTAAAACAATAATAATTCATTGTAATGTAATTTAAAAATCGAAAATAAATTGAAAAAATTTCGACTCGGGCAGGACTTGAACCGGCATCGTCAGCTTTCCGTGCTGTTGCTCATTGTAATGTAAGTTATTGTTCTCGCAAACGGAATCTCTGTTATATGAAGTATTCACGTACTTTATACTACAGCGATTTCCGCTATAATATAAATCGAGCTAAACTTTTAATTTGGACTGCGAATTGAATTTCAGATAAGATCACATTCGGTATATTTAAACTTAATTAAGAACTAAAAGATATATTTATAATATTCATAGGTATTTATTTTCTTTCTTTGTATAATGTGTATATTGTCTGTATATATTTATACATATCTGTGATTTAAATTAGGAATTAAAATAATTGGATAGACATAATTATATGGAAATGGTTGTCAAGAAAAAAATTGTTGGTAATAAACTACATTACTTAATAGGCAAATTACTTTTAATTTTAAATTATAAAGATTTAATCTGTGATTTAAAAAAATCCAGAAAATATAATAACAAATATTTTTCGTGCCATTATAAATGCTTAGAAGTGTATTAAATATTTTTATATATTTTAGTCTTTTTAAATAAAAGTAGACAGATCAACGTGAAGTTCACTTAATTATAGAATTACTTAAGCAATATAACGAGACGTTAGTGATACGTTCATAAATTCCAGGCCTAAGATGTTTTTGACGAATATATAAATGTAATAAAATTATTTATGGCTATGTTTCACCCGACGGAAATGCACGCCCGACCCGTTGGTTACCACACAACGAACCCATCAAATCCTTACCTCCATTGTTCCTCTTAGGAGGTAAAATAGTCATGTCATTTATAAAATAAACCATAAAGTAACCCTAACTGAACAATGGTAATGTAGAGGTTACTAGTTAGTTAAATACTTAATTTTCGAAATTGCGCAACGTAAAAATCAATATTTCTACTAAAGAAATAAATTTATTGACTACCATAAGCCACACAAAAACATAAAACCTTATAATTAATATGATGCTGCTAGAGACAGAGTGGCCTAATAACAAAAACCATTATTTTCAATAAGGAGGAAAATAAAAATGGGCAATTAACTAAACGACAATTAATTTGTTCTATTATTTGTGTAAGAATTATGTTTTCTATCACTGTGCTCTTATAATTTAGCGTTTTAGCATGAAAAAAGTTTAATCTATATCTATACTAATATATAAAGCTGAAAAGTTTGTTTGTTTGAACGCACTAATATCAGGAACTACGGATTTGAATTGAAAAAGATACAAGAAAATGATGTATAGAAGAAAAACCGCGACGCTATATGTCTATATTTTAAGATTAACTTGCAAGAACGACGGGAAGGGACGCGACCGACGTCGTGGGTAACGGCGAAGTTTATAAAGTAAGACGGGGTTTGCATTAACGAATTTGGATGTCTAAACTAATGATTCTCGCGGTTAGACTACTCTGCCTCTAGCGACCTCACATAAAAAACAAAACATACTTTAATCTTAACTGAATAAAATTATGTTCTGTGCTTGTTGGTAAAATAGGATTTTCCTCAGCATCAGGTATACACATCTAAACTGTTATTAGGTACGTTTAATGACAGATGTAATAGGGTACAAATTATGGCTTGGCACGCACATCAGTTACAAAGCAAACAAATTGACAACGTATGTTTTGTATTAGCTATGTAATTGTATAATTACATATTCTTAAAAACACATTTTAACGTTAAAGCCCCAAATATAAGTAGTCACAGGAGAAGCAAGTTTTAAACCGATACAAATGTTTAAAAGTGAACTTTTCGCGTAACCTTAAAGGCAATTGTTAAAATCTATTCTGGCTTATGTTATTATTTATTGGATATTTGGAAATCCACAGACTGAAACCGAAACAAGATTATTTTAGGCTTTTATATCTAAGGACGTTAGTTCGTGCCGCGGTCGGAATTTCGATATTCCTACCACCCATTCGATATCCAGATTTCCAGCCGAAATCCAAATGATTTAGAAAAATTATAAATTAATAAGAAACATGTTGGGGATCGCAGCCACGATTTGTGGGTTATTAGCTATTCATTGCTACCATTGCACACGAGCCCGTTTGACTTTTTGAGTTTTGAAGTCCTTGCTTTGGTAAGGTTAAGTATTAAATAATAATGTTCTTAACTTCAAATAGGCGTATTTGTTATATGCAAGAAGAAATATCAGCCTCCTGTTCAGTATAACGAATCAAGTAATATATCATTTCCATCCCACCCAATTATGCTTTACTTATTTTAACCGGCATTCGAACTTATTACCTTTCTAGCTATATATAAGATTAAGCTGAGCTATAGATGAATTGTATTAGATGATTGAATTGTATTATACCGAACAAAAGAAATAGATACTCAATTTTCCCTGCTTTGCTCTGATTTTGTTACATTTGTTAAAGTGAAACTTTTTTAACAAATTCGCGTAAAAACGTTTAAAAGACAACGTTTTTTTCTTTAGGCGTTTGATAAGTCTGAAGTTTGTTTTTTATGGCGTATATTGGCGATACAATATATTTTCTACTTGAAGTGCAAGTAGCCTACTGGTTTAGCGCGTTAAGTCGTGGATTTGTCGTTGAATCCCAGGGAAACATAGTAGTAGTCATTTCGGTTAGGCAGGGAATTGAAGTGTGATAAACTACTATAAATAATCGATCAGTGAAACGGACATAGAATACCCCACGAGAGGAAACGGGAATTTACAACACAAAACCCTATTAGTATGACTTTCCTGTCTGCCAGTTTGCCTGTATTTTTATATACCAGTTTGTATATCACGCGTACGTATATACGTAATGTGTTGACATTTTTCATAAATTATCAACTTATGTTGCCGGTATCTGTTTTTGTTTATAAATACTATACTATGTCGACAATAAGTTGCCTGTTAAAAATTTGCCGCAATCACTAGAAGCCAATAATTTGCATCTTTTTTATATTGATTTCTCATTGAAAGGATAATACAAATGAAACGAGTTGAAAAACAGTTATTGTCTCTCTGTTATCCGCATCGTTAGAGTTGCTCGATGTGAAATATCTCTCTCGCTCACCTATTTTGTTAAAACTTTGATCCATATTAATAACGTAAATTCAAGATTTCCAGTTATGAAATGACAGCAAACTTCTTGGCCTCGCGTTTAATGAATTATGCCTTAACAAATTTGAACCGGCATCGTAAATAGTTTTTTCATTCAATAAGTTAGTTTTGATAATCAAATAAGAAACCGTATTATATGTTTCAAACTAATAGAATGGTGGTTTTAATATTTTCGATCAAAAGCCTTCTCCAAAGATGCCCACTTCTGTCGGTCTGGTGCTATGCAGCACCAGTCTATCTTACCAACGAGCCCAGGGTTCCCGCTTTCTCCTTTTGCCTGGCTGCAAGGCCAATATGTATCATACTAAAATATTTTATTATAAAACAATAACGTAACCTACATTATCAAAAAGCGCAACTATTTGTCTTGCTGTAAATGTATGTGTAAATGTTTTAATGATAACAGGAGGCAAATGGAAATTGTTTAAAACATCGTGACAATAAAAAAAATCTTGTATTATTATTATTTACCTAGTACGTTAATGCTTCAAGAATCTTACTACATTGTAGAACTACGAAGTAGGTATATAAAAGTAATAAGAAAACAGCACAGACTTAAAAATTATAAAATAAAATAAATTAAATTATTTAGGTAATTATTTAAGTTAAAAAATATACATATTACTTTTTTGTTTACTGTTTAACGAATGAGTTTTAAAGTTAACGAATGCCTATCATTTTATTCCCTTTTTTCTATTATTATAAGTCATTATAATTTATTATTCTAACCATTAGATAATTCTTGAAACGTTGACAATTGTGGAAAATTACTTAATTTATATGGCTACAAGCTATTTTTATATAATTATTCGGCATCTTTACGGAAGGCCTCTACGATTTATATTTTTATTACATTAATGGGATTTATATAATAATGTTACAATATATTTTAGCTGTCAGTATACTTTTGCAGACGCCAGTCATTAACATAACTTGAATAAAAAAAAACTTGCAATCTCCTGCTCATACAAAACTTCACGTTATGTTTAATATAATACAATTTGCGTGTAGTTTTATATACCTATATATAGAGCTATGTTAGATACTTACTAAATTTTAAGCCTCGTGGTTCATATTTTGTTGTTTGTCTTACATAGTTTTGGAGTAAATTTAGTTCATAATTTTATTTTTATGTATTTAAATTCTTCTATTTCTTTATTCTATTTTTATTTTATTGAATTCTTAATGACTTTATGCGTACAAGTCCATGAACCATGCATCATTGTTTCTATCATCATAATTATTCACAATTAAAGCTTCCTACATTTATAAAAACTTGAATGCCATCGTTTTGGTTCAGTGTACAAACGGCCTAACTACAATAACGCACGTAAACATGGTGCCTCTTGTATTTATTTTATCAAGTTTTGCGCTCGCTCTGATAACAAGTTTTTATATTAAACTTCGATATTTCAATTATTGGCAGAAGAAAGGTGTACCTCACGTAAAACCGATTCCCGTGTTTGGTAATTACAAAGATTATATCATTCTAAATAAAACAATAACTGATGTTGTGAATAAAATATGTGAGAAATTCCCAAAAGAACCTTATGTAGGTGCATTCTATGGAACGAATCCTACTTTAATAGTTCGCGATCCTGAGTACGCAAAGTTAGTTTTAGCCAAAGACTTTTATTACTTCCATAGTAGAGAAAATGGTGAATATTCAAAAAGCGAAGCACTTACTCGTAATATCTTTTTCGCCAGCGGCGACAGTTGGAAGATCGTACGCCAAAACATGACACCTTTCTTTACTTCGGCGAAAATGAAGAAGATGTTTTATATAATCGAAGAATGTAACACTGCTCTAGAGACATTCATGGACGAAGCTGCGAAATTACCGCAAGTTGAGGTGAGAAACATAATGGCAAGATACACTATAGACTGCATAGGAAGGTGTGCTTTCGGAATCAATCCAAATGCTTTGTCCAGTAAAGAGGAAAGTAATCCCTTCCGAGACATAGGTTACAAGATTTTTGAACCTTCCACAGTTAGAGGTCTGAAATTAATTGGACGTGCCATCTGGCCAGATTTTTTCTATAAACTAGGCTTCAAAGCGTTCCCTGATGAAATACTGAATTTCTTTGACACTTTACTCTTGAATGTATTAAATCAACGTCAACACAAAAATTCAGGTGGCAATACCTTCATAGACCTCGTACTGGGGTTTAAGGAAAATAAGTATATAACAGGAGATAGTATTTTAAGCTTAAAAGGTGAGATGAAAAAAACATCTTTGGAAGTGGATGATGAACTTCTCTGTGCCCAGTGCTTTGTATTCTTTGGAGCTGGATTCGAAACATCAGCTACCACATTGTCTTTCCTCTTGTACGAACTTGCAAAGAATCCGGACAAGCAAAAGCTGGCTGTAGAAGAAGTTGATAACTATTTGAAGAAAAATAATAAACTGTTCTACGAATGTGTATCTGAGACCCCGTATTTAGAGGCTTGTATGAACGAAACCATGCGTCTGTACCCAGTTCTTGGTGTAATCACGCGCGAAGTGGTCGAAGACTACACCTTACCGACAGCATTAACCATCAATAAAGGCTCCCGTGTCCATGTGGCAGTGCACCATCTTCACCACCATCCAGAATTGTTTCCTGACCCTGAAGTATTTAGGCCAGAAAGATTCTTAGGTGAAGAAAAGGCTAAAATTGTACCTTTCTCCTTTTTGCCATTTGGAGAAGGACCAAGGATATGCATAGGTAATTAATCGTTAATCAATAAAATACAATGTTTCACTTCATAAGTACTAAATCATTAAAAATAAACCTTTACTTGTTGATGTAATATTTGCTTTTAATGCGCTTTTATTCACAGAAGTCACATCATTTTCCAAATATTCTTTATTAATAAATGGTCCTGTTTCTGGCATTTAATGATGTATGTTAATTCTTGAGAAATCAGAATCAAATTCTCGAACTCGAAGTGATGATTCAAAGATTATAATATATTAATTAATTATTTATATATCAAATATCAATATCGCTTTGTTATTTAGGCATACGATTCGCAAAGATGCAAGCGACAGCTGGACTCATCACGATTTTGAAGAAATACGAAGTACGCTTAGCGGATGATACCCCAATGCAGTTGGAAATCGAGCCTCGAGTAATTGTGACACAGCCAAAGACACCAGTTAACCTTAAGTTTGTACTTAGAAAGAAATGATTTGAAATAACGATAATTTTATTTGAAAAGTGTGAGTTGAGGTTCGACTGATTTTTAGCGTAACACGCGATACGTGGAAATTTATGAAGGGATCAACTTAGAGCATAGAACATCTTACATTAACATAAACATAACATTTGTATCTAAGATGTAGATAACATGTTTAATAATGTAACATGTCACACATGATCACGTATGACAAGATTTATGTTAATTCAGTCTTCAATTCCGTATTTTCAAAAGATCAAGGTTAAAATTTAGAAAAAACATTACAGACAAAAGAATTAGCGAAAATTACGTTTTGAATGTTTTTCTTATGTTTACAAATCGCATAAACTGTTGGTATATACAATGATCGCTTTTACCTTAAGAATTATTATTTTTTATTATATATTTTGTAATAGCAATAGCATTCAAACTCTTAAAACACTGGTATTTATGTGATTATTATAAAACAGGTTAGATTAAACCGGTCAGCACAAAATTCTCTGTAGTTTTTTAACGCCTGCTTAGACACTAATAATAGCTGATTTTTTACATCATTACAAACACGATCTTTGTCTATAAATAAAATAGAAAAACCTTGATGTTCTATGCACAAATTTGGAATTTATATAATGTGTATAATTTATTATAATTGTCGTTTAATCTTTACTTAATACTGTGTACGAAGTGCAGTGTTTTTGTGAGTTTTCTTATTTGGTTTTTTGGCCTTGATTGTGAATTTCTAGGTTTGACGACCGTATGGTAAAGATAAAACGGGTTTAAGACTTGAGTTTTGATTCTTGGTGGCATATTGCCTGAAAATCTTAACCTATAACCATTACACTTTATGTTAATGGAACAATATCTTAGTGGTTCGAAAGACTCTTATGGAATTCCATTATTAATACATGTGTAAATATTTATATATGTTTTGCTTAAGAATTTTATAAAAGTCCTACGAGTGTTTTTTATTATGGTCGGCATATAAAACTTGTTTCTGGAGTATAAATAACATGTTATATAAATAAAATCATGTCTCGGAATCCAAACTTGTTATTATTATTTTTTTTTTGTTTAAATTATAAAACTGAGACATAATCCAAAAACACCTATTAATTTCAAACAAATGAATGCCTTTTAAATAAGTGAAAGAAAAAAACAAATAATACTGAAATATTTTTATAACCAGCCAGTTTGTGCCCCAGATCAAAGACGTTTAGGTAGCTACTTGGTATGAAATGGTATAATAATGATGTTGCATAGACTTTTTGGACATGCGTATTTGTCAGGAAATTTAATTGCTTCTCCATTTTAAGTGTATAAAATAATTTATGCATTATACGCCTTTAAAGAGCAGACCTCTAAATTACATAAAAATCAATTCTTTTATTAAGCATAGTAAACTACTTTAATATATATAAGACGACTACTATATTGCTAATATGTAATATCAAGCCAAGGATCTAAATTATATTGATTATATTATTCGCTGCTTTTGATTGATATCTTAGATCTCGTATGACTCAATTTTGCAGTTAATTTGCTTTATTACGCTTGTTGGAACTAGCAGCTATAATTTTGAGTTAGTAATATACCATCTATGATCAATGAATATTCGATATTATATTCATAGATCAAGTATTGCTATTAGCGTGTAGATCCATTTCTTTACAGCATAGTTCTTTTAGGTAAAACACTTTAACCGTTAAAGTGTTTCATTTAAATGTGTATTGCTCGCGTAAACTACAGACAGTATTTTACTTCATTATAACTATGGTTACGTATTCTTCCTTCTAGCTCAAATTCACGTCCAATAAAAATCAGCAGGCCTTCCATACATGGGTAACAAGAGTAAATTTTCTTCAGAGAATCAAATGAATTAATACAAAATGACTTAATGCAACACTACTATACAACAATACTAAAACACAACAATAATAAAACAAGGCACATTTTTAATGGAACAATTATTGCAATTTGTAATGATTTGAAATTATTTAATCCTCGGTACAAATTTAAGACAAACGGGTGATTTTGGCTGGTTCACAATTGTGCGTGATTCAAAGTCCAGTTTCATTGGAGTGTCATCCACAAATCGCACTTCATATTTCTTCAAAATCGTGATAAGACCAGTTATTGCCTGCATCTTTGCGAATCGCATGCCTTAAAACAAAAATTATCATTAAAATACTTAAAACATAGACTTTCTTATTTGAATAATTAAATTAAGTAAATTGTCACTTCGCTTTCCACCAAAATTATAATGCTAATTTTGTTTCTGATGATACATTAAATTTTTTTCAATCGTGTGATAAACTAATAGATAATTTACTTTCTGTTGTTTTTTATATATATTATATAATTAAAGATAGACGTTCGTTATGTAGATAAGTTATATCTTTATTGTGATAAAGGCACAATAAATATGTAATTATAAATAATACTTTCTTTTAATCAAATTACCTATATCAATATTTAAAAATTTGATGTGCTTTTGTTAAAAAACGTTTTGTTTTTATTGAATTAAAAGTAATATTACCTATGCATATCCTTGGTCCTTCTCCAAACGGAAAATAGGAGAAAGGTACAATTTTAGCCTTTTCTGCACCTAAGAATCTTTCTGGCCTAAATACTTCAGGATCAGGGAACAATTCTGAATCGTGGTGAATATGATGCACCGGTATATGGACACGCGAACCTTTATTGATGGTTAATCCTGTCGGTAAGGTGTAGTCTTCGACCACTTCGCGTGTGATTACACCAAGAACTGGGTACAGGCGCAAGGTTTCGTTCATACAGGCCTCTAAATACGGGGTCTCAGACACACATTCATAGAACAGTTTCTTATTTTTCTTCAAATAGTCATCAACTTCTTCTACGGCCAGCTTTTGCTTGTCCGGATTCTTTGCGAGTTCATACAAGAGTATACTCAATGTGGTAGCTGATGTTTCGAATCCAGCTGCAAAAAATACAACGCATTGGGCACAGAGCAGGTCGTCGTCAACTTCCAGAGAAATTTTTTTCATCTCTCCCTTCAAATTTAAAATACTATCTCCCGTAATATGCTTCTTCTCTTTGAATCCTAATATAAGGTCTACGAAGTCATTGCGACCTGAATATTTATATTGACGTCGATCGAAAACATTTAAGAGCAAAGTCTTAAAGAAATTTGGTATTTCTTTAGGAAACGCTTCAAAGCCTAGTTTGTAGAAGATATCTGGCCAGATGGCACGTCCAATTAATTTCAGACCTCTAACTGTGGAAGGTTCAAAAATCTTACGACCCATGTCTCGGAAGGGATTATTTTCCTCTTTAATGGACAGAGCATTTGTATTGATTCCGAAAGCACATGTTCCTATGCAGTCTATAGTGTATCTTGCCATCACGTCTCTTACCTCAACTTGCGGCAATTTTGCAACTTCGTCCATTAATGCCTCTAAGGCGACATTGCATTCTTCGATTAGATAAAACATCTTCTTTATTTTCGCGGATGTAAAGAAAGGGGTCAAGTTTTGGCGAACGATCTTCCAGCTATCGCCGCTTGCAAAAAAGACATTCCGTGTAAGTACTTCGCTGTCGGAATAATCTCCATTCTCTCTACTGTTAAAGTAATAGAAATCTTTGGCTAAAACTAACTTCACGTACTCAGGATCGCGAACTATCAAAGTAGGATTCGTTCCATAGAATGCACCTATGTAAGGTTCCTTTGGAAATTTCTCACATATATCGTTCACAACATCGCTTATTGTTTTATTTAGAATGATATAATCTTTGTAATTTCCAAACACAGGAATCGGTTTCGGGTGGGGTACGCCTTTCTTTTGCCAATGATTGAAGTAACGAAATTTTATGTAAAAACTAGATAACAGAGCGAGCGCAGAACTTAACAAAACAAATAGAAGAGGCACCATGATCAAGTTCACCCGTTTGAAGACTGAATTAAAACGATGGCAGCCTATTTTTATAAGTGTATGAATTTTTTATCGCTAACAATTACTGTGATAATAGGCACAACGCTGCGTATAGGAATGGTCAAGGACGTGACGATCTTTCGGCCTGTCGGTCATTGGACATGTGTTTTTCGCTTATGTGCGCGTTTGAGTGTGTCGCCTTAATATATTTATTTAAGAAGATAATATAATCCGTCCCATACCGTTCTCTCAACTGTCCATCTTTTGGCTTTGATCTTACGACCGATAACCACATGTATATTATTCAAATGCACGACAACTTGGGCTTAAAAAACTGAGTAAAAGTTGAGTGTTTGCTACAATAGCATAGAAACATCTAATATGTGCGTGTTTGTTTTGAAGTACCCTGCATTATTGTTACAAATTTTTTCTACGACTACCAGAACTTTTTCTATGTATTTCAGAAACAACATTTTATTGACACGTGTCAGTGCAATTTTAATGTTGGTGTTACCCTGGATCAAGTTCTGCGCATGCGTAGCGTCCCCTCGATTTTATTACGATTACCACAAATGCTTTCAAGCACGGACATAAACTATTTCATTGTAAATACTAATACAAGGTTAAACCTACTTAATAAATGGTTTATTTTAAAATGCCTAGTAAAATTGACAATACACGTCATGTTCTCTTTTAGAACTTTTGCTTTCTAATAAGTTTTTTTCCCCTTCTTTGTAACTCTTGCTCATTGAAAAACAAGCAGTAGTATCATTCCAAATGTCCTCTTTGATTTCTGATTCTTAGTAAGACCATTCATTCTGATTCTTAATTTGGTGATCATCATTGCGTTGAGCTTGTTTGAGTTACTACTGTTGCTAGTATGTAATGCAGAAATTCTTGCAATTGATTTTATATTATTGTTATGATAAAAAAAACAGGCATTAGGCTAATCCCTTTTAAACGGTTTTAGGACATGGATGATAACACGCCTTTAGTGGCAGAACGCAAAATATTGCATAAGATTCCAGGTCCAACACAGAGGGAGGACAGTAGCTGCGGGCCGTGCAAAATGGAGTAGCTTAGCTGTTAGCTACCTCCAATATCATAGGAGAAGCTCAAGCTACAAGACGCCGCTGCACCGGCCACGAAAGAATGGAAGAGCACTGTAGTCGTCTTTCCAGAGGTATGTAGTACCACTGGAAAGACGACGTGGACCTCGGTGTCCCCGAGTGGTGCAAAATCGACGGATCTGGAGTTCTTTTCACCTGGAAGCCAAGACCCAGTCTGGGTTGCTGTGCCAGCGCAGTTAGTGAGTAAGTTTTATAATAAGTATAATAAAAAAACGTAAGAAACGGCGTGCTTTAGACAATATTTATTCTTTTGCGAACTTAGATTTTAAAAAAAGACGAGATTAAGTAAATTCGTGGTCACCCTATTCCAACCCGCCTCATCTCCTGTAAGTCAGTATTTCCACAAGCTCTGAGGCGTAGAAGTGCCCTCGGTGAAAACATATCACTATCTTTACATATCTCAATTTGAATTGTGTTTTCATTTTAGCGAGATAAAAGGTAATCTTATTTGCATTTATCTTTTTTTTGTCTAGGCGCCTTGAATTGACTGACTAATCCCTATAGAATAAATTAGTCGTTCACTATCTTATTCATGTCTGACATGCTTGTCTTGATGAAAGTCAGAACGTGATAAAACTTGATATTTGTTTTAAATGTTTGACTTGTTGTTTGCTGTCTAATTTATTATAGAAAACAAGCCTTCGTACATATTGTAATTAAACATATCTCTTAGTGGATTCAGTTTAATATGGTCTAAAAGATATAATTCGGTCTCTTTATTTCAACATCAAGTATCATTTTCTAAGATATATACTATTTTACTACTACATTAGATTTTTAAGGACGAACTTATTAAAGCTTAGAAGCTGGCAGAGTCAACGAGTTTAGTAGGTAACTTGTTGAACATCCAATTGATTAAAGTGATATTGTTATTGGTCTTTTACGTGAAAATCAATGAGATTCGAATCGTATGTGATTACATAATATTAGGCGGTTTAAACCGGTTTAATGAGTTTCATTAAGTGAAAGTTTTTAAATTCAGCTAAATTAATTGCTTAATTATTTATACGTAAACAAATATATGACCCTTTTAATTCTCTTACTGAAAGGTTCGTCAATAAAGATATAATGCAACAGATTGCGTCTCCTTCTGACCTTATCCTTGACCTGTCAGTGAGGTTTAAGTCTAGAATCTAGACAGTAGACATACCTAAATGTAAAATGTATTGTACGTAGTACAAATCTTTAAGTCTTTGTCGCCTGATGTGATTCATAAAGTAAAGCTGTGTGTATCAAATAATTTAACGTAGCCATTTTATCTTGATGATAGTACATTTAGCAATTCAATTACAAGGTGTTAATTTTTAAGTCGCATCTCTAAAAACTATGTTAGGTACATGTAGTTTGTGATAGAAAAGTCTAAATTGTGATTACTTTTCAACCCCGCATCGCACAAAATTTATTTCAAAGGTATTTTCAGAGATTATTTATTTATATTCTTCTAAATACAGTTTAAGGTATTTTTCTTGTACCTGTGTTCTAATCCTTTATTTATAAATGCTTCGCTGTGGAGTGAGACGTCATGTGTTCGCAGTTCGCAGGAAATACGTGCATCAATGATTACATACTATTGACGTCATGGACTCTGATTGGTGTTTCAGTGTACTGAATTGTGAATTACGATAAAGAATATTTAAATCATTACATTCTGATGTAATAAATAATAATAAACTGACTCAATGTACCCCATGCTTTTTAAATAAAAATTCTTTTAGAAAGTTGTGTTTAGATAAAAATATTTTACCAAAATAAAATCATATATTCTTCGCCCATAGATTAAAATGTTCATTAACATTTATGAAGTAAATAATGAATTAACAGAAATATAATATAGTCGCCGCATATATTGTGTCCTTGGTCAGCCCTCACCTACTGGCTGTAGTCAACGCCAGTAACTTGAATGAAATTAAATTAATTTTATCGGTGTAATTCATGAACTATATTACTGCTTTACTATTGACCACATTTGTATCCGGAACGTCGGGTCGTAGTTGAAATAAGTAAAATTTTTCTATACCTAATAATGATATATTTCACGTATTAATCCGTTAAAACGGTTTTGTTTAAATGTTGGCCATCATTACAAAATACATAGCCTAACAAAATTATAGAACGAAAAAGCCACCATACCTCCCTACCATATTCATCATGTTATAAAGTATTTCTTATATTTACTATTTTAGTGAATCTACAACATCCAGGGAAGATATGACCGCCAGGAGTTGATACGAATGGACGCATGGGCAGCCTACCAGACCTGACGGAACGCTCGCGGCCCCCGAGCGCCCGCCCCGCCGCGCGAACTGTGTCCGACCCGCATCGACATCGCACTGTTGTACCGCAGGTAAGCAAACACTGTTTAATTATACTTATACAAAAACTACCTACACACAAACCGAAAGTTAGATTCCACTAAAGTTAAAAAAAGTTGAACCCTAAAAACTACCCACGTATAATAAACTAAGATTAAGTTATGTTTGCGATAAGTCTATTCATGTAATAAGGAAGCTTTTAATTTCGTTTCTCGACTACATATCGCTGGGGCCTTCATTCCTTCATTGTTAAGTTCCAAAATCAAGAACTGAAAAAACTGTAACTGTGTAGAATTGTGTCATGTTAACATTGCTTACCTATTTATATAAAAATTCTTGTCTTAGCTTTTTAGCTCGCGTTATTTTCGGGAATTCGTCACATATCTTTTTGGTATTTAATTATTCAGACTTATTTTCATTTATAAACTTTTAGTAGATATTAAGAGTAATTAAAATTAACAATATTTCAGATTCCAGTAAGCACAATATACAAAAAGGAATGGCCATGGCGAAAAACGAAGACCCCCATAAAACTACCCCCTGTCGCTATAAACCGGCGAAGGGATTCTGTCGCGTCTTCCCTCGGTGCCGCATCAGTTCGCCGGCTCATAGCCAGGCAGCCTCAGAAGATACCCAAACCAATAATAACGAGGTTCACCCTCCTCTGCGTAGCAAGCGGTCTTTCCTCCACAGCGCTCCTTCCATTTACTGCTTTCGCTGGCGCCGAAGCCGGTGCCATGCCACTCGCAATAATGCATTGCATTGCGGCCATTGCCTCACCATTCTCCCCCCTCATTCTCCAAAAGACAGGAACGAGAATGGTCTTAAATCTCAGTTACGGTCTAATATCTCTCTTATTATCAGTTCATACGGTTGATGCTCCTCTAACAATACTCCTTATTCTCTATGCTGTCTGTGGGCTAATGTTGTCCCCAATGGAGTTAGCTTTAGCTGCGTCTGCCACGTCCTTTTCCCAGGCGGCTGGAGATGAATGTAGAAGGAAGACTGTTCTACGTCGAGCGTTGAGAGCTTTGCGAGCGTCTCAAGACCTGGGTCTCGTGGTCGGGTCTCTAATGCTGGGAGGAGCTTTACTTATTTGGCCGGAAAATTTGTTGCTACAGTCCGACGCGATACACAATTATACAACACCCAGTTGGCCACCGTCTGAAGACGATTTGGTGGAAGAAGATTATGAGGTAATGACAACAATTTTCTAAATATCCACGCGACCCTGAAAGTAAGAACTCGTCGAAAAGTAGTGTAATTTTTCTGTCAACTGTAAGAACAAGTGTATCATATAATCTATCACAAATCTATGCGATTTGTGATAGTTATTTTTAATTAGTTAATACAATATAATTTTTTGTCAATTGATGCCCGATGACATTGAAAAGAAATGCGAATGTTATTTTTTCTTGTTAATTAAAATCCGGAAATATTATCTTTGCCTCATTTGATAAAATTCGTTATCGCCTTATATAAATTTAACTGTTTAAAAACTATAAAAATAATACTTATTTTAACTACGCCGCAAGGTTTTGAATGCTTTGCAGTGACCGCCCAATTTTGATATTAACTGCATATAAAAAGCCTCTTGTGTAAGTAACTTCAGAGCAAGTTTCTGACGTTGTGTTTAATACCAAGAAATAACGTGGCTCCAGTAGGCCATCTAAAATACGCAATAAGTTTAACCATCAATTTCAAAAAGTAAAGAAAAATATATGCCTTTGCAGGAACGAACATGCGGAGCATCTGGCTGTCCCGATATTCAGGCTCTTGTAGGAACCGCTCTCAGCGTACAAGGTCGACGGGTCCTAGTAGGAGTGTGGGCTTTTTTGGCTTTCACTGCGTCCATTTTAGCCATTTACGGAGCTGCGTCAACACCCTCGCCACCTCCTGACGCCAGATCAGTGTTAAAGGACGCGAGGGGACTTCTGGGTATCCCTATGGGGTTGTTCATTGGATTGCAACAGGGTTTTATTTATACTTCGTATATTAAGGTAATTTTATATTACAAATAGTTATATAGTATTAACTATATATTTAATCGCCTCTAAAGCTAAATGATTGTATTAAGCATGTAAGGTCCTAGGTTCAAATCACGGGGAAACAATAGATTATGTCCGTCAGACAATAAAATTCTGAGCAACAACCTTATCTGCAAATAAATTCGATCAGTAAAATCGATGCAGATGTGTTCGCCCCATGCCTTACGAGGACAAATTTTGATTTTACTTTTAGATGTCTGTATATTTTTTTTCCACAAAATACAACTGTTCTAACCACCCGCGACTTCGTCCGCGTGGATTTTGGGCATCATATTGTTTATTTCTACAGTCCTTTTTTATAAATTACTAGCTGTGTCCGCGGCGTAGAATTTTTTTTTTCAATTGAACATTTTGCTATATTTTTTTACTCCTATTGGTCGCAGCCTGATGCTATAGCCTCAGGTCTTCGTTGATAAATGGCCCAACCAAAACAAAATGCTTTATAATATTAGTATAGATATAAGAATTGAAACAATTGTGTACAGTGGTATGGTGTATGCGTTGGAGGCTGGAGCGAAGCATGGCGTGCTTTATGTGGAGCCGGGGCACTGCAAGCATTAGCAGCTGCTACCCTCAGCATGGCTGCTGCCCGCGGCAGGCGAGGTGCCCTGGCTGCTGGGGGCGCTGCTGCACATGCATCATTGCTGCTAGCGCTGTTGCGATGGCGTGCTGCAAGGACTGATTTAGCTCTACCTACTGTAGCAGCATCGGCCTGGGGAGCTTGCGCTGCTTTGTGGGATGTTTTACAGGTTGGAGTTGTATATAGACCGAGCTATACTATAAGATAGACATATCCTGCCGCGGGTCTACTTTTCAGTTGCGAGTATTCTTTTCGTTATATTATTCTTCGTTCTTTCTCTACCCCTTCTTATCGCAGTTTTTTTTATACTTCCTGTATAAATGTAACCAAAGATTTAAAACTGATAAGATATATCAGTTTTAAATCGGTCGGTGGTTTTCTCGGATCAACCAATCAACATAGACCAAAAATTTTCCCCGTTTCGTTCACATTTCCCCCTGTATCTTCGCTGTATAAACTAACTCTTCAGCTTTATTATCATAGATTCACTGCAAGGAGTAATTAGTTGGCGTGGCGATTTGATAAACTAAAATATTAATTTCATAGAAATATTTTTTTTGTAACTTACATTGAATATTGACGAATTGTCTGTGGCGTTGGGGAACCTCCATAATCAATACCTCGGTAACCATAACTGCTGCAAAGCATCCAAAACGTCAGGCAGTAGTTTACATAAGTTAACTAATATTCCACGTTTAAAACCGTTAAAAATGTATTTAAAGGAATATTTAATATTTATGAAATGCTTCCAGGGCGGAATATCTGTCGGTGGTCCTGGTTGGCGAGGTCCTTGGTCCCTCACTTTGAGCGCAAGACACGCCGGCCTTGCTCTGGCCTGTGCAGCCCGGCAGGTCCTCTGTGTGCGAACTCAGCTAGCTGTATTAGCTATGGCGCTGTTCACAGCACTCGCTGCGCATGCGATGCTAGAGCTAAGACTACGGAGGGAACTGCGCCACAGGTCTTAGCGACGAAATGGCCCGAGCGCCACCCCGGATACCGCTTTTAGTGTTATCGCATAGACAATCATGTTTTGTGATAATGTCTAGACATACTTATAATATTGTAAATATTTATTGTTTATATGTGCTACATTCAGTGCGAATTTTTAATAATTAACAAGATTTATCAATGTGACCAATGTGTATTTTTCACATATTGTTAGCTGTCTACTAATCAAAACCTCGTTTGCTTGGAGAAAAAACTAGTCAATTTTCAATATAAGCTAACGTATTATATGTTTAAAATCTCTAGCCTAGGCTAGAAATAAAGCTAGCTAGAGCTATAAAACTAGATTGATTGTTATAATTACTTTCAGAACATTCTAGGTTCTACAAAAATACCTTAAAATAGTGACGTGAAAGACTTGAAACATAGTTTTTGACTAACAACCTATAACTAGCTATTACAATCTACTGATTCTGTATAATATATTAATATTAATAAATAGCATTAGTTGTCCTTATGCATCGTTAAAATCTTCATTCAGTAATTTTTAAGCTCTGAATATGAATTGATATATGAAATAACATATCTACGGATCATAAGAAAAATGCGATAAACAATGATCCTATCTACGCCCAAATTTATTAAATTCAGATAACCCGAGGTTATCTGAATTTAACCGTCACGTGTTATAAATAATATCACGCTGATTATATTCCGATATTCTTTTTCTAACCATCTGTTAAAATTTATCTACTCTTGATGTAATAGACACGACAACATAATATTACAAATGTACAGTTATCTTATAAACTTTTTTCTAATTATGACCGTTACACGTTGTACTGTCTGAAAACTTTAATGGAATATTTTTATTTATTTATATTCAATAAGGTAGGGAATATTTGTAATAAATTATCATTACTGTAATGCCCCACACAGGGTGACTTTCCCTAAGTGCTGTGAATGTTAGACGAATAAGTACTTAAATGTAGGAAAATATTTTAACTATTGTAAAACATCGGTTTTGTAAGAAAAATCTATTCTCTTCCACAATCTACCTCCCACAGTGAGGTATCTTTTAACCAGATTGTAAATACGGACTTCATTATTTAAAACACTGGCCTTTATAATATTTTTTCTGATTATACATTTATATACTTTACTTAAAATATTTAGTCAGATTTCATACACTCAACTTGATATTATATTATATACTAAGAAATAATTTATAGAAAGTCCCGTAAGTAGTGTTGTTGAGATGAAATTTATTATCTATAACCGGCCGGTATAGTTTCTGAATGGTTTTCTATTTATTATCTGTTGCGTGTTGTTAATTATTAAATTTAAGACACGACTTTTTTATGTTGAATGTTTCGCAAAAATACTTAAAATAATTATATAATTACCTTGCACTCAACTTTGTTAAAATGTATCAGTCGACTTGAAGTACTTAAGCCACTCTTACATCCTATAGAGAAATAAAAGATAAATGTGAAAATGTTTAGATTTCTAACAGAAAATAAATATTGATTGTTGACTGTTGATTTATTGACGTTTTATCACCTCACATAGCGATTTGATAAACGAATAGTTTATTTTGCACAATGATCTTGCAGAAAATTATTATTATTATCATTAATATTTAAGTTATGAAGTTACATATTTAAAAATTCACTACACAATGTAGATCAATTTTACTTGCAAAGTAGTACACTAAACCTAAGCAAAAATAAGTATGTCTTATTGGTCTATCGTTATCAATCCCCTTGTTTAGCCATAGCGGGATTAAGTGTTTTTGATACTTAGCCAATATCAAATGAAAATATTTTTGAGTAAAAATTATTAGGGTAAACTAACAACATAGGTGTACTACGTTTAGTGAAAAAATAAATAGTGTCGAGCTAATTTTAATTAAGGCTGACATTATTTTATCACGGCTAGGAAAGTTTTTAAATTGCGTATAAATAAAACTCAGAATAAACATTAACACAATTTTATTCTTACATATAATATAGCCCCCACTTTTCAACATTATTGAATCTTTTGAACAAAGACCGCACTGCTGACTTACCTACTCGATTTCAAGCTTCTTTTTTAACGACTTTATTTAGAATCGTTATTATTGTTGGCGGGGAATGTTATCAAATTGGATAACAATAATATAAGGACAGATTATATAATTTAAAAATCTGAGCTGACATATTTTTTTTTATAGCGCGTTAGATATATTCACTGTTCTGAATGAGCCAGAAGTGCTTTCCTTATCAAAAGTCGTATATCGCGTGTAAAAACCGTCCAAAATCTCTACCTGGGCCTAATTAAATATACATATAATATATTGTAAGATAATAACGGCAATTTAGTTACACTTACAAGAACACAATTTAAGACTGTTCGTGACCTATTGTATTTTGATTGTTCTGCTACCACAGACAAATAGATAGATAGACATTACTAAATTATTATAAGTGAAATGTACGACTTAGTAAAAACAATTCTCTATCATCTATTGTTATCAACACGTCTGTCTTATAAGTTGAATATTTGTGGAGGCATAGAATTAGTGTGTAAAAATTCAATTCGGAGACAAGCCTCCGAAATCTTGCTAAATTTAAAAGTAAAAACTTTGTATTGTCTTGATTCGATTAAAAATATTGAAAATAATAATACCAATTTCACTTAATTAGTAATGTAGCAACAGATAAATATTTCTTTTCCCTTTGATCAGGCGCATTTTTTCTACAACAAATGGAAATCAGCACCCAAACAAAACACAACAGGCACCATTATCTACGTCGCGTATAACTAATTTTGCCGTAAGATACACGTCAATAATAATAAACATTATTGTCTGCCTAGATAGTTTAACAGCTAGTTTACCTTCAAGTCTTAGAAACATCTCAATTAACAAGCATTTGGACTAAATGGCTAAACGAGACACGCCGTTTATAACACATACGGGCTTCACTAGGCCGTGATAAATTACATTAATTGACAGATAAATGTATGTATCGATTGTCATGTGTATTCTGTTTTCCTGTAGTTCAAGGAACATAGAAAGATAAACGACCTTCATAATATATTCTGTAATTTAGACTAAAAACTGTCTTCAGTGTATCACGACCCGTTCCAAAAACAATGACAACAATTTGCCATCCTATATTTTTTATTCTTAAACAACAACTAGATTTTAACTTCATTGACGATTTTATTTTACATTCACATCAATAAATATTAGACAAGTTACAAACTGTCATTTCGTTAGATAAATGTGTAGACGTCGATACCAATCGTAAAAATAGGCCAACACTAAATTCTAATTTCAAAACACAGTCTAGGGCATAGATTAAACATATAACAAACTCTGGACGCTCCCTTTCTTTGTTTAAATCTGTCAAAGTCCATATAGTACACGTTATTGCCACGACTAGAAAGGAAATACGTACAAAAAGAAAAACAAAAACCAAAAAATATACAACATTTGTCTTTATTAATCGTCTATTCATAAAATCTAAATTAGCATCACAATAATAATCAATCAGCGCATAAAATAAACAGCTTACAAACAAATTAAAACAACTTATCGGAAATATGAACTAAAATGTATGTAAGTGTATCGCGTTTCATTACCAGACCTTCTAAAGTAAAATCATAAAAATAATACAGATATTAGAAATACTTGCGTTAACGGCCTATTTTTCATAATAGGAACTCATTTCTTTCAGTACTACGGTCTACGTATAGAATATTAAAATGAAATAAATTATATTTGAAAACATTTATTGGTTAATGATTTAACTGTGGCTGTAAATTGCAAAAGAGAATGCTTGTAAAACTAATAATTATATCAACATCTAGTTTTACAAACACCCAATATAGGTTACTGTATGAAGAACCGTTCTCAAAACTGACTCCGAAAGAAAAATTATACTAATTGCACCGTTCAAAAAGAAAACGTAGTACCGAAGTTATACCTAAGACACAGGTTTCAAAAACAATTGAGCATTTTCTAACCCGACATAACAGAATCGATACAAAAACACATACTAGCTTACATGAATAAATTAAGACTTAGAACACGGAAATGCACGTTTAAGTCCCGTACTGTTGCCCGTAAGTGGCAGTCCTGTTGCTATCCTATTAGTTTGCAAGATGGCTTCAACAAACTACAATCTCATGTTATAAAACCTTAGATAATATTCGAGACAATTGACAAAATGAAGGCTTTCTTCTGCTTTGTTCTTTCTTAAGTGTGAAAAAATTTACTAGAATTTTTCATGGAACCACTGCTGGTCGTCGGAAACACCGTACATAACTCTAAAACTAATAAAGGTCTTCCAAATAAAATAAAATAAACATTCACAATATACATAAAACATTGCGTTACACGTAAAATGTTATTAAAAATTAAATAAATTAAAATTCACTACAAAATCATGTCCAGGAAAATTAATATAATCAGAAACTTGTCATTCAATTACGGTTTCGGTTAAAAATAATAGTAGAAAACGCAACTGTTTAACAGTATGCATTTAAACCCGATACACAGGATTCCAGTGTGCAGTCGCATTTGACTAGCTTTAATGTTCATATACTAAAGCTATAATTAATTTTCAATTAATTACAAATTGATTAAATAAACAAGCGCCTATGTTTTTGCATCAAAAGATTACAAATCGAAAGAAAAATACGCACACATTTGATATTTTTACCCAAATCGGCAGCAATAACATGTACAATGTATACACAATGCAATTTAGAATAATAATTCAACTAACCAGTAGCCGTACGCGCTAAGATCTACCCCGAAAACAGATAAATACCATTTTTTTAAGCTCCGCACACATGAGATGTCAATTGTCAAACTATAAACCTCAATTCCTAAAACGTGTGGACGAAGCTTTGACTACTTTACGCGCGAAATTTTAAAAATGGCGAAGAAATCTGCACAGATTATGCCACGCGGCTATATCCGTGCACGCGAACGGGCTAGATGGCGCTGGAAACAAAACCGAAGCGGTGAAATTGAAACTCCTAGTGTTGTAGACTGTGCCTACACGGGCGTGTAGTTACCGACCGGCTTGTAGAAGGCCTGCCCGGTGACTATGCGGCGGCAGATTTCCTTAAGAAGCAGACCTTTTTCCTTCTTGATCTTGACGAGGAAACCGCGGTTTTCATTCGCGCGCCGCGATAGGTACGGTAGGACTTCAAGGACCGGACCGTATGGCACATACTTGTAAGCGGAATAACCGGCTTGACCTGAAAACATTAAACAGTATATATGATAAAGTATATTTTAGTGTTAATAAAAATTAAAATAAAAAAAAGTTTTGACGACTACAAAAAGTGCGCCAGAAAGCATGATCGTCTACAACGTCTTGTAAGCTTTTTTATTATATTTATTATTGTGGTTTATCTATTTCATTCAAAGACAATGTGTTTTTTAAGATAGAGAAGAACAGACAATAATGTTCAATTCATAGTTGGTGAAATACCATATAAAAGTAATATAGCCATATAAACAAGATACGTTGTCGACCGTTTCGACTATGGTTAAACGGAAAATCTCAGACTGAAATGGAAACGCCTATACGAAATCAAACAAGTTTCAAAAACATTATAAATTGATTAGAACGTTGGACCCTGTGGGAGGGATCATTAGCTATGCATTGATCCCCCCCGGCATTGCATTACACTTCATTCATTTTTTTAGCAATAACATCTACTTACCAAGTGGGAAGGTGATGTGGTCACACATGCCTAGAAGCTGTCCGAAGCACACAACTCGCTCGTCCGGCTGGATGTTGTAGTCGCGCATAAGCTGAATGGCGTAGCGAATTGTGTCTTCGTTGTGAGACGCCACCATAATACCCAGTTTCTGCTGGCGTTCGTCCTGCAATGCATTTGGATTACTTGTAGCGAGATGAATTTACCGTATTTTTCTCACACACCTTCAGAGATTTAACTCCAATAAATATTTGTTTGTTATTGATTCCAATGGCCAACTTTATAAAATGAAGTCAAAATCAACATATGGGTGGATGATAAAATAACTATAGTAGAATTCGTACGTACATAATTTAAAAGACATTAACCTTTAAGTGAAACTCAACGGTTTAACAAGCGATATATATTAGTTAAACTTATTTGAAAATATGTTTGTCACGGGGACACCACGGCTACAATACAAAGCATCCCAAACGTCGGAAAGTTTGACTAATATATATCGCGTTTTAAACAGTTAAAGAGTTATTTAATCTATATTACTAGCGTAAACTACAGACAGACATAATCCTATTAATACTTACGTAATACACTAAATATTTTTTTCTTTTTATTACTACATTATAAAAGATATACGCATTATATGTTTCTTGTCTGTTACACACCTTAACTCTGCCAAGGATCTCTTTGAGACATTTGTGGAAGGAGTTGGTAGTCGCATCCACGCTTTCACAAGTGGGGTCTTCGTATCCCATGGCGGCAGCACGGGCGCGCTCCTATTTGTTAAAATGTTGATATAATTCAATAATACTCAATATACACTCTTATAAAAACTAGAAAGTGGAAATCACAAAAGGATGTATACGAAAATTACTAAAAATCGACTTTTTCATACTTTTTGGGCAACTATGTACACTGAAGTTAATAATAAATGTTAAAGTAAGTAAGTATATGATATATTTAGATTATTAATGGGTCAATGTTTATAATATTATTTGTATTTAAATAAAACGCTTTTAAGTTTTAATTAAACATGGAGAGGGTACTCTAAACACTTTCAAAGTAAAAACTGCTATGCTAACGCCGTGTTTGTTGTGTAGTTAAAATTATATACAAATTGCCATACCGAAACTGGTTGGCTAATTTATAAACAACTTTAACTAATAAATTTCGCGTTTTAAGTCGTTTAATGTGTTTTATTTAAATATGTACTATTAGCGTATACTAAAAACAGTATCGTATCAACAGTAGTTTAGTATCAAATTTATCTGTTAAAACTTTTGAATTTGGAAAAAGTTTAAACACCTAAGGCGGCTCCAGCTCGTTAAACATGAGCTAGGTAATGTAACACTGACCTGTTCAATATAAGCGCCACGTACAAGCTTGGCCCCCCAGAAGAAGTTCTGCCTCTCAGCCTGTTCGAGATCCGTCACGATTTCATTGTACGTGTTCTTCAGGTAAGTCTGGTATGTATTGAACACCACAAATCTTCCCTGAAAAATTAATTATGAAATGTATAATTAATACAAGCAAAAACTATATTGGGCTATAAGTGTGTTGTCATTGCAAGTGAAGTGTACAAATATTGTTGTAATAAAAGATATTAGAAAATCTTCTTTACCTTGTTATACCGTCTCATCATCTCCAAGCAGATCCGGGAAATCGCAGGTTGGAAGTAGGTCTGTTCAGCATCTATCATAATCCTTACATCCACTTCCGCCGCCACCTGGAATATTTGGAAACATATATATCACATACAGAACTAAGACATCATAATAGAGAACTAAGAGCGGGCAAATTCCTGAACGAAAACACAGCGGGAATTATTTCTTACGCAAGATGGACACATGTCCATCTTTTAAGATTAACTTGCAAGAATGACTGGACGCGACAGACGTCGTGGACAATAGTTTTAAACTATAAAGACGAAGAGGAGGTTTGCAAAATTAAATTTTGATGGCTGAAATAACTATTCTACGTGTACGAAGTCGTTACAGCTAGTAAAAAAAAAGGTTCTTACCTGAATTATGTGGTTCAAACGCCGCAACATATTCCTGAACATCTCCTCTTCTTTAGGAGAAATCTGCGAGATGAGACGACGCATCTGACCAGACTTCGGGTCTGGCACTCGGAAGGAGTCCGACAAATTCATGTCCTTGTCGAGAATGTTCGACCAGGGAAACAAGTGGACGATACTGCAAGAGAAATCATTATTTCATCTCTCGTATATTCAAACCATGTAATTTTACTGTATTCTTATAAGTATATAGGTTAGCACTAAACTATTTATTTAGTAGATATTATCTTAGCATTTTAGACATATTATAATATATTAGTAAGTAGATAGAAAGTAACAAGATTCCCAATTGTACATATTTTATCGAAACTAATCATACTACCAATTATACCATGGGAGTGGGAGTGAGTGTAGAATTGAAAGTAGGAGTGATGTGAGGTGAGAGTCGGAGCGTTGCGGCAAAGTAACAATTACAACAAAGATTGCCTGATTACAACATGGCTGCCTTAAATGCGCAGTTAAGTAAATTAATACACAGCCTAAATAATTAAAAATTCTACCGCCAGTTACTATTCCCCGCGGACGTAGTCGCGGGCACAGCTAGTATTCTATATGGGATTTTTTTTAAGGTAAGGTAACTAGCAATACGATTTGATAAAAATAGGACTGCTGCTCTCTTTAATAAATAGTACTTTTGAGATGGAACTAGTTAGTACTTAAAAATTGTTGAGTTGGTTACTACCAGACATTTGTTCTTCGCAAGGTATCATTGTCTGTAAAATAGCTTATCTAGCAATAAAGAGCTTTATTAGCGAGTGATACAACTCTTACGATAATAAGGCGTTGTCACTGACCGGTCCCACGGAAATAAATGCAGCATACTGAAAAATATCACTCGCTGGAGGCTTTTTTGTTTCAAATCCCAAGAGAATCGACCATTTCGCGCATCTAACGACCCGTGTCGAATCGATTAAAATACTTTACGATTCTACTATTCATAGTATTCAGCTAGAACATTATATTTAATTAATTAATCTACGCTAAATCAAAAAACAAAAAAAATGAAGTACTTTAATTTACTTTTTTTTAAACTTAATTATTGATGTAATATTTATTGTTGATGGGTATCGTCAGGGCTTGTAAATTTGAAATCTCTTTTAAAAATTTAAGCGATTCAAAAGCAAGTCTTTATCTAAATATATTTTAAAAAATATGATTCAGAACCTCTACTACTGCACATGCGGTTAATATATATTACTCACCCCTCCTTGTCCGAAGTGATTTTTTTCATGAAGTCCTGAACTTCTGGCTTAGTTGAATGCTCCCCGAGGTATCGTTGAAAGTCCTCGATGGTTTTGTGGTGAGTTAGCACGTTACCGGTACCACCGGCAATTTGCTGCATGTAGTTGCGCGCGCGCATAATAACCTCCGACAGTTGAAGCTAGAAAAATGAAAACACATTCATCATTTACAATCTTTTTGCTTATGATTTTTTTTGAAGTTTTTAATTAGGTTATGAGCTATTTAAGTTGCAGAACACTTACAAGTAATTGTGGTCTTCCAAGAGCTGTCAGTTTTACAGCCATCAAACCCGTACTCTCCGTTATACCTAGACAAATAGATTTCACTTAAAAATATGATTAATTCCTACAAGACATATGAAAGAAAAGTATTAATTATGTATATAATACTCAATTACATAGAAAATATATATTATAGTAAATACTTCTCTATAGCGCCAAATACGAATAGATGTGGCAACAAATTTGAGCAAATCAAATTATTACAGGCGTATACAATATTCGTTACCCGTAGTGAAACTTTTGTTTCGTTTTAAAGAAAACGGTTTGATTTTTAAGATCAGTTGGTTAAACAAAAATATTCTTAAAAAAACCTACCGGCGACTGCATCAATACTCTTAAGGAACGCTTCCATGTTCTTCTCGCAAGATGCTTCGTTCAAGTAGAAGTAAGTTCTGGCGCTGGTGACTTTGTACCGACGGTCGGCAAACCGCTGCTCCACATGGTACTGTTTCAGCTGCCCTTCTTCTTCCGTGTCTCCACATACTGAGATTGAGGCACTGTTAATTCAAAACAACACGTTACTTTCATTCGAATGTCTGAAGGGAATAAGTATTGTAAGTACGGAATGTACACTGAAACTAATTTGAGGCTGCTAGAGGCAATAAGGACGAAAATATAAATGCGCAATTAACTTCGGTGAAAATGTATTGAACTATTATTTGTGTAAAAATTATGTTAACAATTTTCAGCAATTGCTCTTGTGATTAACATTTTTAGGCTATGAAAATATAAATAACTCAAGATAAAAATTGCAGTTAGGCTACTCTGCCTCAAACGGCGTCAGTTGTGCCTAGGCTCTGAAGATCATACTACGTTATTTAAGGCACATCCTTGAAAAACAATGCCGTACACTTTTGGCACAGTTTACAGATGAAAATCGCGGGTTAGATAGATCTTACACGTGTTAGGGCGACACAGTTTATTCTGCCAAGCGGTACGTTAGTGAAATTTAGGCTTTTATCCTTTACAGGACTGTGATAAGACAGTGGGATGTTATTTGGAGTTTTATTCATAATACGTAAACGATTTGCATCCTATTTTGCTGTTTTATATATACCTAATGTTAAAAATATCGCTGCGATATTATTTTTACATGAGTAATCTATCAACGATAAATTTTTTTGCAAATCTATTAATATCTACTTTTAAGATAATCAATCTTTTCAGTGACAAAATGACAAGGCAATCTTTTCGCGTGGCTAAAGCGTGATGGAAGTGTTTAGTATCGTCACAATCAAACTTTTCGAAACGGTCTAGCGATTTCGCAGACGATAACTATTTATCTTAAAAATCCGGAATTTGTCTACTTATAACTGGACGAGTGGAGTTGTATGTACGATTCCGATGTTGCAAATAGTTATTAGGTATATATGAGACGACAACTTTTCAAAGCAAGGACGCCATGTTGGATCTAAAAAAAAATTAGCGCGACATCATCAAAAAAAACGAATGATAGCGACAAAAGCTAATCGCAAATCGTAGACAAGGTAAATCCGGAACCGCTTAAAGTATAGTTATATTAAATAAAATAAGGTTGTAAAAATTTTATCTACTATAATTTACGTAAAATAAGTTACGCAACTAGGTACGCCTGCTAAAAAATTACGCGCGACAAGGTCACCTCTCTCATCTTCCACCTTGTTGAGCATTGTTGCTATGACAATCGTTAGTCTTTTGCTAATATCGGAGATGTGTGTTTGGCTTATACAAAAATAAGTTATTTTTTATATTTAATGGCCTGGTAACGAGACCTTTAAGCCAAGTCTTATTTTTACTTCACACTCTTCTTCTTGTATAGACTCTATAGTGTTTTTAATGTATTTGTATAACGCAGTATAACACTTTTTGTGTTTAAGTAAATTACTCAACTGGCGGCGGACGGTTTCACTAGCTTCTATAATATCACTTGCCAATGTCTTAGTCTATGAAAAATAATACATATTTTTTAGTGTCAAAAACACTAAAAAAATATGTGTTCGATGTCTCCTTCTTCGTCACAGTAGTTGCAAATATTGCTATTTATTATATTGAACCTCGCAAGATGTGCGGGTGCGGCATTGTACAAAAATAGGTACGTATTTGATATCCATAGACAAGTTTTTTTTTTCAAGACTTAAAGACTTGATACCCGATAGAACTATGTCAAAAAAAGATTTGATTAAATTAATTGTGATTTCACAAGTGGTGAAATTCTTATGTACTGATATCCTTTAGGATACAAGACAGAGTAATACTTAAGATAGAAAGGGATGGCTAGCGTTTGTCACCTCCGTATATAACTGTATGCGACGATGGTTACCATGGAAACACGATTCCGCCATTTGAAGTCTTTCAAAAATACCAACACACATATACCTTCATTTTTTAATGTAAATAGATTTTTCTGCAGTTAATTTTCATTTATTAAGTTAGGACCACCCCGTTTATAATCGAGATTGATTGCGGCATCGTAGAATCAAAATGTGAGATAACAAATTATTTAGCTACAAAAGAGTATGTCTATTCAAGTGATAGTGAAAATTCAGTATGGTCTTTTATTACAGTTAATAGGCCGTAGTAACTATATTTTAGTATTAAGATTACTTACTATGGCTGATGGAAAGGTAAATAGTTTTTTATAATCATTCAGTTTTTGATGTATAAAATACTACATATTTAAAAAGTATTTAAAATGTATAACTAATTAACTGATCGAGTTGTCTATATTTACTTTTATATATACTATGAAAAAACTAAAACTACAACTGAAAAATAAAATATAAAAACCCGGCTAATAAGAGTTCTTGTAAATTCTTAGCTTCATTCTTTAGTAGTTCGGCTAAGCGTAAACTTGTGCTGCCACTGAAAATTCATAAAAATTATGAATAAAAAAATAAAATAAGTTGCGAAAAACTACTACTTCCGGGCTATTTCGCTTTAGATAATTTACTTTAGAATCATTAAGTTCTTTTAAAATAAATAACATTACTAATTTGTTTTTTTTTTTAATTTAACAAATATATGGCGCATAAGAAAAATAGTCGGGCAACGTAGGTACAGTTAAAGTCTATATCCTTGCCTATTATGTTGTAGACAATTAGTTGTAGTTTTCATTTAAAATCTGTAGACGTAATGAACAATGACGTTTAAAACAATTTATGCCGCACCTTCAATGAAAGTACAGAGTAGCTTATGAATATTTATCGTAGCGTACAATCTTTCATAATTGAAAGCAGTAACACGTGATAGCTACAAGGTTAGCATCTGAAGCCTTCTACGTAAAATCATAACTTCATTATTCGTGTCGAGCATCGGAGAACAATAGGAAAAAATACTACCACATCTACATAGATCATCTGTCGCCTACACACTTGGGCTTTGTGCTATTTTCGTCTCGGTTTTAGGTTTTCGTGTCGAATACGGTGAAATGACGTTACAAGGGCGTTTTGGCTTTTTTGAATACAGAGATACGTTCAGAAATATAGTTATAGTATTAAAGGATAATAATATACAATATTGTGATATTAATATAATCTACGGACTATATTGTCATATTCACACGTTGACGGGTTCGTTAGTCTAGTAGTAGCGATGTAGCTAATAATCAGCACATCGGGGTACGGTCCCAACCGGGTCCCAACTGGGGGAAATATGTTAGTCTTCGTCTGGAAATCTAGAGTTAATACGGGTAATAGGAATATCGAAATTCCGTTCGGGCACAAACCCCCTTCCACAAAAAAAAGCCATGAAGTTTAATCGCGTTTCGGTTTTAATCTATGTATTTCCGAATATCCAAAGCTCATACTTCTGTCCTCGTCTATCATTAAAAAAAATGGAAAACGCTATTTCATTAGACGACGTTATGAAGTTAATAAAAAGGTCGAGTAAATTTTTTCTAAGAGATAAAGTTTGGATTACCTAACTTCGCGCTTCTCAGCCTCCTCCTGCGATAGATCTTCTTCGACTGAGTAATCCAGGATCGATTTTACACCGAATGAACGCAATCTGAAAATTAAACAGTGTTATTTTTCTAACCGAAATGCTATAAGTCAATAGCATCGAGGGTATAAAGTAGACATAGTTTGTTTGCTTACTTACTGAAAAGACTATTCAAAGACAATTAATTATAGTTATAGAGCAATCGAACGCATTTTCTCTTGCTTATTCAAAACAACAAGAAGTACAACATATAGATCTAACTGCGGTATAGTATGAAAATTTCTCTATCTAGGTAGGAAGTGCTAAACATTTGGAAGATGCTTGCCTTTCGATGGTTGGGCGAATGTTGTTTTGGTCTTCGCCAGCGACGAACTGCCCGTAAAACGTCGCTTTCATGATGGCTTCGAAGAGACGCTGGCCTACAAGTTGACGCAGGCGTTTCATCAACTGTAAAAAGGTTAAAAATCATAAATAATTAAGTCCTGCACTACATATACCACTAGATAAACCCACAATTCAACATTTATGGAAATGTGAAAAAAAAAAAAAAAAAAAAAAAAAAAAAAGAAAAGGAAAAAAAAAAAAAAAAAAAAAAAAAAAAAAAGGGAAAAAAAAGAAAAAAAAGAAAAAAAAAAAAAAAAAAAAAAAAAAAAAAAAAAAAAAAAAAAAAAAAAAGGGGGGGGCCCGGGGGGGGGGAAAGAAAAAGGAAGGGGGGGGGGGGGGAAAAAAAAAAAAAAAAAAAAAGAAAAAAAAAAAAAAGGCGTTTTAAACCGTTAAAGTGTTTTATTTAAAATATACTACATATATTTATAACAAATATTACAAATCTTTATAGTATTTTCTGTAGTTTACGCGAGTAGTACACATTTAAATAAAACACAACGTCTCCCGTGACCACGGCAGCTACAAAGCATCCGAAACGTCGGGCCGTAGTTAAAATCATTTGTAAATAAGTTTAACTAACACATAGGTGTTTTAAACCATTATAAGTAATTTATTTAAATACCATATATACTTCCAGTTTTATAATGTTATGAGGGTTAGAGGAGATTCTAATCGAGCTAGACGATATAATCAAATTTATCTCAATCCCATTTATCTACATTCAGACTCAAAACAAAACAAATGTCCTTATACACACTAGAGATTCATCCAAACAAAATCCAAACTGCGAGTAGTATTATTACTAAATATCCGGCCGGCAATAATTCGGCAGTTGACATTCATGAGACCCATACAAGGATACGAAAACATCCTACAGACAGGGCTGCCACGATATTCTATACTTGGAACAATGAAAAAATTAAACATAACAATATTAATATTGTAATAATACTTGTAAATTATGTTTGAGGCACGAAAAAGTCACCACATGAATTCCAAACACGAATATTTCTTTAATTTGTAATTCGAGGAAAATTAAGGATTATTTTGTAATAAGTTAATGTAATCCAAATTGTTTTGTATATACACATTCTGTAGGTAAAAACAAGAATATGTGATTTCAAATTTAAAGGTAATAATATTTATTTAAAATGTAGACTATTATTTTTTTAAGCGGAGGCATCTGTAACTGCTTCTGAATTAATTACTAATTATTGTGACAAACAGACAGTTCTGTTAAAAACGAGAGTATCTTACATACTTAGATAAAATGTATAAAAAACAAATTTCAATGCATTTATTTTAAAGTGGCGTATTTTGATATGAGAACCAGTTTGGGTTTGTTTTATTTTAAATTGGTAATTTACATAACTTATCTAAATGGGAGAAAAAAATACAAGTATGTATAGAATATATAAATAAAAACTTAGAAAGGTTACGCACATATTTCTATAATTGTACCCCTATTATGAATATCAAAGTGAACTATTTCGTATATGCATAAGTGAAAAAGATAAGTTGAGTACGACATACATATGTGCATATAATTATTGTGATTATAGAACAGACAGAAGAAAGAATTTTCAAATAAAAATGTTCCCATGTCTGTCTGTCTGTTACTCTTTCACGCCAGAACTACTGTACAGATTTGAATGAAATTTGGTACACAGATGGTCTAGAGAAAGAACATAGGCTACTTTTTATTGCGAAAAGGGGGGTTGTTGCGGAAGGAATTTGTATGGAAATTCATAGTTTTTGAAGCTAGAACAATGAAACTTTTTTCTTTGGCTTTTTGGGAATAGGAGTGGGATGAGACGGGAGTGGGAGTTTGATTAGGAGTGATGTGAGATGAAAGTGTTGCGGAAAAGTAAAACAAAGATTGGTGCGATAAATGCGCAATTACATAAATTAATAAACAGCCTAAAAAAAATACAAATTCTACCTCAAGACACTATTCTACGCGAACGAAGTCGCGGGCACAGCTAGTATTTTATATAAGAAATCCAAACGGGATTTTTTATGATTGTGGACAGACATAGATATGATGGAAGATGAAATATCCCAGCCATAAAACACCGAAACAAGATGTACTGTCGACCAATTTTGGGTTTGGATATGTGATAATCTACAAGCTTAATTGTAACACGATCAAACTTTAGGACTCTTTCATCTGCGAACGGTGGTTCGTTTCCCGGGCGAAAAATCGATATTCAGATGAATTTCAGACGAAGTCCAACATGTTTCAGAAAAATTATACCTCCTTCGACATTTTTGTAGTCTGTGTCTAGCGGCTGTCAACCGATTAATTATTTCTCTTAACGTTGTTTTCTTAAGTATTAGTAGTAGCTACTATTAATAGTAAATACTCTCTCCAAACGCGAACTTAAACCTTAAGAAAATAACTTTTAGAGAGGCTGTAAAACAGAGCAGACAAATAGACATTTTTCGTCTCTTAACAAGTCGATACGTAAAATTTCGTCATGACGTTTACGCGGACAAGTAACAATCGACGCTTCTAGAACTAATTAATTGCGATCTCTGAGGCGTCTACTTGTTTCGCCTTTTAAAGTTTTAAACACATGATACACCTGACAGCCGCGCCGCCAGACATTGACCTTTACTTTGAACATTATATTTCGCATGGCTATGTTGACGTGATAAGAATATATTTAGTAAAAGAACGCTGAGAATCATCAGTTTCAGTGTCAGTTAGGAAAACAATAGTAAACGTAAAAATCAAATAAATTCGCCTCCCTGAATTAGCGGTATTAACGTTCATACACCTAAATAACTTTAGGTAATATGTATATACGTATAGTGCATGTGGTAACATTATGGGATATATTTGAGAAAGCCAATTAATAATGGTGGCAATTAATTCCATGAAGAAGTATATATATAAATAAAACACTAACGGTTTAAAACGCGATTTAGGTATACATATTCCTTAAACTTATTTCCCCTAACTTGTCTCCCCGTGACCACCACCGCTGCAAAGTATCCGAAACGTCGGGCCGTAGTTAAAAAAAATTTTAAAATTAGTTTTACTAATAAATATCGCGTTTTAAACCGTTAATGTGTTTTATTTAAAAGTCTACTACTCGCATAAGCTACAGACAGTATTTAAGAAGTATATAATGTATAATATACTAAAACTCCTTTGACGACAAGAATATTTTTCATTTTTCCTAATATCCCATCACCTATGAAATGCCTCTTCATACGATATTTTACTAAACTTGTTATATTTGTAATGCAAGCGCGTAACGTTCTTTTTTTAGACATAGCACCTTCACTGATCTAGCTTTCCCGCTGAAGCGTATAAGCCTACAAGCCTTATGTGAAGCACTGTTCAACCAGGGACAACTCTAATCTCACATCCCTCTGCGTCAAACAAGATTAACCGATAGCTTACAAACAGCTGATATAGCTGTAATCAAGACCTCCAGCTTCTGTCCATGATTACATTTTTGCCAATTCTATTTGACGTGCTATCATACTCGTGGTAACCTATTTTTAACTTGGTGATTTAAAAGCACGTGGTGGAAAAATGTCGATCGTAACCTTGAACAAACTTGCTAATCTAGCTAAGTTTCAAGATTATCTTAAATATTAACATTTGGTTTCTTCCAAACTAGCTGAGTCGAGCGACTTCGTCCGCGTAGAATAGTTGATTTGGGCATCAAGTTTGTTTTTGCAAACCTCCTGTTCAACTCAATAAAATTAACTTTCGACCCACGATTTAATCCGCGTCCCGTCGTTCTTGCAAGTTTATCTTAAAAGATCGACATATACTGCCGCGGGTTTTTTTTTTAGATTATTTAAAGAGGAATCTCATTACTTCATACATATTTTTTGGTTATCTTGAACCGTTTTCGCAGCGTACGCAACGGAAACCCACAAGCATAAATAAATTCCCCATTTTTTTCACATTCCCCGTTGTTTCTTCGCTCCTATTTGTGTATTTCGCAGCATGATGTTTTATAGCCTATAGCCTTCCTCGATAAATGCTCTAACCATCACAAAATGAATTTTTCAATTCGAACACCTTCATCAGCTTTATATATTAGTATAGATTAGACACGATTTAAGGCACCTATTAGGCTTAAAATACAAGATTTTTATTTATTACATGATTTATATTAACGATGACATATGTGTATCAAAGATGATATGACTAAACGATAGTTTGAACTAATCAATGTTGTCACTATTGTTCTACATTTTGTGATATCTTGCGACTCTTTGCGATTTGACGACACAAAATAAGATCAATCTATATTAACATATAAAGTTGGAGAGTTTGTTTGTTTATTTGAACGCGCTAATCTCAGGAACTACTGGTGCGAATGGAAAAATTGTTTGCGTAGGTAAAGTAGAGCATTTATCGAAGGAAGGTTATAAAACATCGCGCTGCAACTAAATCGGAAAACAGAAGGAAATGTGGCGAAAACGGGAAAACATATTCATCTTTGTGGGACACCGTTGCGTACGCGACAAAAGTGTTTCAAGACACCCAAAAAATATGTATGAAAGAATGATTTCTCTTTAAATAATTTAAAAAAATGTCCTCGACATTATAGTCGTTTAAGATTTACTTGCAAGAATGATGGGACGCGAACGACGTTGTGGGTAATAACTTAAATTTATAGTCTGCAAAAACAACCCAAAATAACTATTCTACGCGGACGAAGTCGTTGACACAGCTAGTTTACAATATTTTACAGTCATCTTTGCAAATGTGTAACTGGGCTTTTAGCAGCGTAATAATCATATTAACATATGATATTGTGATAAACAGTAAATAGAACATCGTGGATTTCATTTTATGACTGCAAAGTGTTAAAAAATCCAGTAGCAATTTTTACTAATGCGCCTAAGTGACGCGTGAGTCACAGACAGGGACAGTCCTTATCTTATCACATGCCTGCCCTACGTCAAACAACCTTGCCCCGCCAAGATCACACCTCCATAGTTACATAATTATGACCGTGTCTTGGACTCAGTTTTAGGAATTTGCCAATGTAACGAAAGCAAAAGTCACGTTTGTTCCACGTAGTAAGTAGATGCCAAAAAGACTTATGTGTTATTTAATATTCAAATTACCGTTCATTATCGATAATGATGCCCATTGTTAACTATTGAGAGAAATAAAAAGTTTATTATAGATAGTAGGTAGGTATTTTGCCGATGATTATTATAAGAAAAAAAAAACTTAACCGCCGAAGAGCCGTGCTTCGTTTTCAATTTGTGTATTTCCTAATGTCCAAAGCCAAAATAGGTGCCCATAACGCGTTATCTATTAGAATTAAGGATGGGTCATTCCACTTTCCATCAAATTAATCTCTTGCTTTTTCTGTCTTATATATAAAGTAAAATATTGTCCTGAATTACCTACTCAGCAAATAATAATAATAAGTATTATGTAAAACTAAAAGACTGTTATCATACAAAATGCATTTTTTGTATTTCCTTTTATGATCGTGTCGACAGAAACTGGCTAGACAGTCAATAAAGCGTTTATAAATTCTGTAAACTCCGATAGTTTAACTTTTTTTTTTAAAGGAAAATAGGCGATTATGTAACTATCGAATGTTCGTTCCTTTCATACGAAAACTAATTTTATTCACATTAAAATATGAATGTTCACCATAAATCGATGTGTAAAGTATTGTCACCTCCCATTTTATTAACAAAAGTGTGTAAGCGTTTTTTCCATAGAAGTAATGTACAGTTTTATGTCACCATGCGATAATAGTGTGTACTCTCATTCATTGTTTAATGACAGCTTTAAAACTAGGAATAAGGTTTTACGATGGCCTTGTATCGTTCGGTTTTAGGCAGATATTTCATGGTTTTTAGTTAATTTTATTACTATGGCAGGTACGATAACGTTTAGGAAGCTTTGGTTATCTCAGCATATACCTTAACAGTAAATTAATAAAATCTTATTAGAAACGCTTCAACCGATTAAAACAAACAATAAATTAATGGAATTGAGTATAAAACAATAGTCTCTATTCAATTTATTTTAAGAGACACGGCCTTTTAAAAAAGATATATAACACGCCGTCTCATCATTACATATAAAATATTACCCTAAAATGATCTTGTTGCATAATTGTGATGCAATTAAAGTAAAAGTAGCTGCATTAATGTTGGATTTTACATGGAAATCTATGATGATTTTCCCTCCCAACTTTACCGGGGTAATGGCTAGATAGATGTGGTTATGTTCCTCTAACAAGACGATAGTAATTGTCCTTATGACGCCCACAGACGTCATTAGGAAAATGCAAAATGCATATCACAATAACCACAATACGAAATAGCAAACCATATATTATGTATAATTTTTCCCTGAGGCAATATATACCTTACCTTTCAATAAGAAAATTTTTGTAACTACAAAACTATCTACTAGCTTTTATTCACTGCCTCGCTTAGTGGCTACACAAAGAATGTCAGGAATCACGAAAAAATAACAGATGAAGACGAATTGTATAATTGTCTTTCTTCAGGAAATGATTCCGATTGCAAACCGATTTTCCGTTGGAGAACTACTACTGCCAATTTTTTAAAACTCATTTGTGTCATTCAAAACGGACAATATAGAAACTTCGTTTTGTTGAAAAACCGTTAAAATGTTTTAAGATCACATTCACATAGCAGATATGTATATTCCGAAGGTATCAATATATAATTATACTGTACCATCGTCCATCGTGTATGTAATAGATGATAATAATAAGTAGCATTAATTAATTAAGCAACTTTGAGGAAAACCAGTGGCTTTATAGAGATATCGACGCTGGCTGTCGAATGGCTTCTCGAAAACTTTTGTGAAATCTAGACTTTAGTTACTGGCAAAATGCCATAATAATGTAAACATAAGCGATTGTTACTTTGTCATAACGGCTTTCTCGTTCCTATACTGTACAAGAAAAGTAAAGACATTATCGGTAATATTATAACAAACTTCTTCTTAACTAGAGAGCGATCAAACCGTCATAAGATAGCTCTTACTTTTAAAAGTTAAAAACTTTATTAAAATTGTTTCTACATTAACTTCCACATAATAAACAATATAAAGAAACACATGAATAACTTTTATTTGTTTAATTTTATGTTCACAGGTGGTATAGTAATTGTTTAGCGTTGATTACTGTTTGCTATATTAATTATTATTGAATTTTGACTTTCGTAGCTTAGTAGTGCAGGTAGTTTACAGGTTAGGTTAGGTATAGAAATAGGGGACAACACCTTCACCCTGTTCAGAACACAGGCTGGGGGGGTTCGACTTCTTTTTGTATTAAAAATAATCGTGGACATCCGTTTCCGTGACAGCTGCGCATTAGGTTAAAAAGTAACTAGCCAATAATACCAACATTATTTATTTTAAAAACTTTACAACGATATGTAATCTGTATTTTGTAAGGTAAAATGCGATCAAAAGCTAAGTCCGAAATTGAACTTATGGAACTCAAAAATATTTATAGATAGATAGGCAATGATTTATCTTATAATCATTGCGAACCAACATTGCCTCTATTTCCGAGAAAAATTACCGGCAGGCTGAAACGAGCCAATCAAAAAAAAACTAACTGTATCTATGCTAATATACAGTTCTAGTTCATTTACCTGTGACCTGCTTTTGCACCATGTGACAGCTGACGATTCCGACCGACAGATGTTGTTAACGGAAACAGCAAGCTTTTTTCGTATTCGAGCGAGGTTCAGTTGGCAAAAAATGTGCCATGAAAAAATGTGTGGATTGTTGATTATAAATGTGAAAGTTAGTGTAGACACATGGATGTTTGCCAATCTTACACGCCCAAACGGCTTGACTGATCTTGATATAATTTTTTATGAATGTAACGGAGATTATGGATTTGCGAAAAAAATGCATGTTTTGGAACATATACGAAAAACTAATAAGAATTTTACACTCATTTTATAGGCGCGGACCTAGTTGCGACTCAATGTTTTAAATTTCATCTATACTAGAATATTTTCCGATGCGCTTTAATTGCGACAGTTAGTAGGTATGAATTAGTTTTGAAAAAATTCTTGATGATTTCCAGAGTATGCAGCTGAATACTTTTCTTCAAAAGCCCTCGAATATTTCTATCTGAATTAGGTAACTGTTCAGTACGTAACTTACTCAATCACGTTTCAAATCATAAAACATTATCCCCTTACAAAAAGAAATTCTACGATAATTTCCGTTTACATAATTATAAGGTATACAAATGTCTAGACATAACCCGCAGACCGCAAAGATACTCGGCCGGTCCGGTGTCACGTCTAGCCAGCGGATCAGCACGCATGCGCCATACACTTTTACAAAAATCCATTTTTCATTCAAGAAATGCCCCAAACTCGCGCCTCACCAATTCGTCCCCTTGTAAATACCACACAAACTTATTTGTACGCAGTTGCCAATTCCGCCGCTTCCTTCGAGTTACTCAACGCACCGCTAACTACACTTGTGCTGTGACGTAACAGGCGAGCCATTCTTCGAAACCCGGTTCGGGAATAAATGCCCCTCGCGAAACCGGAACGTGAAACGTGTTCAAATACGAAAACCCACGTGAAACTACAGAAACCTCACTCGTCACTCAGAACAGAGTACCGGCGAGTCGAATTCAAGGACCGTGTCTCAGTTAATTTTAGACACGTTACGAACGTAAAAGAGCCGGCATTGTTACCACGTTATATAAGACATCAGCTGTTCGATCACTTACCATATCGTTGTTCTCCACAATCCAGTTGATGGAGCATATCTGGTATACGAAGTATGCGCGGATGAGTTCGCTGGTCTTTTTACTTTTAAAGGCGTCTTTTGAATTGTTAAACGACAGATCCAGGTCGTCCTTGCCTTGAGATGAAGTGGAAAGCACTCGGATTCTCCGAGGAGCGTTCATCGCCAGCCTACGTAGCAGAGCCATGTTTAAAAGCTCCGCGCACCGAACACTAGATTTAACACACGTCTGCCCTGCTTGGCTGACAACTGACAACTGAGGAGAAAAGTTGATGACAGTGACGTATTGCAAATGCGCTCGATATTTAATTCGTAATGCGCGCGCAGCGTTCCAATTTTAAATTCATTGGAGGTGTGTCTGCAAGGAGGCACGTGATAGGTTGAATTTGGTTTAGCGGAAAAACCGGTTTTTATTACAAACGTCACTATACCGCAAAAAATTTAGAGAACTCAAAAATTATGAAAGCTGCAACACATTCCAGTCTGATTCATGGTTGGGGCTTTGCACTTTTCAGCAAGTTTTCATTATCATGTCAATTTCATGTACAAACACATACGTAGGATATCTTTAACGAACCTTCAGATATAATATAAAAAATAGTTTAAAAATGTACATAAGCATATACTCTAAAAATAAAAACACTTAGCATTATTAGTAAAAACGATATCTTGGAAATTGCTCCCGATGACAAGTAGGGCATTTCCAAATCCAAATAATACAGGTCATGGTACAGAGTACCATCATAAGTGGATAGATAAAATGTACCATCCACTTATCTATATTCATCAGAGCATATAATCTCGATTTTCAATTAGCATTTAGGAGTCATAGGCCTTCCCTTATTCAAACAAACTATTTGATAACATTGAGTACCTTTATCGATTTAATATTGCCAACTTTAACATATTTATTTTATAAACTTTGAAGAGGAAAACTATATATGTTTCCTCTTCAAAGTTTATCCTTACTGACGTGCAAATATTCGCTATAACAAAATTTCCGGAAAACTGATGTAATCCTAGTGGAAAATTGGTAAATTACGTAAATCTTATCGGAACGCGTGAAAATCTGGGCTTATCTACAAGTTCATTGAGAAAATCTCTCGAACGATAAGTTGTTATTGAATAGATAACAGCATATTTGTGGGATTTGTTGGATGGATTATATGAAACATAACAAATCAGCTTCTTGGTTGTTAGTAAAACTTGTGAGCCATTTCTCAAATACCATTGCCGAACAGTTTGAAAACTCAAGTCGCTTTGCAAAATGACCGTAAAAAATGTTGTCTTTTAAAACTAAACATTTTGTTCTCTGCTCTGACCTAGAAAAAATATATTTTTTATTTAATAAAATAAAGCCTTATAATTTCTGATTTACAATAGTTATTACAGTAACTGTTAAATTTAAATTAAAACACCGAAGTAACTTAGAATAAAAAAAACCTTCTTTTTGTGCATCGTCATAAATATTGCTCGAGTTAATCTTTTTTTTATCTTTAGTCGGGCTAAATTTTCTTTTCTTGGTACGCCTAACTTCTAGTACTTTGTTAATAAACATTTTGTATCCACTGTGTACAGAGGGAAAAGAAATAATACACAACGTAATCAGTGTATAGCGTCTTTTCTTATTGACTAAAATATTATATTTTTAAAATATATACTTGACTAAATATAACTATCTCTACGGCCTATAAAATGCTCCGAAACTAGCCAGTAACGACCGCACGCTAGTACATCTATCTTACAATAAAATCTACTTAGACTATGCTCCTATGTTTTATTTACAATTTTTAATCTTATGATATTGTTTCCGTGCACTTACATAGTTTGTCTCTTCGTGTGCGCGTTACGAGTCCGTTCGATTAAAAAACATCTTCACACTAGATAACGAGTTTGGCCGTACAATTTATTTTTTAATTTTAAACCGAACGTGCCTCGGTAGTAAATAAAATAAATGAGTTTGCTGCTGCTTCTGCATAAAACACAGCTACACAAAAGTGTTGTAATTTCATTTTAAATTTAACGATCTGTCATCTGCGAATTGCGCTGGAGACTTATCTCTAGCAACAGTTGAATAACCAACATAATGCGGAGTTAACTTGTTTTATACCTTCGTTTAGTGGACATGTCTCGCGATATTTATAACCTAACCTCATAGAAATTTAAATTTAATTTGAGTATTTCAACGTTTTGCACACAGCAATATATGTAAAGGGATGCGTAATTTGATTTTGATTACCTGTAACATCGTACTACAAACCTTATCAATTATATATCATTGAATTTGATAAACATAGTGCCACCAATGAGATTCACAAAATGAAATCGCTACGGAGTGGTGAAACTAAAACATATTTATGATTTAATAAAAATAATATTATATTCTCTTATAAGAACGTCTATATAAATGCTAATAATGTAACAAAATAATTATTTTTATGATAAACACTAGAGATTTGCATTTTTAATGAAGATACAAATGATTTGATTTAGCGAAGTCAATATAAAAAAAAATATATAGATAATGTATTCTGTAAGTAGGAATTGGTTGATACCCACAGAATGGCATAATAATATTTAGTCCTCCGCTAAAACAAGCACTCTATAATTTTCATCACAGCACTTATATACAAAGCTAATTGCGAAAAGAACGCGCAATCTGTACAAAATGAATAGGACTCCATACCTTACAACTACTAAAATATATACACTAATTACTAATAGTCACTAATGTCCAACGACTTGGTGTTTTTAATAGTCATCTTTTAAAAGCTAGGTGCCCCAATAAGGAACGCGTTAGTCGAGCCCTCGTACATAGCTTTAATCTATGGCAACAAAAATCTAATTACCAATACTATAGCTATAGCTTGTTTTTAAAAATATATAAAATAAGGCTTACCATTGTAGATGTGTAAAAAAAGAGAACCTTTATTTTGTAAACAACCAAAACTCATCCTGAAAATTTAGTACTAACGCAACTTGTTATCATATGATAAGTACTCTAACCGCGTTCCCCAATGGGACTATAAATGTATAAAAATTCTATAAATCACTCAATTACAATATAATCTGCTATGAAACGAAACAATTCACACACACGAATACGTTAATAATAATTATTGTTTAGGCACAAACGAACATTACTGGGTGCCAAGCCTTCTACCAACTAATCGTACGGGCGAGGGATTACATTCCTACATTAGCCAATTTAAAAATACAAAATAAATTATTCTCTTAATAAATACAATTATTGGTAATATTATGCTTTTCCAGAATCATTTTGGAGCGTCATGTTTCGCAATTGTGCAGTGGGCTTTTTGCGCAGCGCCATATTTGGTTGGCATAGTGGTCGCACAACTTCTTGGCCGATCAGAAAATGTATCCATCTTTTGGGAATCCTTGTACCATTTGGTATCTTACTAATGTAACAATGGCATAAACTCACGACGCAGATGCCGCACCGTTTTGACTGAAAGACTGAGATAACGTCGTGAATCTCGCTCAAGCCACACACCTTCAGATCGATCTAGCAGTTTTGCGATTCCAAATAATTGCAGAGTTGAAAAATTTTCAATTCTTCTCAATCGGATACAATGCTAAGCCTAACTATCGGATGCCTAGGTTAGGTATAGCACCGATTTAATAATTGCAAGAATATAAGATAATATACATTACAAAACAACAAGTAACCGATTATTAGTTCGCTTTAGTGCTTTAAATTAAATGTAGGCTAGGATTTGAAATTACAAAATATCTTGCACAAATAAGATAACAAACAAAAAGTTCAGAAGTCACAAACATTTGTCAAAAAATTTAAGCACAGAAAAACTACTAGATCTCTACTAAATTACTATTACTATTGTTACAAAATATTTTAAATGGTAACAACAAATACTTCGTGTTCGGTTGACTTTTGTATAATGAAATTGTTAATTAAATAAACAGCTGCCTGATCCAAAACAGCTTAAAAACCAAATAATATAATGAAAATGAATATTAAGTGTCATTGCATATAAAATATATACCACCGGGTAAACATTTTGGATATGGATTCAGTTTAAATGATAATAAAATAAAAAAGTTACATACTAAACATTAAAATGAGTTGTTAAGGCAAAGTTATTGTTAAGTATGTTAAAAAAAGATACAATAATGGGTTAGTCCATATATCTCGCACCCCCCACTTGATATTCGCAAGGGTGATGAACCTTTGGTAGTAAAATTATTTTAAGAAAATTTTGAATCAAATTCTAAATACTGACTAGTCAATCTACACTCTAAGTTATATAATAGAAAAGTCGTAGGTGTAATCAATTAGATTTTACAATTTATTATTATAATGAATTCGTTTTAAACTAGTTACCAAAGGAAAGATATTATATACAGTACAGTGTTGGAAAGGGTAACAAAAATCACAGATAAATTTCTTAAACGTTATAAATTCGTACGAATGTCAGCTTCGAAATTACTACGACAATATTTTACACACGTCCGTGCGCGCGATAAAATAATATTTTAAACACTACCGCAGGTTTATCACCCCTGGAAGCACACATTCACCGATAATTTTAAATTTCTATTCGTATTACTAAAAAAATCGACCTAATATTAATAGGAAATATTTTTAAGCGACCGATTCGCTTTTAATCAAGAGCGTTTTTTTTTTCACATTTATACTATAATGTTTTCTAACCATAATTTACGATTTTCTCAAACGAATAAAAAATTGTTACCGGTATAGTTTTTCATTGTATACGGTAAATGGTAAGTTATTTCTGTAGTGAAAATTATTACCTATTGAAAATATTTAACTGCTATTTGTCTCAATTTCCAAATGCAAAAGATTGTATTTCCATTTTAGGCAGTATGACGAATTAAAATCGCTCTAGCCACAACAACGTTATAAAAAATATATGATTAATATTTAAGCGATATTAAATACCAAATACCAATGATTGCTTGGTAAAAGGTAATGCTAAGTCTATGAAAACCGGCCAGATTTGTCAACGAAAAGAACACTATCAAATTACTCAGTACAATGTTATGACGCGTTATTTTTTGTATCGAATTTTGAAGAGACCAAGCCACCCCGCCTTTAGTCAGACCTTCGTCGAAGCACTTTCTAGAAGGTCTCAATCACTCACTGTAACGGTATTGTCTGTCCCTTTCCAAATGGAATGATGTTATTACCTGGAAAACATATTACATATAGACAAAATACAAATAAAATTAAATCTTGTACCCTTACTTATTATTAAATTTCTTAAGGATAACTTTTCAAACTGCACTAAGTGCAGTCTGAAGCATAAGTAACCAAAACACATATGTTAGAAAGAGATAACATAATTGGTCGAGCGGTTACCGTGTCTTATTCGATATTGTGTCGTAATTTTTATAAAAAGCTGAAAAGAGACATGTAGAATGTATACAGTGTGAGAAAGACAGCTATACTCACTGCGAGTCGGACTCGTCGTTAACACTAGAGCGCAACTTGGAGACAGTTCTCCTCGCAGCCGGGGTCCCATCCTCTTCGTCGGAGGATATCACGATGCGTTGTCTTGGTTTTACGCCAGTAGCGCCCCGGGTCATCCTTCTCGCTACACCTTCTGTGCCTGAAAATAATGCATCATTGATATAGGGTTGTTATTGGGTGAAATTAATATTTATCTTTCATATGACTGCGATAGAATATATATCTCTTGCGTATAAATATGAACGTATGGAATTGTCATAAAAAGTATCTTTTATGACAATCTGCTCTGTTATAGAATATACAGAGACTATAAAAGGTACAACAGAAGTTGTGTTTTTTAGTCAATATATTTTTGAAAATGCTTCGTATATCAGATCAATTTAAAATTATGTAATTTTTATAACAAATGACAGTTTTCGTCAATACAATACACTTAATAAACCACCACTAAGTAAACTTTGCAACGGTCTTGAACCTTCGGGTTGGCTTATTATTTGTTTCATTTTTATTGATTTTGTCGTCTGTTATTTTTTCAGTATAATATAATTGATGATTCGCAAAATAGCAAATACATAATGGTATAACACTTATAAATAATGTTAGCTTCCACTTGTGTGCTTCCACAAGTAACTGACCTTCTTCGTCTTTACACTTCGCTTTCGCCTCCCTCTTGGCCTGCTTTTCTTGTTCTTTCTTGTCCATTTTGGCTTGCTTTATCGCCTTGCATTTCTCCATAGTGGGTTTACCGTCGAGTCCAGCTGCTATTAACAGCTCTAGCATTTTACCAACTCGCTCTTTGTTCTTTGTGCAACCTGAAATAAGTTTTAAAATATTTATTATATATACTTGTATTAGAATGAAAAGTATTATATTTATTTATATCAAAATTTGGATGTCACTTGTTGTGGAAAGCCGCATAGAAAATGTTATATCTATCCTCATATTATTAAGAAGATGTTAGAATTATAAGATCTCGTTTGTTAGAACTGAGAAAATAGTATACAAGATACCCAAAATAACGAAAGAAAAAATAATAATACCTCTTTTCTTCTATTATCTAAAAAAAAATCGCGCTATGTCTATCGTTTTAAGATTAACTTGCAAGAACGACTGGGCTCGACCGAAGTCGTGAGTAACATTTAACAGCAATAATTTATAAAGATAAGTTTCCCATGAAAAGAAAAAAGATTTCAGCATTACGAATGTGTGCAAAACTTTTGCGTTCTGATATCCTTAGTTAAAATATTGCGTTTTGTACTTTAGCTATTGGTTCAATACGAACACTCCTACGCATGTAGACAAATGTGTTGCCGATATTTAAAATATCTTTTACCTTCAACAAGCTTTTTGTAGTCGAACCGGATACCGGCCGCCTTGCAGAACTTCTTCATGTCGGTGATACCCGGTTGACGCAATTCTGGTGGTACGGGAGGTCTCCCGCGTCTTCCTGACCCAGGCGTGCCAGGGGTTCCCGGCGTCTTCGGCGTCGAGTTTCGCGACCCCTTCGGCCGACCAGGCCCGCGCTTTAGGGGTTGATCCTGATTATTTTCAACGATACAGACAGTCAACGGAAACATATTCTTAATGTATTGGCCAATTTTCACCAGAGGTAAAGTTTTTAATCTTTTGAATTGGAGCCGAACACCTTTTTATAACAAAAAAACAGACCGAATTTATTCCTTTTTTGTTTAGTTCTGTATAAAAGCTACCCCATCTCAGCTAATTTCACCCTTAACAACTTCACACTTAAACAATACTACAACTAAATTTCAAATATATGAAAAATGCCCTTACTTCATCACTGTCCTCTGAACCACTTCCAGATGAGCCAGATGACTCGTCATCTGATGAAGAATCGACTGTTGTTACCTGCCGACAGGAATTATATCAACTGTAGTGATTAACAGGAATGTCAGTTGGGGCTACAACATCATAACACAATTTCCAAAAAAACTTATTACAGATATGGCATTTTAAGGTGTTCGTATATAAGTATTTTATATATTATCTGTGATAAATCAATTTTTACTGCAATTTGGGCCAGGTTAATCAATAAAGATGGTATGAAACTATTTATATATCCTGACTAAAATTTAAAATACTGTCATTAGATCTTATAAACACGTTAAAACTATATTTTTCTGTTGTGTTTCTTTCTATTAAATTTTTCATAACATAAGCATTTCGGTCCAGAGTTCTTGAGCAAGTTAGTAATTTGTTTTTGTGCGTAAGTTTTCCAAACCCTCACTTCATTAGATACAACCCCGCGAAGTTTTGCTGCAGCGAGCTTGGCTGCTGCTGCCTTCTGCGCGGCGATATGTGCAGCTTGACTGGCGAGCCGCTCGCGCTCAGCATTTGCGTCGTAGTAGTTGTACAGAACTGACAGCGGCACAGGAACATCACCGAAGTACACTTCATTCGGGATGTGCGATGAATCAAGACAGTCGTCACTCCATCGCCTAAACAAATAATAAAATAAAACATTTTTTTCTTCGTAAAATTATAGTGCAAAGTAAGAATCAAAGAAAAGCCGTAAACTGAAGTTATTACTTCACTAACATCTATAAATCAGTACTAAGTTGAGTTTGAATGGAGATATTTTCCATGTATTTTAAATAACTTTTTTATAAGAAAATAATCTGGTGTCTACTTTTGTGTCGTTTAGTATTTTGGTAGACTTTCAATACTACTTGTATGGAATTATTTAATATGTATATTCAAATTACAATAATTACACAACAAATATTATATACCTCCTGAACTGAATCCCCGAAAAATCCTTCCTGAAGGGCCTAACACTGTACTGGTAAGGCATGGCCCTCGGTCGTCCCACTGGAGTTGTGCCCCTTGGCCCCCCTGGCCCTGGCGGGGGTCGAACGGCTGGCAAAGCTGTCGCGGCCCCTGGGGAGACTTTACTAGGCGTACCAGGGGGTTTCGGTTTGTTCGTCGAACCTTTAGGGCGACCGCGTTTCTTCGGCTAAAGAATGTATAATAAATTAATATCTTGAATTGTAAAATAATTTAACTAAAACACTTTAACGGTTTAAAATGCGGTATATTAGTTTAATTTATTTGAAAATGATTTTTAACTTCGGCCCGACGACTAATTAATGGCGTTTTAAACCGTTAAAGTGCTTTATTTAAATGTGTACTACTCGCGTAAACTATAGACAGTATTTGTAAAATAATATTAAAAGCTATATCATGCACAAACAAAAATGTTAAAAATCTGTCTAAGAATAAATAAATACACAAATTTTCTAGCTTGACAGTGGACAAATACTTAGTTTATATAATTACCTCTAAACCTGGAGTACTCTTCCCCGGTGTTCCCCCTGGTCTGCCCAATTCTGGACTGCTGAACGGTTTCCTCTCCTCATCCCTGAAACAAATAAATTTTTAAAATTACAATTATTATTTTTATATACACCTTTGGGATAGTTAGAAATTGAAACAATAAAATCAACTTACAGTTTCTTTGTTGGTGTTCCAGCAGCTTCAATTGGTCTTGGCTCACCGGGTATAATGCTAGCAGCTTCTGAGTACAAATTGATAATTTTTAAAGAAGAAAAGTGGAAAAAGTGCATGGCTTAGTATTTTCCTATTAAATTTCAAATAAAGTGTTTAATTTTGTTGACAATTCAAAAATTACTTCTTTCAATGGAATGGAGATATATATATCGGCGCAAAACAGGAATGCGTTAGTCATCCTCAGTGTTCCTAACGCTAAACAAGTGACTCAGTCGGTCCTCCACTGAAATCCCCACTACGTGCTTATATAAGGCCGTCGTTGTGGAGGGCACTTTTGGAAGGAGGCGCTTGAGACGAACGTCTAGTCTATAGCTATTTTTATTATTCAATTATAAAAGTGTTTCAATAGTAAAAATGGACCATTCTAACAATATTACAATATATTGACGTCACCAATTTTAAAAACAATTCTGGATCACATACTTCGACATAGAAGTGGGATTACCTACCTTCTCCGCTACACCTGATAAAGAAATTGATAGATGGAATGAGAATAAATGAAACCTCAGTTCAAACTTGCACTTTTTCAAGAAAAGCTAAATTAGAAACCTTGGGTTCATCGATTTAGTTTATAATTTTGTTAAAAATTAAAAAAAAAAACACTAAAGGTTTGGAGTGAGGAGGTATGAGTATTATAAAAGGTTGGGAGAAAATTAAGCTTGTCATTGTAAATGGTATGCCTCAATGAAACTTGATTAAGTGACTTCTAATTTGAAAAATTTAGCAAATTTAATTAACAATCTACAAATTATTCATTTAATTAAAGAAATACTTATTTTATTATTTATCCTTTATAATCCTAATAATATTATTTCTTAACTATTATGATCAATCATAAATATTATGTGAAAAATGATTGGGGTATAAAAGGCAAAAAAAAAAAAAAATATAAAAAATTGGATTAAGAGTAGAAATCCTATCCCAAAAAAAATAATAATTATTTTTGGGTAGACCGCCTAATAAATCACCTATCAAATCATTTAGACCTCTTTTATAGATTTACTATCTTAATAGTTTTAAATGTATGTATTAAATAAAAAAAATTTATAATAAAAAAAAAAAAAAATTTTAAAAATTAATAAAATAAAAAAAACAAATTAAAAATTAATAAAATAAAAACAAAATTTAAAAATTAAAAAAAAAAAAAAAAATCACAATATAATCTTAATTAAAATTATAAAAATATAAAAATATTTTAAATAAAAAAAATACCTTTTACAATAAATTTTATTAAAATTAAAAATAAAAGGTAAACTTTTAAAATATTTGTTATTATTACAAATAAACTAATATAAAAACTATAATAATAAAAAAAAAAAAAATACCAATCAAAAAAATAATAAAAAAAATATATAAAAAAAATAAGAAATAATAAAAATTTATATATTTTAAAAATATATTTATAATAAAAAAAAAAAAAATTATTAAAAAAAAAAAAAAAAAAAAAAAAATTTATTTATATATATATTATCTAGTTACCTGGAGGTTTATCGCCTTCAGGACCAGGTTGGCAATCATCTGAAAGCAATCCAAATATAAACATAGGTATTTTTTAATTTATATATTACATATTATACATAGTATTTTAATGCTTAAAATAAAAAACAATAACTAAAATATTAAAAATAAATAGTTCTTAAAAGTTTACTGACTCTCCCAAACATTTAGTATAAAAAAGTTGTCTATAAAGAACTAATTTTGTAACAGGGTTTGATAAATAATTACAAAATATATAACCCTTATATTATTATTTTATTTGTGACACCAATAGAAGACTGGCTGATCAGTACATGTTGTCTGCTCTTGTTGGCTGACATCATATTATAAGACCTTTTATTAGCATCTAATATTACATAAAAAAATAAATAAAACAGTCTTTAAATACCTTTTGCCAGTTGATCTGGTGGCTTCGAAACATCCTGAGGTTTTATTGAATTGACATCTGAAGGAAGGAGAATAAATTAGGATTTGATTATTATAAAAGGCTCCAAAAAATAGAGATTAGTCTTAATGACAGGATGTTGAGACTAAAATTATTCATTCATTATCTACAGTGATAAGAGTGTGATCATGTCAGCTTGCAGAAATTTATTTTAAAATATTCTAGAAAAAAAGGAAGAATTCGTGATATTACTATATAATGATCGTTCTTACCTCTCGGCTTATCATCAACCCTCATATCATCTGGTTTGAAGATATCTGTTTTGATTTTTATTTTTGGCTGCTCTAAATCACCAGATTGCTAAAAAGAAAACAATCATTTATTTTTGTGTATAACAGGTGTAAGATTGTTTTAGATTCTTTCTTAACTCAACTATTCTGAGTAGTAGTAATAAAAAACAAATATTTTTCATGTATATACTTACAATCAGTTCAGCTTCAGGGTGCGGTCTCTTTTGGGAATCTGATGGCTCCAACTTTATTTCTGGCTTTAATTGTTTGATATCAATGGGTTTTTGAGCATCAAGAGGTGGTAACAAGTGCGGCTGCGGAGGCCAAGCTGATTTATGGATGCCCACATCCGGGGCATAGCCTTGTACTGGGGGTTTGAACAACATACCTAATAATTATTATTGGGCCATTCCAATGTATACATACAATCTTACTTGTCCAGTGAATTAAAATTACTCTGTACAATGTGCTACATGTCTAATTTGTCTAGTATTGATTGGATGAGTTTTAAGATAAAAATATACCATTCAACTTAGAAACATTTATTTATTACGCAATCTTTCTAACTAAATGCAATAGTTTATTTATTTATTGATCAAAACCTAAATGAAATGAAAAATGTTCTATGACAATATTTTTAAATCAATGTAGTGCAACTCACCCATATGCGATTGTGCCATATGTAGCTGGGCTTGTTGTTGAGGAAAGCTCTGATGATGGGCATAATTTTGATGTGCTGGTGGAGCATATGACAGGTTTTGGGGCGCATAACCCCCTGGGGGAGGTGGTCCATAGGCAGCAAAAGCATCCGGTGGCGGGTAGTGAGTATTATATGCACCGGCATACGGTTGATATGGGATTTGGTGACCATTATCTACAAATCACAACAACATTATGTCACATCCCTATGGGTATTTCCCGCGCAAACAATTCCAATACGCTACTTACCCAAATAGTTAAGAGGCAATCCATTACCCTGGACAACGCCGTGTCCAGGTTCACCCTCCATCCGTAACCTTTTCTGGTTCATGGCTCTCTCTGCTTCATAATTCATCTTCGTCGCTAGAAACAAAAGCCGTTTATGAACACCCACTTATAAACACGACGCAGTTTATCATCACATTATTGCGAAACTAGTATTTATTTCGTAGATTCTGCGATAAATATGACTGACGCCAACCGGACGCTATCACAAAACATAGGATAGCAGGACACAGGTTATGCACTCCGCAAATGCAAACATAGCGTACCTTTGTTGGCCACTGATTGTTATTGATTTTAGTTGATGTAGCCACTCGTAATTGCTTTTGCTATGTATGGGCACATAATCGAGAACACAATTCAGTTTAATCAACACTTCCTTTGAAGTATAGTTACAAATATTCACTTTAATGACAGTGTATTAGAAAAAAACACAAATGAAGCGGAGTTAGTGTATTTTTTTTGCTCATCCTTTAATTTTTAGGTTTTTGTTACATGGTAATACCAAATTCGTTAAAAAAACAGTAAAATACTAATACAGACGACTAATATTACCCACAGTTTATTGTATTTCCAAAAACAGATAATACTTGTGAGGAAAATAGTGCTGTATACAAAGTAAAAATATATAAGTACAAAAAAATACATATTTTAATAAATATTAAGAAGAATAAGATTATAAAACATGACATGCCGATAAGTGTAATTTTTACTTATATTTTATAGAACCCCTTTTTTTAAATGAAACGAACTATTTTAGGAAATCTGTATATCCCAAATAAGTTTAGGAGAATCTGTAAGCAGTGTGACCAGTGTGAAGTGGTTTGGTAAGTTTTTAATTTTGACTTTTTTTGCATAGAGTAAATTAATATTATATCGTAAACTTTTTTGTGGAAAAGTATGAGATAGAGCAAATAATTTGAAATCAACATATTTACCTTGTTTTTTATATGCTGAAATAAGTTTAAATAATCGTGAGGACTATCTTTTTGTTTACAAAATTATATGGGGACCGGTTCAAGTAAGTTCAACAGAATAAGAAAGAAAAATATGGAAATACCATATCGCAAGCCAACCGTTTTCCTGTTGCATTTACTGTTTTGGTTATGTTTATGTGAATAAATTAGCTTTGCATTCTTATATCACGTAAAATATAACAACACGTCTACTCTCACGATAACAAGTAGTTTTTGATTTTTCCTTTTTAATTTATCTACAATTCATGAATCCGTGTAGCCCCACGCTCTGTTGCTTAAAAAAAATTTTTTTTTCGCCCATAAAAATATAATTACATACTATACTATAATATAAAATATCGATTAATCTTAATTAATTTCGTATAGCTAGAAAATTTAGTTATTTCCATAATTATTATTTCATAATTTCAGTATGTTAATGTAAAACATTTCAATGTTAAAAAGTAAAACTGATATTTTTAGTGTGACTGTATCTATATCTGGACTAAAAACACTAACTGCAGCATAAATATTGAAACTTAATAAATATTTTTTTTGCCATAAAATATGCAACTTTTTAGTTACCATTGTAATTTAGTGTTGAAAAGTATATTGATTTTAAAAAACCTTGAACTGTGTAAAAGATTCACATTATAATAATAAAAAAACTCTTTTAATTATACTATCTTTTTCATCACCTTAGTAAATTGTTTGATTTCTTGTACCAGAATCAAGGGCATCATGTTCAAGTATGAATCTATTAATGGATTTCCATGTGAAGGAGAGGATCTCACGTGAGTTTTTCAAAAAGAAGTTTCTTAAAATTTTTATTATGCAATTAAGAGGAAATATTATAATTCGACACTTCTGTTTAAACGAGATATATTTAAGACATAAATTTTATTCCAGCACATTTGGTGAAGAAATTGATACACAAATATTAAATTCATATCTGCCAGAAAGTGGAGATTTGCTGCTGGAGGTATCAGAGCCACAGTTTTGTGATGAAACCATGGATGTACAGACAAAGTACAATCCTTATGAGTACCAAAATATAGAGATCCCGGTAAGGAGTTTTAATTATTGCTTATCTTAGGTGTGTGAGCTTTATAGAACTCTTTACTGTTATATTCTAAAGATAGACATATAGTGTTTTAGACCTTTTTTAAATAATTTATAGAGGAATAATTCTTAATGAACTTTTTTGGGTATCTTGAACCATTTTTGCAACATATGCCTCGGAAACTCATACTGATGAATAATATTCCCAATTTTTTCACATTTCTCACTTTATCTTCGCTTGTATCTTTGTGATAAATGCTCAAACCAACAAAAGAAGAATTGTTCAATTCAAACCCGTAGTTCATGTAAATAGTGCATTCAAACGAACAAACTCTTCAGTTTTATATATTAGTATAGATTAAGGAGTGACAAACAAACAAACAACAAGTGACCTCTAATATATATAACAATGTAGTTTTATTGTTTCTTTTTTGTATTAGAATTTCTTTTTAGATCTCACCTCAGGGTCCACCTGATAGGAAAAACTTCTCGGGTGATGTTGATTTTGTTGTTGAAATTGATAGCGCACGTACAAAGAAGAAGAAGTATCTGGTAAGTGTTTTTAAGTTGTATTGATGTAGTTTTACCCATAGTTTATACAATTCAGTGAGGCCAACGGTCAGAGGTTAGAGTGATATGACTATATTGCTTTTAAAGGTAGAATATCTTATATTTCATATCCAGTAGAATGCAATGTTGCCTTCTAAGCTAGATATTTGTACGTATGGTGAGGATTACCATATTTATTTCAGTACTCACATCGCTTGAACCGTATCTACGTAGATATGCTGGTAAATTTCTCAGTCAGCTTTCGCTGGGATATGGCCAAAATGCCAGAGAACGCGTACATCCGCGCCACCACAGTCTTTGCTGACGTAGCACAAGCAGAAAAGCGAGTGGAACGATGCTACCAACACTCACACGAGTCCTCTAACACCACTGGTGAGCACATTTTTTTTAGTAGAAGAATGTTTTACAGAAATAGAACTCTAAGCGCTAGAACTTTTTTTTCCTATCTCTTGGAAGAAGTCTCTGTTTTATCCTATAGTGATATGAAAAAGAATTTTACCTTCACTAGTGGCCTCCTTTAATTTATAGTATGTTCATTATACATAAATTTCAGATAAGATGTTTGGTGGGTGGATAAAGAATAATAAGGTAAATAGATAGGTAGGCCAATCATAAAACAATCTACATTATTTATAGGAGCATCACGAGCAGTTATCATGAATGTCCTTCGTTCGGCCAGAGACTATGCTTCTTCAGATGTTCACTACTGCGGTGTGCCTGACCAGGCTGATTCTTGGTATTCAGTTGTGGTGCGCAGCCCTAGGCCCACTGAGCTGGCTTATATGTTTCTGTGCAAGAATTCCTGTTCTTCGGGCATTAACAGGCGGCCAATAGAGATTATTTTTACTCTAGAAGATGTTACGTAAGTTGATTAGTTATTTAAGATTAATATTAATGTTTTAAAAGCCAGTACATTGTGTGTTAAACCCAGCAATGCTTTGTTACATTAATTACAAAGGATCGATTAAACTGAGAAATCTTGTTGTCTTTTAACGAACAGAATGTCTGGCTGTTAATGTTAACTGCCAATAAAAATTGTCTTATTAAGCGTTTAGTTAACTTTATCATTGTATCAATTATTATTTTAATTTGTTTGGTAAATATATATACTTAGCATGTATTAGAACATACTATAAATTATATATATTTCTCAGGGGAAAAGTGTACGGTCGTCAAAGTGTTGGAGCCCGGGTGTGTTCTTGCCCTCGACGAGACATAGCACGCGATGAAGCAGTCGAGGGAGTTTCCCCGGACAAGAGGCCAATCTCTGCGTCAAATACAACGGCACCTGCTCAAGAATCACGCTCGAAGAAGATACGTCTTGCAGTGGTCGAGAAGGATGATGCCGTTATACAACTACCCTCGGTTTGTTTTTCTAAGGATTTAATTCTCTCATCTAAAGATTTTACGTTTTAACACTTAAAAATTATTTACGTACAATTAGCTTTACACATAACTTGTAAAAAAATGTTCAGCGAATGCTATTTTTATGTCTCAACAGATTGAAGTGGTCAGTCACAGAACAGCTCAAATAGGCCTTGAAGTCATGCTGAATATGATGGAACAATCCAGAGACGCTAAACTCAGTGCCAGACAGTCTACAGAGGCACTCGACACCCATATTAACAATTTGAAGAAACTTATTAACAATCTCAAAACTAAAGGATAAAAATAACATCGTACTACTCAAGTACTAATTTAGATTTAATGATAAGGATAGTATTATGTCATTTATTTCAACAATCAACATTTATTTTTAGGGTATTATGTTAAATTAGCAACACTAGAGTTGAAGAGAATTTTATAGTGGAAGTTTAGCGGTAACTAATAGAATTATGTAGTGTCATAAAAGTTGGTCACAGATTTAGAAGGTTCTTAAACTGATGTTTTTTATAATTATTGTTTAATCTGGAGTATTTTGTTTTTTATTTGATGTTTTCTCTTATTTCCCAAGTTTCAAATCAAGCTAATTCTAGTGCAGTCTTAGTATTTTAAGTATTGCATTTAAGACTACTTTTCTACTAAGTACCAGTGTTTTATATACAGTTTTAAACACTGTAGTGCCAGACTTTTTTTATTTTGTTACTTTAAATACTTAGTATTTAAAAAAAACAAATGTTTTTACTTTAATTTTATAAGTACGAAAAGTGCCTTAAGTTAGTGTTTAAGTAAAGATATCATGGTACTGTAAAATGTATTCAAGTCCAAATTTTACTTATTATACAGTGACTTCAGTTTTTTAGTGTTCAAACAAAAATGTAACCACCAAATATTATCTTTACCATAAATACTTAACATACCCACCGTTTATAGGTACCAGTACATCTTACTATTTATAAGCATACGGAATATTTTTCTAATATTTTACTGTAGCAGTTCTAGAAATAACATATGAATATTATATATCTCAATATACATTATTTTTGAGCTGATTTTATTAAAATAAAAGTACAGATTTTTTGAGATGAAGTGTTATTTTATTTAGTTAAATAAAATTTAAAGCTTTGGTCTTTACATGTTGTATGTAAAGTTAAGAAGAAACTTTATAGTCAATACAAATACAACAGAATATTTTTTCTTCAGTTTTATTCACAATAAATATACTAATATAACAAACACTACAATAACTTTAAATGGCCAGTCACTTTATCTACTATGTCTTTAGGTGCTGGTCCTACCCCAAGCACTGTTATTGAATTGGGGGCAATCTGTGTCCTTCCTGCGTCCCTGATCATTGAAGTAATTAAACCCATTTTCTTTGCATTATCTGCTATCTGCTTTATTTCCTCCACTGAATCAGTTTTAAGTGCTACCTTTGCTTGACCAGTCAATTGCCATGTCTTTAATCCTTCTGGATCCTTTTTTAAGGCCTTTTCATAAGCTCCCACCGCTGCATGCCCACATTGAGCTCCGATTTTACCTTTGCTCATTCCTAAATCTGTCCTCACTACTAATACTAATTTATATTCTGCATTTGAAGCAAACTGTAATTGATAATAAGTTTATTGGTAATGGATGTATTTTAAGATCGAACTGGATTATTAATAAAACAACTAGGAACAATTACTTGAATCAAGTTAATATACCTTTTTTATAGTTTTGGCAGCTTCCTTTACCCCCCCAAAATATTTTTTTAGAGCTAACAACGATATGCTTAAGCAAACGCCGCATCCTATGCCAGAAAAAAAAGAAATATAGTCCATTTTCTTCCTAGACGAGGCAATAGTTGCGTCTTTAGAGAAAAATTTAAAGCTTATAAGTTTTTGTTATGAATTATATTTTTTTAAATTATTTATTGTGAACATAACCTATTCCACCCGTGTTATATATTTTTTTTTTAACTAAATGAATGTAGACACAAGTTAATTAGTCAGAATAACAGAATACAAACATATCGAAAATGCCTGTTCCTTTGTCTACACAGAGTAAAAATAAAATACAGTGTTGCTAGCCTAACATTTCTTTCTACCCATTAAACTTGTCATTCTTTTATACATCGGTTAACGGTGGTCATGTATTAATAATAGAAATAAAAGGCAACAATTGCCTAGCAACAGTTGTCATTTAAATAATTTTCTTAAATTTCCTCTATTTTTTTAGGACGGTGTAAGAGCAGAACAAAAATGAAGAAAAGTACAAAGGATTTGGCGCCGATTGCGCTTCCTCATGGACCACCTGTTGAGTGCACAGCTGAATATTACAAGTCACTTATGGAAAGTGCTTGTATGGTGAAGTATGCTTTAAATTTTCTTCCGTACATATGTATCTTCTTAATTATACAAACATATTAATGATAGTCGTTGTGTACTCGTCTCTCGTACATTGATTACTATATATTCAATTTGCCATTACAACGTACATAATATCAACCAAGGCATTAGGTAAAACCAGGGACCAAGATTGGAATTCTACGTATAGCCTGAATTGCAAAAAAAATTAAAACATAGATCGTCACTATAGGCAGTTCGCATTTGTTTAATTATTTTCAAAATATGCCAGAAAATATCCAGTATGGGACGTGGCCCGCCCAACTCCTCAAGTACTCATGGAGCAAGCACGAAGGGACCTAATGGAAGCTGATGAAAAGTTAGCTTACAAACGGGAAGAAGAAAGAATAAATAGAGAGGTCATGGATACCAAATGGCGCGATCTTCGCGAAAAGGAAATGCTGTTAAAGGAATCATTTATAAGTTTTAATAAGGTGCTAGTATAACCGGTATAATGTTTAAAATCATAAAAATGTCTGCACTCTTATTTCCACTATACTGTTGGATATATAGCAAAAGTTAACAGTATCTTAATGCTAATTTGACGGGCTTAAGTATACTGTCAAAGACTTTACGAAAATCCCCGATAGATGTCGCTGCCTAGTGTAGTCGCATTTCAGCATCGCGGTGTGAAAATATTTTCACTTTTAAACATAAGCTAAAATTTATGACAAGTAATCATACTTACCTGGCGTAGGGGATACCGTGATCAATAAGGCGGTTCCCCCAGAGCGAGACTTTTCCATTGCACTGCGGTTGAGTTGACCTCTGCGATTATCCCTAATGTGGATAACTCGGACGCGTAATTTTTGGTAGTGGGGGACTTGCGTACGCGCTGTCCCCCCTTAAAATATTAATAAATATTTTCTGGTTACATAAAATCATCTGTATTATCATAAGTATCATATAACTTAGTATACACCTATGTAAAATTTTTTCATGAAATAATTTTAAAGATATTCGTCATCTTTCCCGAAACATCATTTGGGGGTAATCATTGAATGTTCTTATTCCACTTTAATTTACCACATATAACGTCACACATGGCGTTATAGCGGTTATAAACCAACAATAATAAAACACCACAAGCTATAAATAAAATCATTTTTTATCGAAATATATAATGTTTTAAAACATTTTTGTACCTTTCTCTTTTTTTATAATATTTCTTATGAATAAATTAGAGCGAAAATCATTTTATAAGACATACCTTAGAAAGGTCAAGGTTCAAGAGGGTTTTAAAAGAAAATACGACTTTATTTTCGACTTTGTACATACCTACGAACCTTAACATATTGTATATTTAGTTTATAAGGGAGAACCAAGAAAAACGCGAGCGTGCTGAGCGTAAAATGGAAGCGGATCTCGAGGTTCTAGATCGCAAGACGAAAGAAACTGAAGCCATGAGGCAAAGGGTAGTGGAGATGGAGGAAGTGCGGGACCTCATGGAGAAGCAAGTTAAAGCCTACACTGTGTATGAGGTAAGGTATAATTATTACTTAGCACCACTTAGATTGTAACTAACTGACTTCATATCAAGATTACATCAAGAAAGTAAAGTTCATCAACTTTGAAGTATATGACATACTCACTCATAAGAATATCATATGTAATTTTTTTAGGATTACCTCATGTCTGTAGTACATAACTACCCCGAATTCAAACAACCTTTGGACGTTCTAAATAGATATGAAGCCTTGGGTGAGTTTCTAAGAATGTATTTTAATGACATTGTGGATTAGTTAATATTTTTACCTTTTAATTCGGTATCCTAAAGAGCAATAAAGAAACCCTTTTATTAACTGCTCTTGCTGTCTGCCCTTCACCAGGCTACATCACTGGAAACGTTATCTGTAGCAGTTACAATCAAAGTCAATGAATGGTACAAAAACCTTGCGCGAGTCTGATTCGGGCTGTTTCGGTATTATTTATTTTTTAACAAAATATTTTCTGCTTTAAAACATATAAGTGTTCTCGTTCTACAAGCTGCCGCAAAGAGTACCCTTGCTGATCGTCAAGAACGTGATCTGGAGATGCTAGAGAATGCTCGTCAGGAGATAGCTGCACTCACTGAAGAGAAGAAACTCTTCATCATGGGCCTTAACAACACACTCGCTGATTTGAGGGTAGGTGGTATCATTTATAAATATATGTAAGCTAAACACATACTCGTAGATTATATGTATTAGATGGTATACATGCATAAGTTTATCAGTCCTAGGAATATTTAAACCTCTATGTGTTTAGGTAATCTTTGTATTGTGGCTTGTATTATGCATCTTGGAGCCTCTCAATCAGCAGTTATAGGTATAATACAATCAATAATAATTCGCGTCAGAAGCATTTGTACTAAATTTCCAGTCTTGCATAAATATAACTGCTCTTTTCTTTACACAGTGGAGATATGACCAAGTTCGGAATCGCGTAATAAAATGGGAGTTAGCCCTCAACCGCCTCAAAGAGACAGCTGCGCGGCGTCACGTGGAACTCTGTCACGTGAAAGACGCTATTTGGGGTCTCTATGTGAAAATTAGCAAGCAGAAAGGCTTGCCATTGGACGTGCCTCCGTCGGATTTCGAACAGCAGTTGGTGGTGGTGATGAGAGCATTGTTGGAATTGAGAAGGATTTACAGAATTGCTCAACGACGCTCTAAGGAGAAGTGAGTAAGACAGCATTTAGGAATATATAAAACAAAATTCTAAGTCTTATATGATCGATACAATTTTGCGCTGAACTAAAGAGTTCGTTAAGTTTTGTATTGGATTTACTAACGACTCAGCGCAACGCGTCTTTGTTTTTTTTCTATATATAATAATAATTATTAAGTTGAGGCACTAATGTACATATAGTATATAATAATGGAAAAATATATTTTTTCAGGGATGCAGAGTCAATGCAAACAGCATAAAATAATAATTGGAATCATACGCCTCTTACCAGTACTTACGATTTTGTGTCATTAAAATTTATTTATTTTTGTTAAAGAAAATCAATAAATGATTTTTCATTCCATAAATTATCCATTGACGCCATTAATTTATTAAATGTATAATATATAACAGAGGCGAAGATTGATACTAAAACAAAAACACACATACATAATCATACTCTTGTGTTGAAGACCGAGTTAGATATCCGCTTCCCAAGAAGGTTTGATAAACGTAATTTATGTGCGCTAGCCCTAAAGTAAACTAAGAAAACTTTACCAATTTAGGTCAAGTAATTAAATACAAAGTTTAACATTTGTTTGAAAGAGTTAATCTGTTCTAATTAGTATCCAATTATAATAAATAATGTCACATATATTAGTATAATGCGGCAACAGACCTTATCTCTTCATATTCGTCATTATGTCGATTCAAACGGCTCCTATTAAGATAAAAAATTTCACCCATTTTATGGTGTTTCCACTGAAAATAGTCGGCTGTTGGGAATGGTTTCAAAATGCTGCTAGTTATCTGTCAATTTTGATTAACAATATTTATTTAGCCATGATTTTGTTCATTCTTACAAACCTGGCTCTATCTTTGATGGTACACTTGTATACGGAATGGACGGACATCATGTCAAATTTGGACAAAATGGCCGACGGTTTGCCGCTGTTTGTTTCCCTTGCAATCGTAACGTATTTTGCAACTTACAAAAAGGAATTGTACGAATTAACAGAATATATGAATAAGAATTTCAAATGGCACTCCTCAGTAGGCCTCACAAACATGACGATGCAAGGAAGTTATAAAACTGCCAAAAATTTTGCTTATTTCTACACGGCGTGTACGATTTTCAGTGTCGCAATGTATGTTGTGTTGCCAGTTATTGGATACTGTAAGATGTTTTTTTTTTATAAATCACCCTGACATAATTATTGAAAACATAAGAATTTTTTTTATTTCTTTTTCTTTTAGTATGGTTTAACCATCCATTACAACCGTGGATATACAAAGACGTGTCAGGGGTGTTTATTGTTTTTGTGTTTCTAAGACAATGCATAGCGCAAGCATTCGTAGCTTTAGCGGTCGGACAATTGGGTAAGACTACGATAAATTGTGTAAGGCTTTCACGGCCATCGTTCAGCATGTCATTGTTTTTCGGTTAGAAGAGGTCACGAGCGGACGGGATCATCAGAAGATGTTAACTCTTCGAATGCTCGAAGAATTATGATACATAATAATAATTATTCATTCGTTAATTCATTAAACACAATTCTCCGAGCAATCGAGGAGTTAACATCTCCTGATGATGAAAAATGAATAGATTAAACCTTAAAATTTCACTAAAGATACACCATTGCAACTTTACACTTTTTTTAAAGGAGTGTATATTATGTATTACTTTAGGTTATAAACTAAAACGATACCATTTTTATGAAAATCTGTAAAGTCGTTTGGCCGCGAAAGAGGAACAAACATACTTACGAAACGTTTCATTTATAATAGAAATATCTTTGACTCACTATTATAAATCTATTCAAGGTGTCTTCTTCGCGTGCAACTCAATTCTCTTATGCGGTCAACTAGATCTGTTATGTTGTTCTCTCCGCAACGTACGGTACACAGCTCTCATACAAAATAATGTTGCCTACGAGGCTTTAAATAGACAAGTATTCAGTATCTCTGAGGACGAAGAGCATAACTACACATATAACAAATCGGAGATGAAAGAGTCTGGATATCACTATGACGAGGTAAGTTTTCCAAATAAAAAAGCGCACCTAAACCAGCAGTGCCGGATTTAGATGTTTGGGGAGGACACCAACAATGGAGGCTCCGGGGCAAGAGTGCAGACCTCCTGCCTCCAAAATATTTTTGATGGCAGTATATATTTAAAAATAATACCAATAATGTTTGCTTTGAATCCTTTCACCGAAGTTTAAAGTGACCGCATAAGTTAAAAAACATCTTTAAAAGTTTGTTTTATCTTATTTCAGATATTTCGCCCACGAAAGCAAATTACATTTGGCAAGTAATGAACGTATTTTTATAAGTATAACCAACAGTCTGTAGATCGCTAAGTCCAGGTTTTAAAACCCCGAACGGGCGAGTTATTAGTCGGAGACCACTTTGGTCCCGGTTATCATTACAAATAAGTTAAGGTCTCCGTCTGCAAGTTATTTATTTTTGTTGTCGTAATATTTTTTTAGATATCTATGACAAAGTTTATGACGAAGCCACCATAAGAGCGATCGCTGAATGCGCACGAGTCTGCCAAATCACGAACGAGTATAAAAATCGCTTTGAAAGTTTCGTTTCGCCTCTACTAGCGTTGCGCGTAGTACAAGTTACGTTATATCTCTGCACTTTGCTATATGCTGCTACTCTGGTAAGTTAACGAAAGAAACATTTGTCAATAATCGTTTGGTTGGAAAATAACATTTCTAGGACGCTTATATATGTAATTTACGATATTTGGAATAATCTCTAAACTGAAATTATTGTCTAGTTGTCTAGTTGTATGTAAAAAAGGATAGCGAAATCCCGTTTCCATTTCCGTTAATTGGGCGAACCTATTTTTGAATCCACTTCAGTGATCAGTGTTTTTACTGGCTAGTATATGATTAGACTTCTATGCCCTGCCCGACCGCAACAATCTATTGTCCCCGTGGGTTTGACCTCTCGCGCTAAACGTAATGCGTTTATCTATTTGGCTACAAAGGCGACTGCCTAAGACTATATTATGCTACTGTGGCTATATTAATAAGTAATTATACATATAAAAGCAGTTGGATCAATTGTTGTGCCGTTACACGTAATATCTACTATCCAGGAACACCGTTTAATGTTTCAGAAATTTGACATGGTAACTGTGGAGTATCTCGGTGCAGTTGCCTTAGACATATTTGTGTACTGTTACTTTGGAAATCAGGTTATTTTACAGGTAAGTTGTAACCGAGATACTTTCTGTTGTTTACGCGAGTTTTACACATTTGAAGACAAAAGTCTAGTGCTTTATTTCAATATAACTGAGATGTTTAAGGTCTTGAAACTGGACTGGCAGTAAATTTGTCCCTATTGATTTTTGTGATTGTGCGGGGAGGGGGGAAAGCATTCAAATATGCAATAGCAGTTTTAACTTTGATATAAAAATAACCCCCCGTCTAGTCTCGCCACGTTTTATTTAAATATAATTATGGTCCTCACGTAAACCAAAGACAATATTTATTTAAGCATTATTTTGACAGTAAGTTTGAACTAATAAACTTATTTTGTATATCATAGGCGGATCGTGTGTCAACTGCGGCATATCAAAGCAATTGGCCTTGTATAGGGGTTACGCCGCGGCGTTTGTTGCTCAACGTTATTTTAGCGAATAGAAAACCGGTTATAATTCGCGCTGGACGATTCCTTCCTATGAATCTTCAAACCTTTGTGTTGGTAAATATTTACAGTATTTTAAGATCTCGAAAAATTCGAGATTAGTTTATAAGAACCTCTCATGTTTTTATGTAACTACTTCATGTTTTTAAAATGTTGTACCTTTATATCCTTTAGCAACTGGAAAACAGTCACATATCATTCAATTATTATTATAAAATAAAAATATTATAGTATATAAGTGAAAATCGTTTACAGATAATCAAAACATCATTTTCCTACTACACGCTTTTAGTGAACGTAAATGAAAAATAGACAACTACGAGAGTAAAATAAACACACTGTCTGTTCGAAAAGTTTTTTATTTACGAAATCAATATACAATATCCTTGTTCATACCATAATAAACGATTAAAGTTTCAGCCGCCGGCCATATCAGTGTATGCTCTCAGTCTGATTATAAAATATATTCCACATAAACCAATCTCACAAACACGGTGGAAACATCAATACAATTAAAATGGAATCCATAATTTCATAGATAAATAATGAATTAATATCAATTAAATAATTGCTTTTACGCTAGAGCCCCAATCGTTACAGGGTGTTAATTCCACCGCGACACTTCCACTTACTACTTAACATTATGTTTATGTCATTTAATATAATGCGTGCGATTCGAATACTGATTTGTTGCCAGTGTTAAAATCACACGATCGCTAAAGTACACGATTATTTAATGATACACAAGCGTACAGACAGACATACGATCTAACGCGCATACATACACCACTCATCCCGAACGAGCTTATCCCCGGCGCAAAATTAAAAAAAATTGTAACATGCAACACTGGCAGCTTCTATGACTGTAAACAATAGTATTGTAGCCTATTTACCATCGATATCTGTGATGGAAAAGTTTACATCGATGGAATGTTGTCTATGCGCGCGCAAAGTATTCAAACTATACAGTTTTTGTCAGTGACCATAGTCAAAGGCTTATTCTTGGCGAATGGAATGTAAAGAGGTTTATATTTGAAACAAAACCCGTTTCTCTTGCTACATCAGTAAATATGGTACCGTATCCACCTCTAAATCATACGCAATTTTGACTATGGTAGAAAAGTGTTTTAAACGATCCATCCCTTACGTTACAGCTGGTTACAATTGTGAAAATTGGCCCTTCATAAAAATTTAGTTTAAGACACCTCTCCCAGCGTACGACGTAAAAAGGATAGCTTCAAATCGAGAATTTGCCTTCGTGCCAGATAATTTCCAATTGTATTACTGGCAAAGCACGCTGCATAGACAACGCGTTGTTGACTGAACACAATTGTCCAGCAATTGTTGAAACGCACTAGACACAACAAGAGAGCGCCCGATTACAAATTATATTGTATTTAAGTCCATACAAATTACAACCACTTAGTGATAGCTCACGAAGTTTTGAAGACTAACCTTTTATGACACTAAGTCTATTCTAGTACTATGTTTATAACAAACACTACTGACTGCAGTTTTCGATACATCCATATTAAGATTTGATTTGAAACAAGTAAAAATTACATTCATCAAGGTAAACCGTCCGTGTGCCGTTAACTTTCTAGATAGAGTAACGGTGAAATCAACCCATAATGGCTCATCATATGCATTCTGCATGTCCAATAAATAGGTGGACCTTTTCGCAAGTATCAAATTGTATGATTTCAGAATTGAACAGATACGATTAATTTTATTCCTACGTAGAAGATTTAAGACTAAACTTCGCTACTTCATACAAAATAGGCGGAAAGGGTGCCGCTTGTGCGTCGATGTATACCGTACGAAATACGTAGCTGATTGTAACAGGCACATTTTAAAAAATGTTCCTTATCTGTTGCTTAAGAATTTTGAGTTATTAATTTCATACCAGACCCTTTTGGGTTCTTTAATGCTACGAAATACGAGCTTCACCTTAGGAAAAATCGTGGAGAAAATCCTTCGTGAGCTATCAAAACGTAGATTAGTGTAAGCTTAATGTAGCGGAAATCCATGCGGGTAGAGATCGATGCTCTCGGTCAGAGGCTAGCTGGGGACGGATAAACGAACGTCAGTACAAGATTCGAAAGGTGTAAATAGGGCCAGAAACTAACTATACGCTAAACTGATATGCCTTTAATCAAATGAATTACAGTGAACAATGATTTTATATACAAACTAGAAAACACCACTAACTTTATTATACAAATACATGCTCTGCGTTATTTTATGCAAATGAAGAGGAAGTAAAGAAGTAGAAAACAATGACACAATGATTATTAGGTTTGGTGTGTAGGTGGTAATTAGAACCATGATGTATGTATTTTAAACATTTAGGGCCCGTTTCGAACATGAACTAAGGGTTTAAAATTTGGGTTATAATATAATTTACTTGCTCATCAACATTTCGACATGTTCCAGCTGAAAAATAACCTAAAGTGAGGTCCAAGTCGAGTAAGAAAATCAGTAAAGGTAATTCAATATGGTACTTTGTATTACGTATAAAGACGTTGAAGAAGCGATAATCGGTGAACTATATTTGAACGTGTGCCCTTGTACAAACAAGCTAATATGAATAACAGTAAACATAAGATAATGTTAGTATTATTATTACTGTGTTTGAAGTCGTCAAATTGTAAAATTTCACTCAAAGTGCTTTAGTGTACCTGCTTTTAATAGCCCCTTCATATATCTCTGTCCATAAAAAAAAACGCAAGTTAGATTCGAAGCAAACTTTTGCATAGTAATTTTGTTTTATTAATTCTACGCATATACGAAAAAGGGGGGATGATTTAATTGAATAATAATATATAATGATAATTTACAAAACTGTGACGTCATTAACTTCTGAAAGACAATTTATAAACTTGTTTTTGTAGATTCTAAAATATGGTGTATTGTGTCATGTACGTTAGTATGCGGCAGTACTTACTTCTTTTTATTTTTGGGCTGCGCCCGCGGCGGGGTATTGGGTCGGCCCATGTTTAGCCCGGAGTACAGCTTGCGCTTGTCCGCCGGTTTCAGGATTTGGAACGAGCACATCAGCGTCTCGTCCACGGACATAAGTGCACCTGCGTACATTAAATTATGTCATATAGAAGTTTCAATTATTCCCTAGTATCATTTTCAGACAGAAATTTGCTCGGACCTCTGTCTAATAGGACAAACTGCCAAACGATTCATTGAGTAATATAATAATAATAATCGTTTATTAGGCTAGGCTTAAATATATTTTAAAACCTATTTACAAATTTAGTTTTTCGTTGGCGCCCGAAGTAGCTGTAAAGCTGTGACACAGGAGCCAACGCGCACCTCCGTATGATTTAGTTAATAAGAATATTACGGAAAAGGAAACGAACTTTGACCGTTAATAAATCGCACTTTTTCAAGCAAGGCTTCCGCGACATACGTAAACTATAGCCTAAGTTTAAGGACAACTGTCGAGTTAGATAATGATATATAAACCCTTTACCGGCATTATCGAATTCGCCACAGTAGTTGGGCGCAGAGAAGAGCGTCACGAGCTGCCGCTTCGCGAAGAACTCGTAGCCGTCCTCCACTACCTGATGCGCACGGCAGATCAGGTCGAACTCATGCTTCGACAGGAACTTTCCGACAATCTGTAAAAGACATATATCGTGGTTAGGTACAAGTATATACATTATATATATATATTGTATGTAGTTTACGAAAGTAGTACACATTTAAATAAAACCCTTCAACGGTATAAAACGAAATATATATTAGGAAACTTTATTTGGAAATTATTTTAATACGGGCCGACGTTTCGGAGCAGCCGACTCCTCGTGACCACGACTAAATTTAACCCTTAACTTAAAGTATTTTAGTTAAATATGCATATTATTATCCAATTCTGTCTGATTCAATTTTAAAATATATGGTATATTATGACAAATTAGACAATTATAAAGTGCTAAATTGAAACTAAACAATTTGAACTAATGAGTTAAACGGGGAGCTGGTAGACGAGCGTTCTGCTGTTGTTCTCATATTTTAATACGTCCTTAAAATAGAGATCTATAATTCAAAGTATAAAAATGTGCACCACCCATAAAACAAGCATTGGCCGTGAAAAGTTTCCGCTAGTAATAAATTGCGTCTAATGTTTATCTCTTGAACGTGCAAACATCCGCCTCACTTTCACACATTTCCGTACGCAGTCGAATGATGGGCACGTGATCAGGAGACATCAAAACAAACTACATAACCTTTTGCAAGCATGGCATCATGACATTAGGTATAAATGACTATTAATACATAATGATTTATTATAAATTGGATGAATATATTTAATGCAAACTGTAGAGTAAGAGTAGAAATTAAAATAATTATTTATGAAATAAAATTTAAAAAATATAACATTACGGTACAGTGCTCTCCAAACTTTTTGGCCGGGCTGAAGTTAGCGGATGGTTGCGAAGGACGCAGGTACAAGTTGGCGACAAAGGGGATGGGCGGGTGCAGGGCGACTCGACATTTTGCTTAAAAATTTACAGTACCACGCGCTAGATGGCAGTCGCGCTAACTTCACCCGGACAAAAACTTTTGGAGGTAACTATACTAAATATAACTTATAAGTATAAAACTATTTTAATAAATATTTCAGCTTGGTCCTCAAAGCCGATATCCTTCATTATTCAACTACCCTCCATAAACTTAAGAATTCTCACGAACTGAAGACTTACCTCTGTGCCGAAGGTAAAGCTGACACCACGATCGTTTTCACCCCAACCGGTGACGTCCTTGTCTGGATCTGACCACAGAAGGTCACAGAGCAAACCCTGGTCAGGTACGTCCGTGGGACGCATGATTCTGCGGATCTGCTCCATCGCTTGGAGGTCTGGCGAGAGCCCACCATGGCAGCAGAAGATTTTCTCGTCAACTGAAATATATATTTATTATTATACTTACGTTAATAGAATGTTAGACTTTAGACTAGATAAAATGTCTGCCCAATGAGTGAATCTAATTGAACTATATTTCATCAAGTGTCGGATAGAATAGCAAAGCAAACAGCTTTGTCGCATTTATGTGGATAAGTCTACAAATACAATAGTCAGTTGTGGAGTATAATTATGTTAAACGTAGGCGACATAACTATTTGTAGTGGTTAAGCTTCCCGTATCAATTTATGAAAGTAATGAAATTTGATATGGCACTCCTATAAGTGCTAAGTTGTAGCATTCTGGTGTGTAGTTAACGAGTGCAGCCGTCTGTTTGTTACAATGCATCAAAACAAAAGTTATCGGCGTCGGCGCCCCATCGCGTCGAGTCACCGTCGGCGTCTAGTCACGCGATAACCGACGGGTCAACACGCGGTTAAGTAGATATAGACTATTCCAGAAATGTTGTATAAGCTTATAAGGTATCCTTAAATGATATGAATATTTATATGATGCTTTGTATTGCTTTGACGGTTTCGTTTAGTTCATATTTGCTATATTAAAAAAACTATTTGCTATAACTCTAAAATGTTTAATATGTATATAGAAACACTAATTACTTTGATAATATACAAAAACAAAAGACATTATCTGAAACTATCTATCAGAAGATATAATATGCTGATAACATCATTAATTTGAGTGCTCTAATAACAGTATAATTGCGCAGCAAAATATAAAAGGTGACATGATAACCTAATTCTTCATCATCAGCTGTAAAAAATATCTAACCTGAATTTATCGACATGTATTCAATAGAATAGCAGACGGGGATTTAAATTGTATACATTTATATGAAAAAAACACTAAACAAGAGATTCAACTATATTCAGAAGGATAGACAAGAGATTCACAGAATACAATATGAAATACCGCTACATAACATACATACACACGATCTTTAGATATTCAGAAATTCGCAGATTGCAAACGAAACGCGATTAGACTTCACGGTTTTTTCATCTGTGGGTGGCGGATCGGTTCAGGTCTCCCGACGAACTCCAACATGTTCCAGACACATTATAGATGACATGTTGGTCCCGGTGGGGATGGAACTCACGCCCCGTGGGTTATTAGAGACCAACCAGCAAATTTTTAAGGTGTGAAAACTGGGTACTATTGCAGTATATAAAAAAGTGCCGAGTACAATATTCGCTACTTATACAATCGTTAGTGTGAAGAAAGTTATCCGCAGAGGGAAAACTGTGGAAAATAGGTCAAATTTGTCTGACGCAAATGGATTGCTATTATCTATTCTGGTTTTAGTGGAGTCGCACGTGACGCAATGATTATCTGTACTCGGAGAATTTAATAAAAGCTTATTGATTGTAGATATTAAATAAAGTTTTTGGGTTATCGCAACTTCGTAAAAATGTATATTTATTTTTCATATACATAAGTGGGTTATATATACATATAATAAAAAATTGCACTTCATAAGTATTTTAACGCAGTTCTGGTTAGTCAAAGCATCATATCATCCCAATTATAAGTATTTTAATTGTGGTTATTATGATGTAAAGTTTTGTCGTAAATTTATTTGCAGATTATTATATTTATTTCACTACTGACATAATCTGGCAACAGTTCCGATTTACGTTATACTGTTTACAATGAAAGCGACGTCATTAATTTCGAAAGGAAATAAATACGATAATAGTAACCTTCAAGTTAAACATGGTTTTCTTATGAATACAGTAAAAGTTGCATGAAAATTTTAAAACATTTGAATCCTAGTTAAATTGCGTAATCATTCCCAGTTGAGTTCAGCGAGCAGTAAATTAGTCGCGTCATTTCGACAAAGTGTTTACGTAAGCGTCTGTAACCCTTCAAATGACAGCTCAGCTTTGCGTAGCTTGGCTTGGTGCCAGCTATATAAGTACGGATAACCATCGTCCTTCGCATGAGACTGATATAAATCATTATGTTGGGTGGCCCGAAAATAGAGTAGCGGGTATTGAAAATTCTTGAAACCAGCTGTACCTACTTATTATACTACTTAGAGTAAGTAGTAATGATAAAAAATACACCTTCTAATATGTACGGATTCGGAGCCCTATGTAATGTAAATATTTATTCCACAGAGCTTTGACCCCATATCGATCAATACATAATATTTGCGTGGTAAGAAACGGAGCAAATATTTCTGCACCTGCATTTGATTCGAGTTCGAGTTTCAACTTCAAAGCTAAATTTCGTGATGGGATGTAAAGAATCAGAAAGCTATAGAAGCCGATATGTGTTTGTTATATTTTTGTATATATTATATAGATTGTGGTTTAATACTTAAATTTTCACGTGTCTAATAAAAGGTAACGCGTCATAACTGAAGACCGTAAGCGGCCACGAGCATGCCTATAAAACGTATAAAATTGTGAATACAAAAGGCGATAGCAAATCCATAACAAGGTATAATCTAATATCTAACATTCAATAGACTTGCATCTAGCTAGCCGATGTCGCAGGAGGAAATTGCAAAAGCGAGGCCCATTGTATTACTTCCTTAGCCGGCGCCTCATTATCGCACAACGCGTAAAACATTAGCGGAATATATATGTATGTACAGTGCCGTATTTGATCATTTGATTTCAAGAATTACCATACACAGGCTGACAAAACAAAACATAGTTGACATAGAGATCGAGATATTAGGGGGTGCATTTTATGTAGCTTTAAATGTACCATTATTGACTGGATACAGAAAAAATGAGATACAAGTTAAGATTTCAAAAAATCATATCTCAATAATCATTTTATTATTAATACAGCCTTTTGCGTTAAAGATAGAAATATAAATTCAACAGCAGTGTTCTTAGATGTATTTTTGGAGGTACAAAAGTCCTTTTACGTAAATTAATAAAAGAATACTAAAGAGGCGGCTTGTAGCAATTTCCTATCCGTTCGAGATAACCTTGTAAAACTCAAGCTAATGAAGCGCCCTCCGAGTCAGACAAGATTCGAAACTGACGGCTAATTAATTCACAAGGGGGGGTTGTTTTATTTAAAAACATCACGCAAATGAAATTGGAGATATAATGATAATTAGTCTTATGGTCTATGGAGGTTTTTGGTCCGAATAGGCAGTTGTGTTGGTAAGAGCATTTATTGAGGAAGGGTTTAGGCTATAAAACATCACGCTGCGGCCAATAAAGCAAAAAAGGGAAAATTGTGGAATATTATTTGATTATGTATGAAACAATGATTTCTAATTAAATGGTCCAATAAAAGTTTGCCAACCGACGTCGTAGGTAACATACTTCAAATGGCAAAATAACTTTCCAGGTCAGCTAGTTCATGATAAATTTTCCCTTTCTTATTTATATCGCAAAATATATAAACATCAACAGGTAAAAAATATTGTGTTTTATCCTGCGAATCCAAGGTTTTATTAGAGGAGGGCCTCGCAAGGGAATCGATAAAAGACACCGCGACCTAATTCACATCAAGGACGAGTACAAGGCTACACCCTTTTTATCCTTTCTGACCTTGGTTGAATAATAATCAATTTTGTTGTTATATTTGCAATATTTTTTTTTGCTTGTCATTGCCTTTTAAGAAAACAGACATTTCAGGATCTACTCGTCTCAAATTAGTACTTGGCTGTCGTTGGCGTTTTCAATATACACCTGCTGACCGTATATATAATTACCACACAATATTGTTAAGAATTGTGTATATTTTAAAATATACTTTGTAATGTATTTTGTTGTACATTTTTACAAATCGAAAATTCGTTCAGCCAGTAAACATTGTAACAGCGGAATCTTGATGTGTTAAAAGTTACAATACGCTGTGATGATTTGATCATCCTCCACCATCATTCCCACTCTGTCAATTCACGCCCTTTTTGGTGTTTCACTTAACGAAAGAAATAGACAAGAGTGGAATCTGACGAGATCCATAATTTCAAGAATGAAACTAAACATCGCCCGTCTACGACGAGGGCAATGTCCTCTTTATATGTAAAAGTGAAGAAACAAGATACGCAATCTTTGCAAAATCCAATATCGTATTCCAAGCATTATCGATAACCCGACGATGTAACTTGACTTTTCAAGATAGAAAGGTTTCAAATGTTTTGAACAATTTTTACATGTCTTAAATACTGTTAATGAGTGAGACGGGCGCATTGTTTCTTATTTTGTGACAAAGTGTTATTACATTGTAGTTCATTGACATCTTTTTGTGGTACAAAACTTGTAAGTTGTCGCCCAATATAACTTTTTTAATTTATACTTATATATAAGGGTAAAGAGTTTGTTTGTTTGAATGCGCTAATCTCAGGAACTACTGATTCGAATGGAAACATTTTTTTTTATGTTGGATAGAGCATTTATCGAGGAAGATTAGAAAACATCGCGCTGTGATTAAAAGGAGCGAAGAAACAGCGGGAAATGTAAAAAAAAGGGAAAAATTATTTATCTTTGTAAGTTTCCGATGTGTACGCTGCGACAACGTTTCGAGATACCTAAAAATATGTATGATTTCTCTTTTAATCATCTACAAAAATTCCGCGACACTAAAAAAAATATGTCTAGTTTTTAAGATTAACTTGCAAGGACGACGGGACGCGACCAATGTCGTGGGTAACAGCTTAAACGTATAAAGATGAAGAGGTGGTTCACAAAAACAAATTTGGACGCCCAAAATAACTATTCTACGCAAAGTCGCTGGCACGGCTAGTATAACATAATTTATTTTTTTTATTTATTTATTTAATTTATTTACATATTCCTGTCTAATCAATCATGTAGTCGAACCTTCATACTGAAATAGGTGTGAAAAACATTTTTCTCACTAAAATACGGAGGACGATCATAATTTGTTGAAAGACTTGAAAGCTGACAAGAGCCAGCTAAAATTAGGTTGTGCAGTTATCGACAGGGTGTAAATTGTCCTAGTTAATCAGATAATCGGATGAGCACGGTTCACGCTTCGACGGTGAAATAATCTTATCAACGATACAATATTGTATTTCTAACTAAAATAATAATGGGTCACTGTTGAGCACTTTTAGAAAAAACATTGTTTAATTGATATAATTAATTTGCATAATGACCATGTTACCTGATGGGCATTATGCAAATTATAATATCAATTTTGGCTTAATGTTTTAACTTGTTGTTTAGCACTGTGTGAGGACCGGGGGTTGAGATCCTGGGAAAACAATAATTTCAATGTGGAATGTGTGGTGCTAATTTTAGATCACTTACTTATGCAAAGCGACTAGATAATTAAAAAAATATAAAGACATAGAGAAAATTAAGAATAATGTTATTATGAGGATTTAAAAAAATTACTCACCAATAGCAGCAACTGGTAAGCAGTTAAAACAATCTGTGAATGTTTTCCAAAGCTTAATGTTGTACCTCCGTTTGCACTCGTCATAGAACCTGATCAAATAAACATTAATGGATATTTACTTCATTACTACATTATTTTAAAAGATGGGACAGCTATCAACATCTAAAGCTTTTTTTGTACCTTGAATTGGAATATATTTAAATTCACTATAAAGTAAGACATGCATTTATTTAGTGAACATGGAAAAACTATGAATTTTCTATATAATTTAATAAACTTGCGCAAATGGTATATTAAGTAATTAAAGTGTAAAGAAAAAACAGTAGAATAATTTAATGCATATTAAATTTAATAAATTCAAATTTACCAAAAAATCTCAGTAGTTTAGTAATATGTCAGTAGGACAACAGCAGATATCTTAAGATTAATGGCTGATGACATTGGTATGCAAACAATATTTATGAATATAGTAGATTTGGGGCTTCTGCATATCATATCATTATGAGAAACAATATTATGTAGAAATAATGGAGGAAAAATCAAACAAAATTTATTTTCTTTTCCCGTACATCCTATGTATACTTTCAAACTACAATCTTTGATGTTGACTCACATAGCACTAAATCAACAATACCTTGAGACTTTTATAAAGTTACAAATTCCAGGGTGAAATGGCTTTACTCGAGCATATCGCAAGGTTTTACCTTGAAGGTCTATAAACTTTTTCATATTTGCATACTGTACTAGATCAACAGTTTTTATCAACATTAAAAATTATTTTTCAATTAACATTAACTGTTTATATTAATCTGATTGTTAAGTTTCAAATGCGTAATATTATTTTGTCCTACACAATAAATATTTAACAATTTACTATTAACGTTTTAAAGTTATTTATTAAAAAATATAATATCAGGACAAATTTGTCATGATCAATGTCGAGATCATAAAATGCCCTTGAGATAATCTTATCAGTATATGTACATATTATATGACATCACATCACAAAGTAAACATAAATATAACATCATTTATTATGTTATAGAACCAATTATGTTAATTTCCTATCAACCACTGTGTGATTCAATAATTAAGTTTAACAGGACATTTAATTTCTATATATATAGAAATGAAATTCTTTAATACATATATGTACATAAACAAATTACACTTCCACAAACAAAATTAGCGACTTGCAGACTAATAATTAAATTCACAATCACATTTGTCTATAATTTTAGAATTACTTAAAATAAACAAGATCGACTATAAAAGTGAATCACACAGATGACTCATATTACAACTGCAATGTTTGAATAGGGCTTCATTTACTAACAGAAAAAGAAAATAGATATTTTATATACCTTGGAAAATAACTAATTAGTAATGGAAATATGTCTTTTTTTTTGTGGTGGGCTGATAATGTCCTTAACTGTTACAAGATCATAAGATGGCCGTGACTAAAGATTCAAATACAACACAGTATTTTGGGTGTAAAATTAAAGGATATCAGTTGATAAACATAGCAGGGTATATAGCTTTCCAATAATTTCTTCTGATTTAATTTGACATTCAATCAATATGATTTTTATTGAAGGAAAAAATATTTCCCTAGAGTGTTAAAAGTTAAGCAAAGTTCTGTGTAAAATTTAATGTTAAAAAAATATAGAGATTATTTATATAACTCACTCACCCATAAATCCTATTGATACTAGCACACTCATGATTCCCTCTTAATAGGAAGAAGTTTTCAGGGTATTTAATTTTATATGCAAGCAGAAGGCATATTGTCTCCAAAGATTGTTTGCCACGGTCAACATAGTCACCGAGGAAGAGGTAATTTGACTCTGGTGGGAAGCCTCCATACTCAAAAAGCCTCAGTAGATCATAATATTGTCCATGAATGTCACCTAAAAGCAAAGGAGACAATGTAGAAATAAAGGAAATAATATGTTTCCTTATTATGTTTTCAGAGGTAATCGCTACTAAACAATATGTTGTAGAAGTAAATATTTTACTATTACATTAGAAATTAAGTTATCTGAATTTTAAAACTGCACTAGTAGTGACTAATTTGTATTATGATTATAAAATGTAAATAAACAAATATCAACGGTAGTTGATGCAGTATATTAAGATTATCCTTATACTAATGGAAAACGAGATTCAACCTATATAATAATATAGTTTACCCCTTTCCAACAGTGAAATGAAGTAGATTTCGCAACTGTTTCGAAAGTGAGGTCACGTAATCGGAAACAAAGACATTTACAAGTGTAACTTACCACATATTTTAAGTGGAGCTTCCAATTCCAGTAGTATCGGCTGTGACAGGAATATTTCCCGGGATTTCAAGCATAAGCCTTTTATCTCAACTTCCGTTAACTGTACATTCATACCAGGCTTTTCGCCCCGGACTGAAAGCAATCACAACATAAACTTGAGCACTATGACACAATTTCACTCACAATATCAAACGTTTTAAATTATTTACATAAAGTTACCAAACAACCTACGTTTACATTTTTTACAATAATTTACCTTTTAATAATTTTTTTATTACGTTATCGATGTTTAACTCATCTGTATCTCTGTCTGCCATTGGATAGAATGTTTATGCACGGAATATGACTAAATATTATTAAAGAACGTTAAACGATCGCCTAGATTTTTGCCGATTTCAAAATGGCACAACCAATTTCAGTTCTCGGGCTCTTTCGGCTTTAAAAATTTAATGGCCGATCTGAGGACATCACTCAACAGTCAACAACCAAGATTGAACAATAACAAAGTGTCATTTCAGTTTGACAGTGACAGTGACAATTCATAACAGACTAAATACTATTTATTTTTTCAGAAGAAATAAAGTTTACCATAGAATAAAGCGTTATAATTATTTTGACAACTAAAATATTTTCGCAACCTGTAAAAATGGCAAACATGCAATAAGAACAATCACAAAATCAAATCAAAATTACATCATAAAATCGATTAGCTTTAAAAAAAACCTATTATTCATACTCTATATATTTTTTTATCGTCATACCTTGACTTTCTTTTATAATGTTTTAATAATGGATTATGGAGTTTGTACATGATAGGCACTTGCTAGCTCAGTGACGGCAGGCGTGTATTACGCTATATTATAGTTTCTAGCTATAAGCTAGCTGTAATTCTATGTATCCATGTTCTTATGTCTATGTTTGTGCAATAAAGAGTTTATTATTATTATTATTATTATTAAGCTTTAGCGGAATTTGTGCACGTAAGCAATGCATAAGTTCAAGTATTTTTTTAAATCTGTAATTTCTGCAACTTGGACCGCAACTAAGTAGAAAACATATTTAAATATAAGTTTATAAATGTTTCCTAATCCCTCCACATCTTTTATTAAAATTGGTCATATTATGTCAAAATAAATTTCGTTTGGTCAAAATAATGAATAAAACATTTTTGTTAAATACGTATAATTAATATAAAAACAATATTCAGGAACTATAATTTATAATTCGATAATTATTGTAATCATAACAATTATTACTGTTTGTCTCTTCTATCTTCTTATGCTTTTATTATGCCATTAATCCTTCTTCGGTCCGCGGTAGGGATGGCGTTTCCTGTAAAAACAGTAATACTTTGCAATATTCCTTACACTTTGATAAATTAAGATCAAATGAAACTTGCTTACGCCGGAATAGTTAGAGTGAATATTCCAAACTTGGTGTTTATGTCTTCGAGGTGGAATATTCCTTCGACGTATTCGTTGTCCGCTGGAATCGCTGGCGTCTCGAACACCAAGTTCATTATATAGTCTTCAACGCAGCTAAAAATTAAGAAATGGGCATACACACAACATGCATGGTCTTATTCACTGTATGTACAATTTCTATAGCTTAAGAATATTACTTCTACAGGTGTGTCGTAAATAAAGGATAACCTGTATATCGTGGAAACTGAGTTGTGATGCTATAACCAAATAATTTTTTGTTAGTTTTACTAATATGTAAACAAAGTGATCACTTTTTTCTTTTTCAGTCATTCGATTGCTTTGTAGTATTTAATCGTAGATAGTGGCTCTATTTATATTTTTAACAGATTATCCATTACGACACATTCAGACGGTATTTAGGGAAATTTATTAATATATAATCATATGTGCTACGTACTATGCGCATGGCTGATATGGTACCAATTTCTCAATTTTGTTCGGAAGCAAAGTTTGCACGTAAGGATCTGCAACCAATTTAGCAGCGGGCGGTGCTGGTCCTTTACGCGCTTTTGGTGTTGGAGCCGGTGGCTAATGGATAACATGAGGATTATTTGGAGTATTACGATTACCAATTACAGTAATAAGACGTACAAGCCGTATTATAAACAACGCGAATAAAAAAGATTTAGGAGAATTCGCACCTTCACAGCGCCATAAGCAACTTCAATTAAAGATTTAACTTCGGATTCCAAGATTCTAAGAAACTTGCGCACGTTCCATTTGGTCACCTCCTTGTGGTTTCCGAGCAATGATAGTAGTGGAGTCACATCACATTTCGCTAACCTATTAAAATACCGTAATATCTTTGGAACTACAAAAAAGGCTTTTTAAGTTAATTACGTTTTTAATTAATGACCACCATCCCACCAAGTGGTGAGGTGATTTATGGGATGCCATTCTTGCTTAGGAGCCAAATAACTCAATACCAGTTTATCAAATTTCATTGTTAATGAGAAATAAAGCATCGTGTCAACATTCGGCTAAAAGGAGGCCGAAGAACTGTCAGCAATAATCTGAACCTAGGGGACCTAGAGGTTGGAGTGAAAAAAGAGATTGTACCTAACAAGGTCATCGATTCCCTTCAAGACTTTCAGGATCGTAGCTTCAGCAGTATTATTCGATTCCAGAATAGCTCCAGTCTGTTCTCTCTTTGTCTGTAACTGTAGTCGAAGCTCTGCTAGACGTTTGTCCTCTTTTTCTTCTCGCGCTTCGTTCATATCACGTTGATCCACTACAAATAAGGAAGCCACTTAGTATAATTAATTCATAAAAAAAATATTAATTTTAAATTAAAAAATAATTATTATACAAAGTATTAGTTGTTATAATTTATAATTATAATAAATTAGCTGTGTCAGCGACTTCGTCCGCATAGAATAATTCTTTTGAGCATCTGAATTTGTTTTTGCAAACTTGCTCTTAATTTTTTTTATTTAAGCTGTTACCCACGAAGTCGGCCGCATCCCGTCGTTCTTGCAAGTTAACTTTAAAAGATAGACCGTGTCCCGGACATTTTTTAAACAATTTAAAGAGTTCGAACCAGTAATTACTGAGATTAACACGTTCTTCAGCTTTATACACTATAATAGATAAACATATTTTTTCGTATTATTACTCACAAATTCGTTGTCTTAGCATTTCCAACTCCTTCCTTATAAAGATGGACTCTTGCAGAACTTCACAAAGCAACACAAATATGGAGAAGTTTTGAATTTCTGTTGCCCGAAAATGATTTATCACGGTAGATACCCTCTCTGAACCTGCATATTGCTGGAAAAACCGTAAAGTTTAAAAAAGTTCAGTCTGTGGATTTCCGAATACCTAAAGCCAAAATAAGAGCGCATCTTGTTTAGATTCGTTGGGTCTGTTAATTGAGTGATAGGAACATCGATAATCCGTGCGAAATTCCGTCCACGGATGAAAAGCCGTGAAGTATAATTACGTTTCGGTTTCAGGCTGTGGATCCGATGTCCGAATATCCAAAGCCAAATTAGGTCGAAATAAGTGATGCCATCAAGTCAACCACAGGTCCTCCTCTATCATAAAAAAAACTTCTCAATAACGACGGCCGACGTAGAGCCGTAACAATTTTTTGATTACATACTTACAAAAATCTCCTCTAAAAGGGCATCGTGCCTGGAAATCTCCTGCTCGCATCTCTGAACCTCTTCCTGCCGTTTAATCTCTTCTATTTCATCGGCTTCACAGATCCTACGGGATCCTTTCACTCGGAGAAATTCTTCCAATTTCGCTAGATGGTTTAATTCGCCTTCATATGATTGCATCTCCTATACGAGAAGACAGCATAATTATAAAGATAACGTTATATATACCACATACTGTCTGTAGTTTACGCGAGTAAGTAGCACAGAATTAAATAAAACATTTTAACGGTTCAAAATGCGAAATAATTAGTGGAACTTATTTAAAAATTATTTTAACTCCAGCCTGATGTTTCGGATGCTTTGCAGCAGCCGTGGTCACGGGGAACTAAAGATAGAGAGATCAAAAAACTACTACGCTAGCGCCATCTGTTCCGTCGTAGTTGGTATTTGTGCCGTAGTTAAAATAATTTTTAGTAAGTTTAACTAATATTTTTTGCTTTTAAAAACGTGTTTTATATAAATATATACCAATTTACTTTGTATTTTTATGGTACAAAGTATATACTAATATGCTTTTTTTACTATCAACTATGACAGAAAACCATTTAAAACAAACCGATATATCACGGTTAAGCTGAAACAGTCCCTTCCATTTCAGGGCCTCCACTTTTCTACAGCACTCATCTCTGTCTCCAAATGCGTTCGTTGCTATCTCTAGAATATCCATAAGATATTCTTTACCTTTAACCAGCTTACCAATTGTTCGATTCCATTGAATATTGAAATCGTTTCTGCAATACAGACATATTATTAGACTTTCTCTCCTAATAAAATAGATCTCATGTAAGTTTGATATAATTTAGATAAGCTATGCCAATTGGATTAAACATACTCGTGCTATAACACTGACGTCAGAGAGCTAATACTTTATTTTTACTCCGACTATGACATCCCAGTTTACCGACTGTAAACTATTAAGTTGTTCTCTAATACATATTTATTGAATAAGGCCGCTAGAGGCAGAGTAGCCTAACTGCAACAATAATGCAATTTTTTTTTGTTATTAGGCTACTCTGTCTCTAGCAGCCTCAAATATACTAATAATAATTGTAACTGTAATTTGTATAGATTGTTTTTAATGTAAATTCCAAAGCACACTGCACTTAGTTAACAACCAGTTGGTTGTACTTAACTGCAGTGTGCTTTGAAATACCTAATACTGGCATATGATAAATAAAATCTTCTAAATTGTAGACTCGTACCTTTCGACCAGGAGCCTATCAATTTCCTCGCGAACTTTTTTATTATCTGTGTTTACGAGACAGAATCGTTTTGTAGCTAAATCTAGTCTGTTTTCCATTCGACGCAGACGATTGCTCGCATTTTCAATCATTGCTAGTTCCTACAATGGTAACATTTTTATTAAAATCAAATCGGTTTATATTGAAAAAAAAATGTAACCGCGCTCTACACGTCATCGTCGATTTTTTTTAACCTAATGATAGGTACAGGTACCTCTAGCGCGTTGTAATATCAACCTTAACACTTATATGTCTAATTGCAACTAAAAAGAGAGCCTTAAACAAAAATGCTTTTAACGATAATATTATAAATAATTCCTGCCACGAACATCAGCCTCGGTCGGTACTTTTTTCAAAAGGTCCACAAGCTGCTTTTGAGCCAAGTAATTAAGGCAGTCTAATTCAGCTTGCTGTGCTCTTTCATCCCTCAATATTCCTTCTAGATGTTCATACTCCACTATGGACTTCTTGGTACCGCTTTTTATTAAGTTGTCCCGTAGGGCGTGTTGGCCTTTCTTCGCTAGCTATTTATAAGAAACAATTCAAATTAAAAGCTATATTGTTATACCTGATAATATTTTTAACTCTGTATAAACATGGAAAAATGATATCTATGTATCTATTCCTATATTATGCTTTGTCAAGTCTGAGGTTTTGTTTTTCGTTATTAATAGACGATTTTTTATTAATCAAAAATTATAAAATCTGGATGAACATACTATATGGAACTATATAACAATGGTGAAAATGTAATATGACATTTTACGTTAATGCAAAGAAGGGTTTCTTTAAGCTCATTTGCCAGGATTCCCAACTGTTTTTCCTGTGGTGCCAACTGAGGTATACCACCAGCTCGTTTCTCCACGCTGCACATTGGCGCCAGCTTTTGGAACTGAATAATAACAAACATACTAGAGAGTAAGTCGGATACATTGTTATGTTTTACAGCAAATACTCAGCGTACTGAATTTAAATTTTATGAATAATTGTCTCAAAATAATACAAAACTTTCCCCGCTCCAGTTTTTTAAAAGCAACTTATCATAAAGAATATAGTAAACTTACTGTTCGTTGGACATTGCTGAGTTCTGCCTCAGGATCAACAGTTTTTTGCTCAACTTGAGTAGGCATTTTTAATTGTCGTTATTTTTCAATTTTTAATCACAAGTAAAATATTTGACGTAGCAAAAGTGACTTTGAGAATTACGCTTGTTATTCGTCTTTTTTTATGTCAAGATTGGAAGTAAAGGAGGCCGAGTTCTTTTCTGAATAGTGTAAAAATAAAAATATTTCAGTATAAATAAACATATAACCCAAAAGTTCGCGCTACATTTCGACGGAGGTAACTAAGTACCTTATTAGTTTTAAGGTATATTTATATATATAGATTAAAATAATGGTTATTATTTATTGACTAAAGGCAACTACTTCAATGGACAAAACACTTCTTCAAAATAACTTGTCTATAACGAATGGTAAGATTAAAATGTAAAAATAAAAAAAAACAACAGATCTCAATTGCAATCTTTATTGTTATTTCACAGATAAATAAAACTAGTCACAGTAGATCTATTAAGTACTTGTTAAATATTAAGTACGATATTACTATTAACTATAATTTTAAGATTTTTCAGCTAAAATCTCATTATATCTAATGCTTGGTGGCAAAGAGATATTTACACACTAAATCGTCATCGGACTAAAAGCTTAGTTTTGAAATCTGTACTATAGGTACTTAGGTATATTACAAATCTTTCTTTATCTTGAAACGAAAACTTAAATGTTTTGATTATTCAAAAGCATAGTAATGTTAACTAAACACATTATATAAAAAAGGAATGATTTCATATTAGTATGGTAAATAATAAGCTTCAGAAATGTATGTGTACAAGATATAGCAAAATAAACCTTAAAATAAACACAATTTGTGCTTAAAATATAAAAATGTATAGAATATAATAATAAATTATCATTATTGCATCGGACAGTAGACCTGTTTAAGTTCAGTCTTAAAATAATTATAATAAGTTCGAAATTATTACTTAAAATATTAAAATGTCGTTATTTGGAATGTATTTAAAGTAAGAAACTTAAGAACCAAAGATAAAACCTTAAAGATTAAAGTGGATGAGCAAGGAAAAATATAAAATCTGCGCGCGCATTAGAATTATATAGAGCCGTGTTTTGTTTAATCTTACTATATTTAACCTTATAGTAAGATTTCAATAAATTTATTTATCATTTTAAGACACCTGCTACCACTAAGGCTTAAATGCAGTTAAACATGAGTATTTTCTACAACGCATGTTGTAAAAATAATGTATATCTGCCATGTACATTCCGATAAAATTAATTAATTAATAACTCTTTTTATGTTTTACCTAACGTCAAAATACCTAGATTGACATTTTCTTGTTGTTTAAATCACCTAAATAGTTGTATTAAGAATAAATTTAAGGCCAAGTGAGGTTATCAAATTAAGGCACAAAACTCGATTTATACATTTCATAAATATTTTAATAATTCTGTCTAAGGCACGTTGTATGTAATCCAAGCTCAGCAGATTCCATAAGTGTTCACAGACTGGACAAAAATCGACAGATTAAAACGCTATGAACCTTCGTATTATATTTTAGGGATATTTAACCTAACGACGTGAAGTTAAAAATGCTTTTCACTATATTTAATTGCGTTTTAATCAGTTGAAACTTGAGACCTAAGGTCCATAGTATCGTTGCAGGTATATAATCTTGCCTCCCGACGCTGCTTGTTTCCTGTACATTACTTATGTTAATAATTATAATCCTTCGCTAAAAACATGATTGTAGCAGATCGTAACTATAAAATATAATATGGCTAATAAAAACATTAAAAGTTTTAATGCCTTGCAGTATTCTTATTTGATACTTAGTAATCAAAATGGTAAGTGCAAAAATAAGTGAAAACAAAAATTTAAATAGATTCTTAAGGGAAGAAATTAATTGTCCTGATTTGAGAGTTAAAATATAGAAGTATCAAATAAGATCAACCCACTGTATCGAAAACTAATGACATTGAGTAATAATCAAACGAATCTCTTATAACGATTTCAGCTCAATAATTATTGTTAATTAATGTCATTGTTTCTCAGTGAAAGTGGGGTCTAAGGCGTTCGTAATTTATGTTTAAACTAAAGTGCTGATTTGTTACTATTATATTTATGCTTTATTTACATGTAATGGACGGGTTAGTGATGCGATGAGTACCAAATAGTAAAATGAAATTGTGTCCATATTTCGTTCGTTTTCATGCGTTCGTTTTTCGCGTTTTTATACCGTAAATCTGTTGTACCATACTTCATGGAGTAATTTTAAATAAGTAAATGTGGATGCTCATCAAATATTTTATTTATTAATAATTATATTTACATCAAATCTTAGGTTGTATACCCTCACTAACAACTTTTTGTTAGTGGAGATTATGTTTGTTAGGAAAAATAGGCAAAAAGTAGTTTATAGATAAGTTAAGGCAATATGTGTAAAAGTGGTTTGCTGTCGTGAATTAGAATGTGTGGAAGAACAACGTCTGGAAATAAAAACGAATTTGCATTGACACATCATCTAAAATTACGAAGTGCGATCATATATTAAGTACACAATTAAAATTCAAATTAAAAGTAACAATAATCATCCTAATTAAAACACTAGCTATCACTGCAAATGTGTAAACATCGCACGGTTTGAACGTTAAAATCGCGAAGTAAAACAGGAACACAGCAACTGCGCATGCGTTGTTCAACAAAATGGCCGTCGCGAGAATGACAGCTGGCAAATCGTTATCGAATAAAATGTACGTGCTCAGCACGGCTGCGAGTGTGTGACTGTCATTAGCGTAGATGTAATGAATGGTGTTGTAAGTGACCAAGAGTGGGGTACAGCAGATCACCGGTGAAAAAATCCAAGGATTCGCGAAGTACGCGTCGGGGCGACGGGTTGAGGGATCTTGCGTCGCTTCTCGGACGTCAGCTTGTGTTTCATCTGTTCATCTATCAGCTCTTGCATATCCATCTGGAATATTTTAATTTCGATTAAGAACTAATTAGTAGAATTAACTTGATTAACTGATATATTTGTTAAGCATCTTATAAAAGTGTATTATTATTGATAATTATTTTTTTAAACTTTTATTGTACAGACAAAATACTAACCTGCCACTGTTCCAATTGTTGTCCCAGGTCAATCTTTTGTCTTACAGCTTCATAGAGTTGACTGTTGGCCTGCATCAACTCGACTCGAGTCTTTGCAAGGGACACCTGCAAATTATGTTTAATTACTTAATTAAGTAAAGTGACCTTGACGTCTCACTATTGTTTTAAGCAATGTTTAAACTAATTTTACATAAAATTTAAAATATATGCGGAGTGTTTTGATAAGCAATGCAGATAAATGCTCATAAAGAGTCCATTAATAAATTAGAGTATTCGAAAGGTAAACCCGAAAAACAAAATCTTTCATCCTACGCACCTCAGTCGCCTTCTTTCTCTCTATAGCTTCGTCTCTCTCTTGTCTAGCACGTGATACCGCTTCGTCGTTTTGCAGACTACTGTAGTTGGCGTCGTTAAGTAATTTATCACGTTCTTCTGCCGCAGCGCGCAGTTCCACCTCTGCTACAGAAAGCTGAAATCAAGATGACAAAGTATTTAAATAGTTGCTACGTTTTTGCTGGGATTCTATGAAACAAAGCGTATATGTTGCGTCAAGCTTAGCTTAATCTTTTGATTATAACCACAAAGAGATTCGTGCAGTTTTCGGAGATTGGCACATTTTAAGGGTACAAAGAGAGATTATTTTTTTATTTTACTCCTGTCACCGACGTTTTTATAATTTTTTAAATATTTATACATACAACAATTAGTGTTGCTCTAAAATAATTAAATATGGCGCCTGGTATATATCTTTACCGTCATTTTAAAAAAAATTTTTATCATACCTACTAATGTGTTAAGTGACTGAAATTGTACCTCAGTTATTTTGAAAGTAGAATCTATATTTACCCTGTATAAAGGTAGTAGTTTTTTTTAATAAAAACGTAAATAGCTGCTATTAAAGCGGCCTTGGCAAAGTATTGGAGGAACTGCAAGGTCGTATACTTTCACAAATCAGCCGTTAATGACTAAATACCAGGATCTACGGTTGAAACGAGAAACGAGATAATAATTATCCCCTTCTAACCTTAAGTCCATAATAAAGATTTATTGTGAAACTATTTGTGTGTAAAAATCACTATTTTTTTACTTCTGTTGTATTATCTTGCATTTCGGATCAAATAAAAAGCGTCTTCTAACATTTGTAAAATTCTATCTAAATAAATAACCAATTTAAAAGTTAAGTACACTACACTTCTATGTGAATAAAACATTTTTAACGGTTTAAAACGCAAGAATGTTTTAGTTAAACTTATTTACAAATTATTTTAACCACGGCCGGACGTTTCTTTCCAGAAATGTTAGGGAGGCCCCGCTCTCTGATATTAAAATAAGTTTAAACGTGAAATATATTAGACATTTCACGTTTTACGTTTTAAAATTTTAAATTTATTTCCGTCTGAACAGTATCTTTTTTCCGATCCAAAATATTATACCATATTGATATTTTTAATATTCATAAGTTCCATTCTATCTATACTAATATATAAAGCTAAGAGATTTTTGTTTGAACGCCCTCATCTCAGGAACTAGATTCGAATTGAAATTTATTTTTTTAATTAGAGCATTTAACAGGAAGGCTATAAAACAGCGGGAAATGTGATCAACGAGGGAAATTTTTCACCTCTGTGGTTTCTGATGGGTGTTGCGAAAACTGGAAGACACCCAAAAATATTGGGATGATGTCCCTTTAAATAATCTGAAAAAATGTCCGCGACATATATGTCTATCTTTTAAGATTAACTTGCAAGAACGACGGGACCTAAACGACGGGTCGCGAGAGACAGGACGCGACCGATGTCATTAATATATAGAAGCTTTGTAAAAACAAATTTGGATGCCCACGCGGACGAAGTCGCTGACACAGCTAGTCTTAGATAATACTATAATATTGTTCATCTCAATTGAAATTAAAAGTTACATCGTTACTTTGAATCTTAGTCATCCGTTTGGACTAGCCAAATAAGATGTCCTTCAAATTAACCTTTCAAGAGCTTATCTTAAAAGTGGACTAGAAGTTTTATCCTTTAAAGAAATATGTGGGCGATTGTGTGGGACTTTTATTATAGTGGACGTCCATATTTAAGATGAGGTTAAAAAAGGACTGACTACCTTTTAAGACATTTTTAAGCAGATTATTTTAAGGTCACACAACATTAATAACGTTTCTATATATTCATGTCTCCTGCAGGTCCTGTTTCAGAGGAAAAAGGTTGTAGAGCTAATACTCACCCTTTTCCCAGTTAAGGTTGTGGGCTTTAACAACCGTCATTAAATTAGTGAACAAACATGACCACTGCCTAGAAGAAGCTATTCTTTCTATTTTAATACAGAATGTTGACTTAATTATGTTACTAAAATTGATATAGACGAGACTCTTACGACTAACAGCGTACCGTAGGGCTGCTTTACCAATTGTTTGTTTAATGTATAACATTAAAATATTTAAATAAAACACTTTAACGTTTTAAAACGCGATGTATTAGTTAAACTTATTTGAAAGTGATTTTTAACTTCGGCTCGACGTTTCGGATGCTTTGCAGCGGCCGTGGTCATGGGGAGACAAATCATGCGTTGAACGTCGCGTTTTAAACAGCTAAAGTGTTTGATTTAAATGTGTACTCCGCGTAAACTAAAGACAGTATTTCATTAAAATATGTTTAGTATTAAAGAATATTTGATAGCTCTAGTAAGTGTTTACATTTCCAGGCGACACCCAATATGGTGATACTAACAAGATTTTTTTAAAGCTTTTCAATTACTTTACTTAGTTTTTTTACTAAAAAATGCTTTTTTAGTTATTGCTAGACATAATAGCATACGTACACTTGAATATTTAAAACAAAAGTACAATAATAATAGGTTGCCCACAATAGGAACATATCGTGTTTTAATCCGTTATATTGTTTACTTTTAATCTTGTTCTATCTAGAGTACACCCAGTTATTCGTGAAATCGTTGCGATCAATCAATTTATTTCTATAAATCGAACTGCAAAGCGTGTTATTACTGTCGCGGTTACCTAAAACAGGGCCGAAAATATATGGTATGCCTTTGCCAAGTTAACAATTAAGAACCGAACAAAATGTGTCGTACAACAAAAAAATGTTATGTTATTATGTAGGGCAATCCTACAATTACATTTTTATATTTAAAAAATCCGAACTTAGGCCAGATTAACATTTATATTAAGAACAATGAGAAAATATAGTTCGTGTCAAAATACAGATAAAAAAAGCGGATGATATATGCCAACCTAATCGTATCTCTCTCACAGACGATATCAGTATTGGATAAAAAGCAAAAGAGTGGCGAAAGGTATATAAAATACTTTAGTAAGTACCTAAAAAGTATTTCATTATTATCTAATTCGATATCAATATGGAGGACACATAAATGTTAAAAACGCTTTTCACCATAAAATCATATTGACGTTTAAAATGCCATTTCCTCTATTTAGGGAATGGACAGAGTTACTTCTATATCTCTTTCACTGATCAATTTTAACTAGCAAGAAGTTTATCAAAAACATATAATAACAATATTCAGTTACAATTCGGTTACGTACCATTTACTGCGACTCACAATATTCGGCCGAATACCGAATACTTAAGTAGGTAATGTATTTTGTTATAGGAATCGAAAATTGATAAAATGAAAAATAAATCGATTAATTAAATATACATAAATTGTGTAAGGCTTTTACGGCCATCGTTCAGCATATCATTGTGTTTCGGGCCGTTCGACCGATGTGAGCGAGAAGAGGTTCTTGACATTTCGCCATCACGTGTGGACGACATCATCAGGAGATGTTAACTCCTCAATTGCTCGAAGAATTAATTCTTCGAGCCTCGTTCACATCGGCCGAACAGCCCGAAAGACAATGATATGCTAAATATGCATATCTTATAATATATATTGAACTGAACTGATTTAATATTCTCAAGTTGGCACATAATATTTTTAAATAATTAATCACTTTGAAAACGTCTATCTAGGCAATTTCAAAAACCTCATATTTCCACTTTTCTCACACAAAATCAGACCGAATAGTTTAGCCGAATATTCGGCTATTCGGTTAAGAGGCTCACCGAATATTTGATATTCGGTTGTATAAGTCAAATGAATTTTAGTATTTAATTTAATTTATAGTTATCCTGTAATATAGAACTTACATGTTATTATTATACTTGTGTATTTTGTAGAACCTAAAACATTATTCTGCCATGTCCAACCAACGCCATTCAAGTGCCGGTCTGTGTCGAATGGCTGACAGTTATTTTTTTCGTTCGATGCCATTGACCATCATATCCGTATGTGGTGAATTATGAGGAAGTTATAAACTGTGAGAAACTAGGTCAATTGGAACTGATAGACTATTTTGTCACAAATATTAGTCGCTCAATAATTTTCTCTCGAAGGATTCACAATTTGACACACAAACCGGGCCCAACCAATGTGTTCCTCGTCAACTTATAAATTGTCAAAAACATGTTGGAATTCGTCTGCAAATATGAGTATGAAAATTGGGTAGAAATATCGAAATTCCATCCGAATCACGAAGCACCGTCCACAGATAAAAAAGCCGTGAAGTTAAATTTCAGTTTAAGTTCTGTGGATTTCTAAATGTCCATATAATGGGTCGACTTATTTAGATGTTATATTGCACCTTTCATCAAGTGAAAACGATGCCTGTCTGTCTCCTCTGTTATAAAAAAGACAATCTAGTATGATTTACCGTTAGTAAAATATTCTTTTAAATCAACTACAATTACCATACAAAAGCAATACAATAACTTAGGTGTATAGTAAATAGGCAGGCATTTTTTAAAATCCTTAACATTTTACCCGACCAGAAAAAATATTTCTTCTTTTTATTCTTTATAAACACTTTCTGGTGGGGATAAGGGAATAATTTAAATAATAATTATGGACAAAAAATGTTAACATTTCATGGAGCACAGTTGTTTAACAATCTCCCATCGCACCTCGAACGTTTGCCGCCAGTGGCGTTCAAGAAACAACTTTTCATCCATGTGTTTACAAACACAGCGTAATGCGTAATCCTTAGTCATAATAATTTCTTGAGCGTTGCACGCGGGTAGAATTGTAAAATTAATGTTGATTTGTATAGTATTCTCAAGTAAGTGATCTTGTATCTTTTTTGAGAAATAAATGTCTTTAAACCTTAAATAAATTCCAAAATGTAACGTCATAGTTATCTCTTGTCGGAAATATCAATCTTAATGAGATAAGATCAAAACAGAATTTACCGTATTTTGGAAAATCATACCTATTTTTCATAAGCATTTATTTTTGCAAAGAAATTATAATATTAAAAATAAAATGAAAATTAGTTTATATCAAAACTAACTAATCAGTAGATTATGTAATTGGTACAGGAAACCTATTTTTTTCCCAGTAAAAAACGTTTGCAAATACGTATTTAAATGTAAATCAATTTTGTCTCATACTTGTGTGTAAATCAACAAGTAGGTCACAAAAAATTAAAAACGCAATAATTATTTATGATAATTTTAACGTCCACCACTTACAAAGGCTTAAAACTCACGACAAACAACATTAAACGTAATGGAGAAACATTAGTTAAGTAATTATTAATTTAAAAAACGCGAAAGTTACTTTGCAGTGTTTCGAAATTAAGTCAAGATTTGAAAGATGTAAAGTTAACCTGAGGTTATGTGAATTGTTGCTTACTGTATGTGTCATAGTAAGTAAACTCAATAAGTATAATACTTGTCAATTGGAATTTGTTCCAGACTTTCTAAAGATGGATACAATTTAATACGAGAATGATCAAAACTAACCTTAGATGACAGATCAGCGATGATCTCATTTTTCTCGTCGATCTGCCTTTCTCTCTCCATGGCACGGCGCGCATGCGCAGCTATCGAGTCGCGCACCCTCGAACCTTCTAGAGTGGCATAGGCAGCGACGGCATCTGCGCAGGCGGCGGCCAGTGCACCGCGGCGCAGCGTCTCACCTTCGTCTCCATCGAGAGAAGATATGGATAGGTCAGAATGGAGCCCTGAAAATGATGTGAAATCGGTTGATTGATTTGCAGTTGATAAAACTTTTCTCTGCTTTACCTAAAATATTTTTTCAGAGTCCAAACTGTGTTGCATTTTAGTCGTTAAGGACTGCAAGGTAATGGCTACCAATACGGGGCGAAGACGATTTTTTCTTCAGAACTATCGTCGGCCAAGCGTTGATATTATGGTTTATTCTTTTTTTTCACTTGTCTTGCATTTTTACCATCTAGTATCGAACACTACAACCTTCGTATTAAGAAGTTAGAATAAGTGCTCTAAAGATTTATAAATCGAGGCAAAATCAAAAAGCAACAATACTATGACGTCATGTGTTAAAAATAAGTGTTTAACACATCTTCTGTCGTGACAGTCGTGATGCAAAAGTGAGTCATCTCTTCAACGATTCCGCTTTGCGCAATTTATGACTGTATGTTAAGGTTTACTAAATTAAAATTGCAAGATTGAGAGTTTCAACAGGCACACATGAAGTAGCATTGAAAGATATCTCATATATGTACTTGATGATGCTTCGGATATAACTTAACTTCTATATTTATCCTGTCTGTGTGTTTACGCCAGTAGTAAACATTTAAATAAAATACTTTAACGGCTTAAAACGCGATATGTATTAGTTAAACTTTTTGAATATATTCTCTTCGACCATCTCCCTCTTAAGTCTGTCTCCCCGTGACCGCGGCTGCCGCAAAGCATCCGAAACGTCTGGCCGTAGTTAAAATAATGTCATTGGCGTTAAAATAATGTTCAAATATAGTTATGTGTTTATACATAAACGCTCTCTTTTAACCATGGTTATAGTGATTTAAAAATACTTATTATTATATCCTCAAATAACACTAAACCCATATTTTTTTCATTTAATCTCACATAAGGATTGTGAAAGTTCCAAAATTTAGAATATGATCATCAGCATCGTAAAAACATTCTAAAAACAAATAAATATAGACAGACCAATAATAAATACATTTTTTTTTTAGCCAAAGCCGTTGTATAACTCATGTGTTCCTAATAGCAAGTATATGGTTCCTATGGCAAATGGATGGCAAGCCTTCGACCCCAACGAACCATTACGCCAAGGAGAGTCGCAAAGCAAAAACGTGGAAGTAAAATTAATTAAGACGGCCATTAAACGGCGGAACGGGGTCAGTTTCTCGTGCACACCAATATGAAGGCTGTTAGTCTGGGAAATACGTATTTATATTAAACTTAGCATATTCGAACTATGCTATTTGTATGAAAGGATTAAGAAGAAAGTTATTTCATGGTTGTCGGGCTCGTTGTTGTAATTATAGCAATGTATGGCTAATTAACGGGTCGTAGCTTCTAGCCCCACCGGATTTAACATTTTTCTAAAAAAGTTAAAAATTTTCTGAAACATTTAAAATTTTGTTTGGAAATCTGGATATTAAATGAATGGCAGTAAAATCCAAATTCCGTCCGAGTCACGAACTAACGTCCACAGATAAAAAAGCGGTCAAATTTAATAGAGTTTCGATTTTAGTCTGTGGAATGTCTAGTGTATACAACCAAAACATCGACACCGTAGCGAAACATCATAGCTTTTCTAACTAAAAGAAAGGAGGGAATTCGATATTCCTACCACCCATTTTAATGATTTTCCAGACCGGGTCCAGAAAAGTTCCAAAAAACCGGAGAATAACTATACATGGGTAGAAATAGATTTCTAAAGTGTTAGAATCAACTGATCAACACATAAAATGATTGATTAGCCGTACATCGCTTACATTGAACCAATTTGTACCAGACTATAGTGCTTTAACAGAAAGTCAAAATCACGAAGTCACGAAGAATTTTGGCGCAAAACATTAACCTTATTTTAGGTTAAATCAATTTATTATTCGTTGCTAAGCAACCGAATGAAAACAATGGATATTACTTAGAATAACTTTACTTTGAATAGAAAATTATGTAATATGGCACGTATATTAAGAATCGTTGATGGGAACCATTTACATAATTGTCTTGCCAGCTGCTATAATATCTACACTAATATTATAAAGCTGTAGAGTTTGTTTGAACGCGCTAATCTCAGAAACTACTGGTTAGAATTGAAAAATTATTTTGGTGTTGTATAATTAAGGCTTTATAACATCACGCTGCGAATAATCAGAGAAAACGAGCATAATTTATTTTTCTCGTTTTTTCTTGTTTCCCACTCTTTAAACGATAAACTAACGCTCCAGCTTTATAATATTAGTATAGATATGTTAAACCTTCCGCTTACCTTCCACTTTTTATTACGAAACGACAATGACATTCGATTTTTTTTAACTTGCCTAACGACATATAGAATTCAGTCGCTATAATACAATAGAGAACAGTATATGTAGCCTGTAGAATGTCCGTCGGACCGTTGACCGCAAAGTTCAAACAATAAAAAAGGTTAGTGAACAAACAGAATTGACTTTTTGTCACGAATATTTATAATAAGACTTTAATTTGAGATACTATCGATCATAACATAGCATGAGCTTTCCTATTAATTTTCTTTGTAAGAATTTATAGTAAAATAACTAAATAAAAAATCTAAGCCCCAGTAAAACTCTTCGTATGCGTTAAACCTAACACTAGTATAATATGAGTCCTGTGCTCTGCACTATAGTACACTACATATAATAAATAAAGCATTTCAAATCGTTAACCGTACATTTATTTTTTTATAGATGTATTCTAATCGGCCAGTTATTCTGGCCGATTTCGAAGGTAGGTTTTTTTGTTGTAGGCAATGCTGTTAGTTTCTGGAACCTAGTCTCATTTAGGAAATGGAAATATATCATCATATCATCTTCAACAATTCTGCATCTGTAAATATCAGCGCAGATAAATTAATTTTAGTAACCTTTGTCTTAGTCTTAGCATCATCGTACGTAATAAAAATATTTTTCATGTACTGTACATATCACGATAATTATTTTCGAAACAACCTGTATGTGACAACAATGACTTAATGCACTCTAGGACGGATATGGAAAGTGTCAATAATTCTATAGTGAAAGTTTAATATCCTCTCTTATAATAAAGATCATTGTATTATGCAAAGCAGAGACGAAATTGTTGTCTATGGTGTAAGTAATCGATATTATTTATTCTGGCCACAGATATGTATTAAAAAAGTTAATTTAATGATGTTGTCAAATTTTATTTATGTATATTTATGAAACTGGAAAATTGGAAATCCCGTTTTCCGCTTGAACAGATGCTTTCTCTATCTGTTTCAATATTCGTATTTATTTGCAAATAGTTATTTAATTAGACTTCTGGCTCACCTCCTGATTCTTGACAGAAATCTGATGACTTAACAACACAATTACTACTAAACACATTACTATACTACGACTAGTCTACTGACACACTAACTGTGTCAGCGACTTCGTCTAAAGCTCTTTTACCTACGAAGTCGTCCGCGTCTCATCGTTCTTGCGAGTTAATCTTTAAAGTATAGTGTAGTAGTATCATAATGTGTCCAGACTTTTAGATTATTTAAAGAAAAATAATTATTTCTTGAGTAACATGAACCGTTTTCAAAGGTTCAACGAGAGATTCAAGAACGGAAGATAAACTATTTTCCCACATTTCCCTCTGTTATGTACAGATGTTGCTAGATTACATTTTTTTCGAACTCTCTTTATATAAAATGAAACAGGGTATGCGTTTTACAAAATTGCTAAATACTAACGGGAAAATTTTAAACTGTTCAGGGAAGCGACGGTCGTTCACCAGCAGTTTAATAACACTGTTCTTTATAGAGTTATGTATTATAATGTAAGTAAATGAGAAAATTGCAATCCGATAGACCTAGCATTAGCGAGTTTCGAAACGGGCCGATTGCGCATATCTCTGCTTAGCCATACTGCGATGTATTATGCAAATAGTGACAGCTTATAACGTGTCAATAATTAAGGTCATATTTGCAATTGATTTTAATATCGTAACATGTATCGAAAAAATTGTAACGTTAGAAGACATAGGTCATACATTGGTTTTAGTTTTAAAAACTTTAAGATTTTTTAACAAGTTATTCCGCATGATGCTACTATAGAAGTTACAATTTTTTTAATAGATTTAAGTAATTAATACGCAAGTGTATAGGTATTAAAATTAGATTCCGCGACAGGTGCATTTATCAATAGAAAAAAATCTACTCAAAATTCGAATGCTATGAATGCCGGTTCAAGTCTTACACGCGCAAGACGTAGATTTTTCAATTAAAATCGATTTTTATTTATATGATTTTAGTTTGTTAAAAATTTCCAATACCAACCACACTTTTATTCTTTTAAAAGCTGTAGAACTTTACTACGATAAGATAGAGAGTTCCGAATGTCAGTAAAATCTGCTACGCTAGCGCCTTTTGTATACCGTTAATTTGAATTTAAATTCTAGTTATCAAATACTGTCTATACTTTACGCGAGTAGTACACATTTAAATAAAAGACTTTAACGGTTTAAAACTCTTCTAGTTATTATGACTTACAGTCAAGTGTATTAACTACTATATCAAATTAGATTAACATTTTCATATATTGCGTGAATCTGTAAAAACGTCTCATCAATTTCTCACACACAAAACACCTGTGCAGTGCCATAACAGTTAGATCTACACAAAAACCAGACAGATGTACATTGTTATGTAGAAGCGAGCCAGTTTTTACAGAACTCCGTAACTTGCAGATGACGAAACCAGATCATTTATAAACTGGTCAAGCGTCAAGTTCGCATTAAGGCAAAAACGTTGCAACTCGCGGTCGCGGTAGTTCTCCCATCAATCTTAAGTCAGTTAATGCTCGCTCTTATAGTTGTTAATGGAAACTGAATTAAACATTGAACGGTTTTAAACGCAAAAGATTTATTCATTTAACGATTTTAAAATGTCATAAAATTAAATTAAAGTAACTGCACTCTGACCGCCCCAGTAGATCAGTGGCCCTGGGTTGGAATCCCGGGGAAAAAAGTAAATAGTTCTTACTTGGTCGTAAATAAAATTGTTCAATAAAAATAACGCAAAAATGTATTTGACCTATGCGCCAAAGTGTGAAACGTGATTTTAGACTGCATTAGTTTAAATGACAATGTATAAGCAAGTCTGTATATCCTATAATGACATTGAAACTCAAGTTTCACGTTACGCGTCTTCCTAGGTTCGAATACCTGATATTCCCCATCTTGACAACTTCGTCTGCGTAAATTATTGATAAGCCTAAGCCGCTAGCACAGCTAGACTTCTATAAAACAAGGAAAGCTTTTAATACAGTCTCGAATGCCAGCGCAGTCTACATACAAAGCGTTAAGCGCGTGTTTTCCAGTTTCCTGGGTTCGAATCCTTGAACGGATCCTACAATCCGATTTTGATCTCCTAAAGATCAAGCCTAATAAAATCTCCGCATTACTTATACCATCTTATACGAAACATCGTAATGACATCACTATAATGCGGATGGTACAAACCGGTACGGCATTGCCACAATTCATAGCTCACGAGGAAGAAACGCTACATTCATAATGCATAACAAAATCGATGCCTTATTTGGGGAAGAGGTAAAAAAAATTATCTTGTGTAGTTTTTTATGACAACACAAGCTAAGGGAACATTTGTTGGAAGGTAAAAGTAATTAAGATATTTTGTACATTTATTTTGGCTTTGAAAAGGCTAAAACCGAAACGCGATTACACTGTACGTCTGTGGACGGTGGTTCGTGACCTGGACGGACATTGGGTAAACCCACGACTCATTCTTGTCTAAATTTTCTAGGTAAGTGTCTTTTTGGGATAATAAATATGAAAAATAATTACGAACACGTTATTGTTGCGGTAATCGAACCTAAAACCTGTTGGTCATTATACAAATTACCAGCAAACCCTCGAGTTAGGCGTACCGAAGTGTTAATTTGAAAACAATACAATATATAACTCTAATTGTCTTAATAGTAGAATCCGTCAATAACGTCTAATCAATCTTGTCTAATTACCCCGTTTACATAATTCTAACAACTCCAAACCTCGTTAAGTACGCAAATCAAAGAAAAAATATTTAAATTTCCCGTGTTTAACGTGTACGTTGCAAACATCGCGTGTCTGTGTTGTGGGTCGAAGAAATACGTTCGTGATTCCTGCTATCAAGTAAAGCCCTTATTACAACACTGCGACACACTTTGCCGTTGATTGGGCTTGGTACTATCTATTAGCTACGATTGTTAAATATTGAAAATGCATAATTTTATACAAGGGGCAGACTTCTATTGGATTAATTCTTCGGGAACTAGCTGACCTGGCAAACGTTTTTTGCCACATGTTAAGTAAGTATTTCGACGAAATTTTATTCCCATAATTTTAAACGAAGCAATACTGACGTGGATAAATGTTTTTAGATTATATTAAGGAGAATGTTTCTTTTGGCAACTCAGTGACAAATTCCAGTTTTTTAGAATTTTACCTCTATTTTTTCAAATCTACGGTCGCAGCCTAACTCTTATAGCTTTCTTGATAAATGGATCGAATGACTACAATAGAAAGCTTCAGTTCGAATCTGTTATACCAGATACCTCGATCAAACACACGAAAATACTCTTCCTTTAGATTGAAAATACTTCCGGTTATTCTTTTATCGGAAATGTGAAATGGCGTTAAATAAAAACTGCGTTGGTGAATTAAGATGCGTTGCCTTAGCTTTCATAATATAAAAATGCCCAGAGAACGATCACGGGTTTATATTTTACCACTTTACTCTCTGCGGCGCGGACAGAATTTCGATATTCCTACCCGTAAGTTCCTATACAGCGCTACTGCTGGACCAACAAGCTCCTTTACTGCCCATTAGATACTATAGTGAATATTCTTTCTTCTATTAACGTTTAAGAAACTTACCTGAGTCGTCATCATGCCCAGTATTGAGCTGAAGAGCCAGTGACCGTAACTGCTTGAAAACTTGCACCGCTTCAGCACGAAGCCAACCGTCATCCTGGTCGTCTGGTTCTGTCTCCATCTCTGATTGGAGAGACCTGTCACCAGAGACATTAATTAAATCTTTTACTGGATGATCTAATCTTAACCTATCTTATTATTTTATCAATGGGGGACACCGATAGAAAACTGGGTGACCAGTCTGCAGTACCAGCTGATTATTTCACCCTTTTCCTCCTTGCAGACTACTTATATCAAACTAGCTGTGCTCGCGACTTCGTCCGCTTGGAAAATTCTAGAATTTTTAATTATTTAGGCTGTTTATTAATTTATGTAAGGGCCCATTTAAGGCAGCCAATCTATGTCGTAAGTGCTATGCCGCAACACTCTCACCTCATATCACCTTCTATCTCGGGCCTCCCCCCCCCCCCCCCCCCCCCTTCCCCAAAAACCAAAGAAGAAAATTTTATTGTTCTAGCTTCAAAAACCACGAATTTCATACAAACTTTCATCCCCGTTTTTTACGCCTATTAACCCTTTTTCGGCATTAAAAAGTAGCTCTGTAGTACTTGTACCAAATTTCATTTAAATCAGTTCAGTAGATTCGGAGTTAAAGCCGGACAGACAGACAGAGTTTTTTACTAGCTTATCTCCCTGCTCCCTCTATCATCCCTCGGTTCTTAATTATATATGAATTGCACAAGATCATTAGTAACTCTGACGTTACTGAGAGTGTTATAACTTTTACATCTGCACTTGAAGAATAACAGAAGCACGAACCTGGCGATTTTAGTGGTTTCAACAGACTCGGGTGCTCCGATTCTTTCTGCAAGCGTGTCATGTGAGCGTTGCAGACGCTCCAACTCTTTCAAGGTATTTTGGTAGAGGTGCTCCTGTTGATAGACAATATCATTTGTTTAACTATATAGGAAAAGAAGAATTTTATCAATTAGACTATAGAATTTTGTATCCTCACCTGTTCTTTGAGTTGCCTCTCGAGTGCAGTAATCCTATCGTTAGCTTCCTCAAGCTGTTGGGACAAATTGTCTTTGTCTCTTAAAGAGCTCGTAAGTCTTCTTTCAAGATCGAGCTTCTTGTCAGTCACTAGCGCCAGTTCCGATTTTAGTGATTCCAAGCTTGATACATGGTCCTAAAAATTATCACACATTGTACAGAAGTATATTTGGTACCTAAACGAATCAATTACTCAAAACTTAACAAGAATAAAAAAACGGATGTAAACTTGGTTAACCTTTAAACTTAGTATTTTATACTAAAGGTTCAACCGTAAATGTAGCGACGAGTAGAATTGTTTAACTTTATTATTAGTAATACGACCCAATATAGTTCACATTTTAATGTTGGATGTTTAAAATTAAGATTAGCAGTGAATACATGGAGTGAGTATGAGCTTTTTTGAGCTTACCTTCAAGCTAGTCATCCGTATAGAGCATTGATCTTTAAGTCCATCTAGCTGGGCTAGCAACTGAGCTTCTGTAGCAGATGACTCTTTTAGCTGCGCAGTAAGTCGTGAGTTCTGTGCTGTTAATTCAGCTATCAGATTGGCTTTCTCTTCATCGCGCTGTAACAAGTAGACAGTGTTAATACTTTGCATAACTAAAATAAAGTAAATTCTGCTTTTGAGAAGTTTGAAGATATTGTGGACGTGGAAGACTTCCATTTTGTAATTTTTGTTGTAAATCTTTAGTAATATATAAAGCTGAAGAGTTGCTTTGTTTGTTTGAACACGCTATGTCAGGAACTAATGGTTCAAATTGAAGAAATTTATTGGGGAAGGCTATAGGCTATAAAACATTGCGCTGTGACTAATACGAGTGAAGAAACAGCGGTAAATGCGGTAAAAACGGGGAAGATTATTATCTTTGTAGTTGAAAAAAAACTATTCAACGCAGACGAAGTCGCTGACTCAGCTACGTTAACAATTATTAAAATGTACTCTCATTATAATGACTAAGGCAGAACAATGTCTACCTCTCTTAAGATCATAATATTACTAGAATTTATGACGTATAACGCCATATATACTTTATTCACATTATATCTCGATAAATCAACGGGTAATTTACCAAGTCTTGATTAACTTTCGCTTTCTGCGTTTAGCCAATGTATAAAGTTACGAAAACAAGGATACCCTTATTTCGTAAGTGTTATATTATTGTGAGAATGCTACATACAATAATTTTAATAAGTGAAATACTGTCTGTAGTTTCCGTGAATAAGACACATTTAAATAAAATATTGTAACGATATAAAATGCGATATATATTAGTCACGGAGAAAACACGGTTACTGCAAAGCATCCGAAACGGCGGGTCGTACATAAAATAATTTCCAAATAAGTTTAACTAATATATTAACGGTTTAAACCGTTAAAGCTAATTAAAAGAAATAAAATATTTTTCGGTAGCTTTTCTCAGAGTGTTTCAACAAACTGCTTTTATTTTTACTTAGATAATTAAAAAAATAAAATTGTAAATATGTGTCTCTGTATTTATTTACGTTCTGTCTGAAATTTTAGTTTAATTTTATATGGTTACTTAAAAACCTATAAACGTAGTATCCTTATTCAATCTAACATTTGCTTAGGGTTTTCTAGTCAAAACTAACTTGTTTTACTACATAACGATGACCCTCTAGGCTACGATTCCGATGAGAGAAATTGAAAGCCTACGATGTCTAGGCTTTCAATTTTCCTCATCGGAAGTATATAACTTCCTAAAGATTTACCAACTTTGAAATTGAGTTCAAGTTGAGAATAGGTACTTAAAATTGGCATTGTTAATATTAAATTTAACCACACATTTTTGGTTTCAAGACCAACATAATACAGAATAGTATATATGGAAAAAACCACATAAGAATGTGGTATAAATCTGTGGTTTCAACTCAGTTAGGAATTGAATTACACCTCGTTGAAACTGAAAGCAGTAAAACAATATGTTTTCACTTAAGTACGATAATTTTTTTAATAAAAATAGTAATAAAATAATATTGTAAACTAATTCTACAATATAGAAATGTGCTAAAAGGTTCTAGAAACTTTTATTGACTGGAAATGAAATGTAATGAAAGGTGTACGACGAGCAATCAAGATCACTGAAACTTACAAAAACATCAAAATATTTTGGTATAATATAAATAAATCTTCTTACGTGTACAGTCTCGGCTGTACATATATTTTTATTTTCTATGTAACTGTTGTTACATTATCTTCATTTAAAATGTCGTGTGAATACACTTATTAAATTCCTTACATCCCAGCTTCATTATCAACACGTCAAAACTAATAGTATAATTAGCATTGAACGCCGTAACTACTGACAAGTTTCAAAAAACATCGCGTTCAAGACGCGAATGGACCATGCATAATCAGCTGTTAATCTGCAATTTGTATTTGAATGTACAAATAAGTAGCTTATCCAAACGACTTAAGGTATACATTTAAATAACTTAGATAGGCTCTTGTACGTCATCGGAAGGACAACTTGACAATAACGGGTGTTGAAACTTGAAAAAAACGCATTAAATAAATGTTAGGTCTTTGGTACTAGACTATTTTTATCTGGTGTAATTGTTCTAAATACTGTCTATAGTTTACGCGAGTAGTACACATTTAAATAAAACACTTTAACGGTTTAAAACGCGATATATTAATTAAACTTATCTGAAAATGATTTTTAACTTCGGCCCGACGTTAAAAATCATTCGTATTATGACCTTATTTATTGTTCATAGGTTCAGCAATACGTTAAGTGGGGGGGGAATTCCGGTTTCCCGAATTCTTTAGGAAACACATTAGTCCCAGTCTGGCAAAGCAGATAAGTTATATTAGCTACTTGCCTGTAAATAAAAGCGATTAGTGAAACAGATATAGATATGGGACCCCTCCATGGCCATAGTAAGCCGAGCTCAACAGTGAAAAAATTAGTCATTTTAAGATTATATCCGTCGCAGGTAAGTAAAATGTAAAGAATATTGCAAATGATATGCACTTTTCCATGCAGACGATATTGGGCGGAATTTTCTAAAATAGCTTATAAAATGGTACGTATTAATAATAAGAAACAGTGTGTGTAAAACAAGCTGTAGCTCGCTTCTTACGCCCTTAGCTTACAATATTAAAAGCAGTAGCTTACTATAACTTAATAAGGCTGAAAGTAACGTAAATATAATTAAAGTGAGGACAGTTATAATTAGGTAATAAACATTCAGAAAGACAAAAAACATTATTATAATAAAGTTCACATGTTTTATGTAGTGAATTCGTTGCGTGAATTTCTCAAGGCGTTTGAGTACATATAAAAGCGTGTTAAAATTATAAATAAAATAAAACAATCTCTTGTTTTTGTCAAACCAATATCATTTTTATTTATACAGGTTTATGACAACGACAAAAGTATCGTCTCAAAAAAGGGGAATAGATGTTATTAAAAATAAAGTAAATAAATAGAAAATTGTTAATGATCGGCTGTAATTCATTATTTCACATACGATTAAGATTTATTAAATTTTCAGTATTTTTTTAAATAAACGTATCGAAGAATAAGCTTATAATTAAATTTTTTCATGTTTATTCCACCTGTCGCACTGTAAATTCTTCGCATTAGTTACAGTGCGATGTCTTATAGCCTATAGCTTTCCTCGATAAATGCTGTAACCAACACAAAAATATATTTTCAATTCGAACCAGTAATTCTTGAGATTAGCGCGTTCAAACAAACAAACTCTTCAGCTTTATATTAGTATAGATTTCACCCATCTCTAGTAATTAGTAGTATCCAGGATTTTTGCGGCTTAAAAGGTTCCAGCAATTAATTAAATAAAGTATGTAATTTAGGTGCGGTCCGGACCTTGAAAAGGTCAAGTGAAAACCTTCTAATTTATTGAAAGCCCCATTGTTTACAGTACTGACGTCAAGGCAACAGATATTGATGTTCATATTTCCATGTTTATAAGAAATCGATACAGTTTTCATACTTCGGTATCTGCCGTAGGAATGTACGATTGTTTGGTATCTTTAATGTTATTGTTACTTTTAACTCGTTGATCCACGAAGGTGGCAATGTACCTATGTACTGTCTGAAACTAAACTACTACGCGAGTAGTACATATTTAAGTACAACACTGCAACTGTAACGGTTTAAAACGCGATATATTAGTTAAACTTATTTGAAAATGATTTTTAACTTCGGCCCGACGTTTCGGATGCTTTGCAGCAGCCTTGGTCACGGGACGAGACTAAAGATGGAGGATGTCTCTGACGTCAAAGTAAAAAATTGCTACGCTAGCGCCATCTGTTCCGTCGAAGTTGGTATTTGGCGAAACTTAAAAATCATTTTCAAATAAGTTTAACTAATATATCGCGTTTTAAACCGTTAAAGTGTTTTATTTAAATGTGTACTACTCGCGTAAACTATAGACATTATATACATAACTTATTTAAATACTTATATTATTATTTTTATATTTTTTCTTAAAAGTTGCACTAATCTGGATAGTAAATGGATGGTAGGACTGTCGAAAATGCCGTCCGGATCACGAACCACCATAAAAAAGGCTTGTAGTATTCGCGATTCGGTATTAAAATAGGTCGGCTATGCAAATTGTTACGATCTTATGTGGCTTTGAAATAGACTTTCGATCAAGTAAAGCCCCGTGTTTGTTTATGCTCCTCTATAATAAAAATAATATAGGTAGACAAAAATTACATAAAAGAGACAATATTCAAGTGAGTGGTTTTGTGGTATGGCATACGCGAGAGTACGTATTCCATGAAACAAGATTTAAAACGTGAAATATATTACTTAAACTTATTTATAAATGATTATAACTACGGCCCGAAGTATACGTTTAATTTGTAAATAAATTTAATTAATACATCTCGCGTTTTAACCCGTTAAAAGTGGTTTATTTTAATCTGTACTACTCACGTAATCAACAGACATTATTTTAAGAGTTTTCAACGCTTAATATATTAATTAAAAATCTAGCTAGTAATATTAAACATAATCGAACACGGACGAATTCGAACTCACGACAGCGTACAGTTCTGCTACGAACTTACCTTCCGTGTCCGTGACTGCTGTAAAGCATCGGAAACGTAGTTAAAATTAATTAATACAGTTTGCATTTAAAACCGTTTAGGATTTAAATCATTTCACGATTTATAAATAAAGAATTATCTTATTATATACTATTAGCTGAGTCAGCGAATTCGTACGCGTATAATAGTTATTTTGGGTATCAATTTTTGTTTTTGCAACCTCCTGTTCAACTCTATGAATTTGTGACGACGTCGTCTGCGTCCCGTCGTTCTAGCAAGTTAATCTGACAAGATAGACGTGTAGTGTCACAGAATTTTTTATATGTTTTGGGTATATTGAACCGTTCTCGCAGCGTACGCTATGGAAACCCGCAGGGATGAATAATTTTTCCCGATTTTCTCGTCATTTCCCGCTGTATCTCCGCTCCTATTAGTCACAGCGATATGTTGTTAGCTTATATCTTTCCTCAATAAATGTTTTAACCAACACCAAATAAATCGAACTAGTAGTTCTTGAGATAACCGCGTTCAAACAAACAAACGAACTCTTCAGCTTTACATATTACTATATATTCCACTTTAATATTGTAAGGCAAAGAGAGTTATCTAAGACTATTATGTTCCTGTTTTTTTCGTGAAAGCGGCTTAACTCTCAAATTCGTTATCCTTGAACTTAAAGAAGCCGGATAGAGCCTCTGTCACGTATCGCGTTTCGTGTTGGAGTCTTAGGCGGATTATTATTTGCGTCTTAAACGCCGAACAATACAGTACGCGATTAGTTGAATTACTTTACTAATCTGACCGTTTTCGTAAGATTTCGTTAAATCCGGTTCCATCTCTAGGTCATCCTGACAGTGGCGTTTGGGGGTTAGTATTTACTGTTGTTTTTTGCACAAAGAACTATAGAATAGGATGTGCTTTATAACAAATAAATTAATAACATGTGAGAGAAGTGTAGATTCACTATTCTCTGTATATTAAGCGTTGACGGGCTTGTTGGTGGTGTTAATGGTAGCAATGGCAATAATCATCGGGTCCAGGGTTAAATCCAACATGATTCTTCCATTTTTAATTCTTTAATTCATCTTAAATTTTTAAACATGTTGTACCTTTAGTGGAGATCTGAATATTAAATGGCTGGTAGAAATATCGTAATTCCGTCAGCGTTACGAACCAGAGTACATAGATGAAAAAGCCGTGAAGTTTAATCGTGTTTCCGTTTCAGTCTGTGGATTTCCAAAAATCCAAAGCCAAAATAGGTTGACAGCGCATTTTATTAGCGCAAATAAGCCTTATGCTTGTCTGTCAAACTGTCCTTATGTGTGTTGTTCCAAACAGAAAATTCAGTTTTTTTTTTCTGAAATTCGCCGTCTTATAATATTAAAGCGTGTTTTTGGGAGAGACTTAAATCGGGAAGATACAATTAGAGAAAATTTTAAAACCATAATGGTAATGAGAAATGCAACTATTATAAGTAGTACTGGGAAATTTTGTGAAAAAGCCGACTAAAAAGGGAAACGTGAGCGTAACGACACGTTCAATTCACGTGACACTTTCAGTTTCAGTCAAATCGCGTTGTTAGAGAAGCCTCACTTTGTTAGGCTGTGGCTTCCTAGAAACGCAGTAGGCGTAACGCGCACTCTTATCGAATGCTATTTGCAGTATTAGCTTTTAAAATAAGTTTGATTAATCACGTTTTAAACCGTTAAAGTGTTCTATTTAAAACTCCAAATCTAATCAAAATATTCACATGGTGGTACTGCAGCTAACTCACGCATTTCTTTTATGTGTAGAAGTAAAAAGTAAAGAGCAATATGATGTGAAATTAAATAATCTGTTACATCATGTATATGAAAGCTTCTATACCGTCTAAAATTTTCATTAAGTTAGAGATTTCTGTAAATTAACCGATGTCCACATCATACTAAAATATAATTAAAACTATCAAAAATTTATGACCAAGAAATTAATACTTTAAAGGATTTAATTAAAGTGATGTGCATTGTAGTAATGTCGTCTGTTTTATTATTACTTCTTAATGTTAACTACAAATTGATTAAGATCTTAATAAAGAAAAATAGTTGAAAGTCAGGCTGAGTAAAATAAACAAAATAAAAAGGCTTTTATTTAGTAATAAATTATGACTAATATTATAATAAGTAGTGTCTGTAGCTTACGCGAATAGCACACATTTAAATAAAACCGTTTAAAACGAGAAATGTATCAGTTAACTTATTTACTAGCTGACTTGCAAACTTTCTTTTTTTGATTAACACAAACACGGTATTTATGAGTTAATCTTAAAAGATACATACCTACTATTGCATACCTTTTTTAGATTATTTAAAATATCTTCTATATTTATAAATATTATCTTGAATCGTTTTCGCAGCGCACAAACCTTCCACGTTAAACGACCTACCCAACATAAAAATCATTTTTAATAGTCGTTTTTGAGAGCGCATTTAAACAAACAATCCCTTCAGTTTTATAATATTAATTTAATTTAACTACAGCCCGAAGTTTTGGAGGTAAAGCATTCGCATTATAAACCGTTAAGTGTTTATTTGAATATTATAATTTTACAAAGTCGTGGTCACGATGAGACCTCTTCATGCTGCTGCAAAGCTTCCGAAACGTCGGGCCATAGTTAAAATAATTAATAAGTTAAACTAATATACATGTATCGCGTTTTGAACGGTTAAAGTGTTTTATTTAAATGTGTTCTAATCGCGCAAACTGAAGACAGTATTAAATTATAATTTTAATAGTTTTCTCCATTGCTTAGTTAAAATATTGTAGCGCACACTGCTCTTAGACGAGAATCTTCATTTGAGCGAATTAAATTACGGTCACAATTACGTCTTCATGGTATTTGACATCTTCGTAAATAATTCATTCCGAGTATCATCAGTAACGAGACCTTGGCTCAAATGGTCACCGACGCCAGTCTCCAACGTTGCTAAAGAAACTCGCTTTTTTACTAACAATGGCTTTGTAAGGTCATCGGTACTAGAGGATTAATTGGTAATTGGTTAAAGATTCTTATCGACTATTGACGTCATCGGGCGTGTGCCATTAGGATTGGGAAAGATCGATGTTCTTTTGTCGAAATGAGTTTGACCATTATTTTAACTTAATTGTGTAATGTAACTTATGTAAAACTTAGAAAAATGCTTATAAACTGCAAGTGTGAAAAGTTAATCCTGTTTCTTCCTACAGATGGGGTAAATACCAGTCTTACTAATCATTTCTTGAAAACAACATCAACAGTTTCTAAAAATGACTCGTATGCGATTTAATACGCGAATCATATAAGTTAAAATATATATATACTATATCCCCGCCTCCGTGACTCCCCGTGACCATGGCTGCTGCAGAGTATCCAAACCGTCGGCCCGTACTTAAAAATAATTTGTAAACAAGACAACCTAATACATTTCGCATTTTAATATGTTAAGGGGATTCTAATTAACCTCGTGTGTGTTATAATATTCAATAATAATTCTGTTATTTCTATATTACTTAGCCGGGCCGTAAATAAAATAATGAGTATAATATATTTCGCGTTTTAAACCGTTAAATTGTTTTATATAAATATGAAATAGAGTTCTAATTTCAATAAATTTAACAATGTATTCAACATGTAATATAATGCAATAAGCCTTAACTATTAATAGTAACTAGAAACATTAATCAAACTAACAATCAAGATAAGACCCGTTCCGTATCGTTTTATCTCAAAACAATACAGATTATTATCATCGTGAGTCAACAATTAATTAACGTGTTTTATTTTTTATCTGTGTTGTCCATTTGATTAACATGGCGTTGAAAGTAAAACTTTATCGAAATAAATATGATTCATGTCTGTAAATAACAAAACTTCCTAAATAGTAATGTATTAGAGAAAAATTATAAATATGCCTAATTGTTATAAATAGCATAATTTGTCTGTAAAATACATTTTACTTATATCTGTGGTTATTTGTATTTTAATGGTGTAGCAGTGTAGAAGGAATTATTATTTTTAAAAGTATACATAATTTTTTTAACTCTTCAAATCTTATGAAATTTCTTAAAACACGTATTATAAATTCACGGCTCAGTTTGTGTCTAACATGTTCTATCATTAAGGAAAAAAATATATAAAACTTCTAGCTGAAAGTAAGGCTTCTTTAAGTATATAAAATTGAAATTACCTGTTTCACAGAATTATCCTTGGAGTCAATCTTTGCGCTTAGTTCCTTAATATCATTTTGAAGTTCAATTATTCTTGCTTCATACTCCCCCTGGTTGGTGTCCAGTCGTCGCCGTAATAGGTGTTTTTCTTGCTCCAACTCCTGGAAAGAAAATAAAAGGTAAACAAAACTGTTAACCTGGGGCGGCAGCCATTTTACAAGCTTATTATGAACGAAACAGATTAAACGTCATATTATAAAATACTTGTAAGAGCTGCTTGTCCTTTTTGAGATGACAAGAATTGAAGTTTATCAAATCTTTACTAATACATATTATAAATGCGAAAGAAACTGTCTGTCTGTTCGGCTTTAACTCCGAAACTACTGAACTGATTTAAATGAAATTTAGTACACAGATATTTTAATGCCAAAAAAATGTTGATAGTGGTTGAGAAAGGGGATGAAAGTTTGTATGGAAATTTGTGGTTTTTTAAGCTAGAAAAATGAAACTTCCTTCCTTGGCTTTTTGGGAATAGGAGTGAGGTTGGGAGTGGGAGTAAGAGTGAGAGTAGGAATGAGAGTGGTAGTTAGACTAGAAGTGATGTTGCGGCAAATTAGCACTTACAACATAGATTGGCTGCCTTAAATGCGTCCTTACATAAATTATTAAACAGCCTAAATAATGAAAAATTCTACTCCAAGTCACTATTCCACGCGGACCAAGTCGCGAGCTCAGCTAGTATACATATATGTACATGTACAGTGTACTTAATATTATTAAGCCGTCTTAATACATATATGTATTTATTAAACAAAACAACTATCATTTATTCGTCAACTTTTCTGTTTCAAGAACGCTAAAATCTTTATAACTATATGTTTTATTTACCTAAACAAACACAAATGGCAACATATAAATGCACTTACGTGTCGGAAAGCAAATTGAGTCGTACATGTTTAATCTATTAAATGTAAGTCTCTGTACCTGTACCACATCACTTTTATGTTTTTGAGTATTAGTCATATAATTATTTGCGACGAAACGTGGATATTTTTATATTGTGTGTTATTTTTATTACTACACACATATACTATATAATGATTACAAACGTGAAAAGGTATCTTAATTGGTTTAATCGCTCTAAAAGCTGTTTGTTATAGTTTTGTTTTTTTTTTATAATTTCGTCCATAGTGTTAAAACAGCTAAGAACGACATGATCTCCCCTTCCTTGTTCATAAGGGACATTTTTTATTCAATTACTTTAACATTCTTAAATAAACTACGTACTTATAAAACGGTACGAAATCCCAACATAATATTTACTTAGTTTAGCGGTATATTTTATTAATATTTTTAAGGTTTGAACAAAACGTTTACAAATTACTGAATTGTCGGAATTCGCTAGTCTACCAGGCTTTGTAAACAAAAAGCCTTGCGTCATTGAATTCAATGCAATTGTGCAAATAAAACTAATGAATATGATAAATGTGTTATAAACATGACTTAAAGTAAAACGTTTTGCTTCAGATTAATTAATATATTGTTTTTCGATGGTTGTAGTATTACCGTTTTACTGTCTAATGGCTGGATATAGGTCGGAACTTTCATGGCGAGAGGGTTTGAGATTAAAAGTCTGTCAACACAGCTTTTCCATTATAGGTTTTAACGACTATAGCCCCCATGTTAGTGATGCTAACCAACGCCGTTGGCTTATCTTAGCTTTTTGACTCATAGGGTTTATGATAACTCGTAATTCAAACTATAGAGCATACTGTTGTTAGATATTTTCTTTGGAAAATATCACATTATGACAGATTAGAATTCGAATTCTGGACCTCGCAATTTACAGTCAAAGATACGAACTCTTAGACGACTAGACTTAGTAGACTAGAATGTTATTAGTCTTTAATACGTCTTATTGAAAAATACGTCCAAGCAAACTAAATCCAAAGTGAAAAATAGATGGTAAATAATATGAAAGCTGTTACATAAAACAATATTTTATATCATTAGTTAGTATATCCCTAACCAATATTGTTTAGGGGCTTTATGTGAGGAACAAATCTTAAAACCATATTAAAAAAAGCACGCAAATTTTGCGAGAGATTACATGCATTTCACTATAATTCAAAGACCCATAGCGAAGCCAATCACTGTACTTTTATTCGTAACTAATTTGATAATTTTTAGAAACAATAGTCTTACTTGTCCTCCATTTCATTGTAAAGAAACGCATTATTACGATTATTCACTGAAGAAATCAAAAGAACGACGAATTATTGTTGTGTATGAAAATTACAGTTTTTCACGCAATAAGTTATTTTTGTGATTAAAATGTAAAGCTTTTGTAGTTCAAATTCAAAAAACAAGAACTATTATTTAAAAAATGTATATCTTGCTTACGAAAGTTGCATATAAAGCATTTTGTCAATATTAGTCTCGGGGTATAACTTACGTTAATAGGACCGGGAGTTCGATTCTCAGTGAAGCACTTAAATATTTATCTTTATGTTGACAATGAAAAAAAACTCCGTGAGATTGATTAAAGGCCTATATACCCATTAGAAGATCCGTGACTCAGCTGCGATACCAGGTCTCTGAAGGGACGTCATTCAACCTTCAGAAATAGAAAAATATGCCATTGTACACTTTTTGAAACCTATTCTGGAGTATTGGTTTTGCAAAACTATTATTATTATATATTATTACACGCAATGAAAGCTCTCTAATGGAAATTCCCGTTTTTCTACACAGCTTATAAAGCATAGAGGGTAATAGGGAATCTCTTCAACATTCGCACACTCATAACAATGTTTTCCACTTGCCTATGTGAAACTGTTCCACTCGAGAGATACGGTTCATGGGTTCCCATGAGAGCAACTGGGTCGTAGAACAATACCGTCCCTGATTACACGCTTTTCTAATGCCAAGTTACTGTTTAAGATTATTTAGTTCACCGTTTCATTTCTAGGAAGATGATTTATTGTATCTTGTCTACAATGTGGCGCCACGCTGTTTTCGCTGTTGTAACTTAGGCCTGTTGGCAAAGATTGGTCTTCTTTTAGGTGCGTAAGCGCACGTTGAAGGAGTTCTTAAACCCTATGGAGGTGAACCTTGCTATACCGAAGAGGTGAATTTTACTCCATAGTAGATTACTAATATTACGCAGCCGAAAGGTTAGTTATGTATGAACTGCTGTTCTGAAATATAAAAGTATTTTGTGTTCGACAGACCATTTATCAGAAAGGTTTTAGGCAATGTAACACACTGCGACCAATAGAAGCGAAGTGACTGGACTATTTGGTGTCATAAGGAAGGTAAAATTTTGAGATCTGCCATGTGATTAGACTAAAAGAAAAAAATGTTCTTTCTAGGACTTCACTTTAGTAAGACCTTCATCTAAAAAAATTGTAGGAAACATAAATTTAAAGCCATAAGTTGCGTAGTGATTTGGAATTTGTATTTTTCACACAACACAGTTGTGTCGATGACATCTCCACAGCTTTCGAAACATACTCAAATAGTTCTCGAACACATTAACCTAATGCTTATCATTAGTCAAGTCACAACCGTCCTTAAAACTCGATTAGTTCCCGCTCTCCAATTGTGTGTCCTTTGGTTAGTCACACTTCACACTGCATTGGCATGCATGCAATATTACAGATCGGGTATTACCAATATCATTATAATTGACGCTATACCTACCTTGGAAATGTTTTTCTACTATATATTAGTAGAAAAACATTTCCAAATATCCAAAGCCAAAAAAGGTCGACAGCACATCTTGTTTAGATGTTATATGGCTGGGGGATCACCTTTCATCAAGTTACTCCATGTTTGTCTGTCCTTCTCTATCATAAATACAGTCTTGGTCGCACCAGTTTGTTTTAGGATTGACTCCAGGACACACTGAATATATATATATTATTTACAATGTGAGACCTCTTGAGTGTTAAAAATATTTAAAGGGTCCAAGCTTTGACACGTTTAGGAAATTTTAGGTTTTATAAGATAACGAAAACCTGGGGCAGGCTACCAATATTTGTAATTCATTCAAAAAGAAATAAAGTCATGGGAAATGTAAAATTGTAGTTCTAAAATATTTATTTATTATATCAAGATCCTCATCTTCTAAACTTTATTACTTATTAAAAATGTCATTCAGTTAAGTACAAATAATTAATTATCACATGTCATCTTCACCCTTACAAGATGAAGGTTTCTCTTAAAGAGGACTTGTATAATGGCAACAACATACTAAAATGGTGTTAGATAACAAATTTAATTTGATATTTGTATTCAGATGCAAAACAGTTAAAAAATACTACAATACACTAAGCTTATTATTAAAACACGAAGCAGATATAGGAAGTAGAATGACAGCAAGAATACCATTATAGATGATTCAACTCTGAACACAGACATCAAGTGATTTGGATGCGCAGACGCAACGGACGTGCGCAACCATCTTTATGGTTACGACAACCTAATGTTACACAGGGAGGCATTATTACTAATTCATTCATATAATCACTAACAATAACCTTTAAGTACCGCAGAGTAAGAATTGCGTACTGCTTCGACAATTATATTAAGACTGTAGAAGAAAATCGTAAAAAACTAAGCTATACTGAATCTGTGTTTCTATGAGCTGTCAGTATGACACTTGTCATTTCAAGATGTAAGAAACCACAGGTAATAAACATTAAGAGACTACAGATAAATTAAAAGACAATGTAAGAGGAACAAACTAACTTCTGTCAATTCAGTTTAAACAAAATTGGTAATCTATATTGATCTAATCTATATACGGATCTATATTGCACAGGTAGAATCCACACACCTCTATCTATGCAAATAAGAAAACAACATTTTTTTACTATTACTCAAAGACGTTGGTCTACTTCTTTTGCACCGTTAAAGAAAAAATACAATAATAATAATATAAGTCCCTGTCATATAATACAGAAGCCTCATACATCGATCGTGTCAAACACCAATGATCCAACTGTCCTATAAATATTATAAATAAAAGATTAAGTCCGTGCCAGCGCACGCGCAGGCCGTGAATATTAATACTCGGCACACATGACCACTCGACTATCGCCCTGATTCGCTTTCACTCTTCTCTACAAATGTAATTATTACGCACACATTTCAT